ATTTTCAAAAACAAGCTAGAAATGGCTCTGTGGCCGCCAGGCCTCAGGAGTTTGGAACATGATTTTCATGAGATGATAGTCGGAGTTTACGAGCTGGCTAGCAGTCGATGGAGAAGATGTTAGTAGGCTTCCCATACGATCTTTAACGATCTTGATTTTGCTTGCGAATTACATCCGTACTGGCAGGGCTAATTTACTGAAGCAGAGATGTCTCCGGGATTATGGATGTGCCTGCTCCATTCGGGAATTCCGCTGAAGAAACTAGTGTGAGCCAGACTGCATGAAGCACCCAATGTAGCTGTGCGGACAAACACCACAAGCAGCTGGAAACCCATGAAGCGCTCCTCACAATGCCAGTTTTCCCTTCTTCCGGAGCCCTTTTGGGCATCGCACAGAATCTCTTGTGAAGCTGCTCCGAGTCGCTCGGCTGATGCTTCAGGGTGACTGTTTCATGCAGCAAATGCAGCAATGCAGCCTAATGCAGCATTGGAGTATCGGGCCTGGGAAGGCCTCTCACATCTCTCGAAGTGGACTAGTCCACTCTTTAACTTCTGTCGAACTGAATTCGAGATTGAGCCGCTTCGGCATCGTGAAACTCATCTGGACAGCAATGCGCCGGCCACGCGTCCAGCCAATTTGGAGGTGGCAAGAAACGTCGTTTGCTGGTGGCTTCGAGGCTGCTACTGCTGAAACTTGGCCTGACCTCTCGACGTCCGACCTGTCCTTCCTCCCGTCATCCCCGGTTCAGCCTGCGATGGCTGCCTGCGGAGGCCCGACCCCATTAGGCCTCACAGCAGGGATGTCTTGCAGCATGATATCTTGATGTGCAAGAACTGGGGGATGGTTCGGGAAGGGAGCAGGAGAGCACAGACATGCACACATCCCAACGCTGCAGCTCCCCTGGCCTGGGGAGTTCTGGTGTTTCAAACTCCTCAAAGAAACATCCAAGGTCCCTTCGGGATGACACATTCTGCATTGGGCACGAGGTAAGAACTGAAACAAACTTGTTTGACACTTCCACATGAGCGGCGCGGCCGTCCTATCATACTTCTCGACGTTCAGATCGCTGCGAGAAGCCTGGTCCCGAGATGCGCTTGGAGCATGCGTGCTCCTCGTGGATTGTGATCAAACAAGCTTCCGAGCCGACCAGTTGGCCCCAAAGTCTACATGGAACCTCAATCTCATGGTGAACCACATACTGAGCCTGAATCCATAAACTCAAAAATCGCTTGGCCTGCTTTCTGCTGGGCAGCTCTTGCCTCAGCCTTGGGGAGAAGGGCGCACGTATGGCTTGGGGGCCACAACAACAACCCCTTGCCCGCAATTGCTTCATCTGGTAGCCCAAGTACGAACTGGCTTCCATGAGGCACTGGTGAAACGACTGCTTCACACTATGCAGACTAAAGACTGTTCCCATCACATACTCTTTGGGCTCTGTTCAGGAATTTTCCTCGGACCTTCGGAGCTACAATGGACTCTGCGGTTGAACGATCCAGCCTAGGAACGCATTCATGAAAATCAAGCCATTCTTGAAACGAACTGCAAAACCATGATGATACTGCAGACACACCAGAGCAATGGGTTACATCGAGGCGTTGACGGGGGGGCCAGACTTGGCATCGGCTCGCGCGCCTCTCGGAATCTCGCGGACAGTGGACGCAAACGCTCTTGTGAACGCTCAATCCGTGAACTGCGTTCGGAATTGCTTCCAAGTCAGAAGAATCAAGGTTCAATCTGGGCCTTGACAGCAGGAGGTGTGTACTCTCCCTCTGCAATCATCCTGGTTCGAGTCGACTTGCAGCGCAGCTACAACTTTTCGAAACACCGAGGAACCACGACTCAATGCCAAAGGTCCTTAAGTAGTGCTCCAAGCGCTGCATGTAGCGGCGCTGGTGTCGGCTTTCCCATTCGGCTGCCCCTGACAGAAACGGCTCGGGTGAAGGATACGCGGGCACCTCCCACGCTGCCGTGCGGGGCCGTGCCTGTGTGGTGTTTATTCCAGTCCACATCAATGATTTTGCTGGGCATGGCCTCGGAGGATTGGCGCATTGCTCTCAATGCTCTCATTTGCTCTCCGCCCAGTCGATGAAAAAACGAGGAAAATCTACGAAGCTCGGCATCCAACCTTGCTCACATGGCCCACATCACGGACTCTTCGCGTGATCTCACGAGCCGAGCCAAAGTCACAGACTAGGAAGTCGAGCACGGAGTTGCTGCAACTTGGAGATCTGTTCGTTTGGAAAGTGGCGCTTATGTGCTTGTCTTCTTTCGGTCTTCCGGAGGTTGCACAGCGCACAGCTTTCTTTTCTATTCTGAACTCCATCATCCGGAAATGATCGGAGAAGTTGCGACAGCGATTCAGGTGCATCGGAAGTCGTTGCCATGTCATGGAAGGGCATGTCCTTCTGCAGCATTTGCAGGGCATCGGCCATTTCATTGCAATGGCTGGGCTTTTTTAAATTAAGGAAGCCTGTCTTTTTGCACTTTTGGATTTTTACGCTTGTTTGAATAGGAAACCTCTGTTGTCTGAATATCATAATTAATAGGCAAACCTCGACTCTCTCCATATTTTAGTAGGGAAACCCCCATTTTCCCTACATCTTCATATGAAAACCTCTTTGCTTTCTCGTTTGATCGGAAAACCTCTACTTTCTGAAAACTGCAACAGGACAACCTCTGCTTTCTTTTTGCATTTTCTTGAGCGCTCTCTACATTTGGGGGGTTGCAGGGGGTTCTTTGCTTCCTTGAGGGAGAGGGAAATTGGCTGCACTGTTATCTGTTTCCTCCAGATGTCGTTTCATGGCACGAGGAAGGAGGGGAAAAAGCTCTTGAGACGCACTAGCTTGGTGGGAACTTGTGAACTCGCAGGCTTTCGCTGTTTGCTCTTTCAGCAAATTTGCATTAGGGCAAACGGTGCCGCATTGTGACGCCGCATTGTGCTGTCTTGCGCCGGGCCAGACAGGGGGAAGTTGATGAGACTCGGGAAAAAACGGTTGGGGCTCAGAAATGTTGGCGGTGTAGAGAGCGTTTGTAAGGATTAGGGAAGAGCTCTTTCTCGATGTGCTGCCTGTTCCATTCAGAAATGAAGGTGTCAGAAAGCCAGACTGCATGAAGTGGTGCTTTTTTCCCTTCCTTTGGAGCCCTTTGGGCATCGCGCAAAGAATCTTATGAAGCTGCTCCAGAGACAGGAGTCGCTCGGCTGAGGTAGGTAGGAGTGTGACTTGCTGGAGTCTGGTGCAGTGGACTCATGATTCTTCTTCTTATCGATGGATCTGCAACTCGAAATTGCTTGAGGCCGTTTTGGCATCATGGTGAGACCAAGCGGCTGGAAGGCAATGTGCCCTGCCCATCACTTTCATTAACAGGCCACGTGTCTAGCCAAATCGAACAACTTGGGAGGTGTCAGATATCGCTTGCTGGGCTCCTACTGCTCCAACTTGGCTGGATGCCCTTCTGACTTGCCCTTGTGCTGCTGTGCACCTTCTGCTACTGAACATCTGGCATGTGAGCTTTGTGCTATGCTTCAGCCATGTGCAGCTCATCTTTGGGCTGCTCAGAAGTCGAGTCCTTTGCCTAGCTCAACCCTCCGTGACACCGTCTGTGTGCTAAGACAACAAGATCTTCAACCCGGACCCTGACGTCAGCTGGTAGTGCCCGCATCGTAATCATTTCCGCAACCCACCTCACAAGCCGGAAAGGACAATAGCCGAACCCTTTCTTGCCTCGGGTTCCAGGGGAGTGCCTGCGCACGCTGATGAACGCACTCTGCTGCTGTTGCCATCGATTCGTTTTGAAAATACCTCTTGACGGACATGAACAGACTTAGAGTGCTATTGGTGCTCTGCGGGTACTGTACCAGTACAGCCGGACCTCCGCGATCGGGGAACAGTGTGGACGTCGTTTCCTGTGCAGATACTTGGTAATGTCGTATCCTGATTAGTCTGGACCCCCTCAATAATGAAAAGTTTTCCAAAAATTATTCAGGAGACCCAATTTGGATTGCCCCCCCACAATAAAGTAAAGTTTTTCGGGCATGGGTTTCGGAACAGAGAAAAAAAGAGAAGAAGATGATGAAAGAAAAGAGCAAAAGAAGAGCAGCTAGGGGGGGGGGGCTGGCCTTCAAGCTTCCCGGGTTCAGGGTCTACGACCAGGCCTGAAAACAAGGATTCCTTATGACTTCGCTTATCTGAGGAGGCCTAGCCATCAAATTTTGAAGGGGGTAGTCCACGTGCTGCCCCGAAGCCCATTAAAAAAAAATTGCACCCCCACAATACTGTCAAGGTTTTCGGGGGGAGGGGGGCGGGGGGGCGCGCCTTCAAGCTTCCCGGGTTCAGGGTCGACGACCAGGCCGGAAAACAAGGATTCCTTATGACTTCGCTTATCTGAGGAGGCCTAGCCATCAAATTTTGAAGGGGGTAGTCCACGTGCTGCCCCGAACCCCATTTAAAAAAAAAAAAATTGCACCCCCACAATAATGTCAAGGTTTTCGGGGGGAGGGTAAGGGTACCTAAGTTTACCTGAGCTCTTACCTTTAGCTTTAATTACTGAGCTTACCTGAGCTTACCTGAGCTTACCTGAGCTGAGCTCATCTGAGCTTAATTATGTAAGAGGAGAGGGAAAGGAAGAGGAGAGGAAGAGGAGAGGGAAGAGGAGCGAAGAGGAAATGAAGAGGAGCCAGTGGGGGGGGGGCCCGGGGCCGAAAATTCGTTTGGGGGGGGCCCTTTTTTTTGAACACTATTACGGGGGTGGATTTAGTTTGGGGGGGGGGGGGGGGGGCCCTCACACTAATCAGGATACCACATTACAGTACAACGTCTGGAGTGCCATGAATCCTAACTTCGTGCTGAGTTCTATAGATTTGATCAAGATTGAACTGAACAGGATGCATGCGTCCAGCCCACACAAACACATAGCATGCGTCCTCACGACACCACTGTGACCGTGCCAACAGTAATGACACTTTGTCGGCATGTTCTAAGTGCGATCAGTACCCCGTCACATCATCCGACTGGTTCAAGGCCAACTGCCGTATGGACCTTCAGCGTCCAAACCTCAACGCCGCTGGACGTGGTCACGGGCCGAGTGGATGCCTCCGAGCTAGCAACACATAGAAACGTATAAGTTAGGCATAAGTACGCTAGTTTGTCCGTTACCTTGACCTGCGTTGGCCTGCCTTTGCTCCCTTGCCTCGGTTCAAAAAAAAAGCTTGTGGCTTGGCCTCGGCAGTGTGCGGCCTGAGTCCTGCCGGCGAGAAGCCGCCTGCATGTGCGAATTTACCGAAGCGAAGTAACCGAAGGGGCTGAACATCTGTCATGCGCGTCGCGTGTGACTTGTTCGCATTCTGTTCAGATGCTGGGCCCTGTGCGCCAGGCATCGAATGGCATCAGAATCTCAGCGACCTCCGCTAGACCGCGGCGGTGTGCCTTCAGAAGCAGATGCGAGACCAATGGAAAGGGCTGGGAGACCGAGGGCATCAGGTAACCTCGGGGAAGTGTTAGAGTCTGTTAGAGTCAAAGCCGAAGGCGCCAACATGTACCAAGTATTGTCATTCAGTTACTGTCATCGTAATTAGTCGGCTCTTTAGACCTCGTCAGCTGCCCCGCAGCAGCGGAACAGAGCCTCACATTGACAGCACATGTCAGCACATGCCACCTCTCACAGGACTTCTCATTCTCAGTGTCAATGTGCTTTGTTTGCGGCAACTCGAAGACCCTGCGAAGGTAAGCTGCCAACTGCTTGGAATTCAGCTTTCGCCTTATCCCGGATATCCAAAGCCTGAGCGATCGAAAAGCCCATCAAAATCCGGCGGTCCCACGCAGGGGTTTGTGCACTCTGCGGGCTGACATGATTGGCGCTCAGAATCCAAGAGCTGCTGTCTACTGTAGCCCGGCAAAAGCCGTGGGAAAAATGTGTGAAAATTCTTCGACCCCCGAACGGGAGGTGGCCTCGGAGGCCCGAAGCTCGGAAGATTGCACATGCTCCGCGAAGCGGTCCTGGGCAATGCGCACCTGACAGGATGCTGCTTGGCTTCAGAGCAAAGTCTTGCACAAGAAAGGAGAAATGGTTCCAGACAAATTTCGAGGAGCAGACTAAGACCCCAAGACTCTCTGGCGAAAGGAACTGCATGGCACTGTGATATGGCACGAGTCTGGAGTCAGGCGGCGCCTTCTCTTGGGCCATCTCCTTCCCAAGCTGGACCCGTTCGCGGCACCGGCAACGGACATCCTTGCAAGAATCATCGAACATGGTGCTACCTGCGATTCCGGGATGCTTTCGAGGAATGAAGGCCAGTGCAAGAATTGTTGGATGTGAGCTGTCTTTTTCCAGGGAAGCCTGTGAGAGGATCCAACTTGCATGGGACTTGCCTGCACGTGTCTCTTCATCTGCTCCAGGCGTGCTTCAGCCTGCCAGTCCCGGGAATGACTAGGACATGCCTACTCCCTCAGTGAACAAAAGCTGAGACATGCTGACCATGCTACTGCCACAGAAGCCTCTACATACACAGCGTCACAATACATAACGTGTGGCTGTCACGGCCTGGCGCCGGGACTCTGCTGATTTCTGTTGGCAGAAAGCCGCGCGCGAGAGGCTGAGCTCTTGGGATCGCGAGGCGATCTGCTGGATCGCGCCCTGCCGCTCCTTCGTTGAAGCGCGCGATTCCATGAATGCGCCATGGGCACTCCGCATTGAACAGCCGACGGCCTTCTGGAGCTGGCTGTTTTTCTGTAAGCCTTGGTGCACTTGAGCTCACTCGGCACTGCAATAGGATATGCAGAGCGTCGGACAAGCCTTCATCCGAAACCCCAACGACCTCAACACCTGCTAGGGCCACTGATTCCAAACAATGCCAAAACAGGACTGAAGTAATCACTGATTGGCTAAGTCCTGCAACATGCCCCACCAAGCTAAAAAGAAGCACTTGACATTCCACTAAACAGTCGGCGAAGCATTGTTTGAGTGCCCCCGCTTTCGTGCCAATGGTCCTCATGCTCGGCCCGGATCATTGCCAGGCGCTGGAGCAGATCCTCCCAAAATCCCAAACCACCCCTTAAAAAAGTCTTCAACTTAACAGTATTGGAGCTCAAGTCAAGAAGGCCAATGGAGACCACTCGCAATGGTCAGGAGCCTCGTTCTGCTCGGCGACTTCCTTTACTTTTGCTTCGTAGATGCATTTTGCATCCTGCCCGCGAGGCTGTCGCGACATGATTCAACGTGTCGGTGGGCCTGTGGGACTATCCTCACGACCTGCTTTGCGGAATGCCCCAAGACCGCCAACACTGAAAAAACCAGCTCCCTCAACACCTGCTCGACAGCATGCTTCAGTACCGGGAAAGCCACAAACATGACCGATTTTGCCGTGCAGTACAACCTGGCTCCCCTTGGTTGGACAGTCGGCTGACCTCGAATCGTCCCATCAGCTCCTTTACATTCGCGCTGCACTTCACCTGTGTCGAAAGGGACGTAGAGTGATGTTCTTCTTCGAAAGAGTGAGGACAATGTGCTCAGGCTTGAATTTGAATGTAAAGTCACAGCACATCAGGAGTATCAATCAAAAAAACTCTCCAAAAAGTGCGCAGCTCTACACAGCAGATCACATTGCAGCATATCCACAACTCTCATCAGCTCTCACAGTAATTAGAACCCATGCCAGCACTGCCCGCATCTTTACCAGCTGCTCCTTGGCAACCTCGATACGCTTGGCGATGTCTTCCATCTCTTCTCCTGAAGGCGACGTCCGCAACAGCCACAGTCCTGCCTTCATTTACAGAATTCCGAACCTCTTGTCCATGCGTGAGTAATGCGCTCGGCACGATGGCATCGCATGACCAGAAAACGACCCACGGTTTGAGGATGCATACTGATGCTTTGCCGGCCTACTCTTTGCCGTGCTTCCAGAGCTGCACATTGCCCTCGGTGAGACACCTCCTGGCATGAGCAAAGATATGAGAAAAAATGATACGCAGGGGTAGACCTTCATGCAATCGGCGGTGAAACCGTGCTCGTATTCTTGTGTTTCTCTGAGGGGGGTGGGGGGGGGGGGGTGGGAGGTTGTTGTATCCAACCATGACCAAAACACCGGCATTTACAGCGATTTTGTTACTCTGTACAACATGCTGCACCTTGACCTTTTGCGAACATGCCCACAACACTGGAATGTTCAGCATGTTTGCCTCTAATAAAATATATTGCAAGAGTATGTTCGATGCTTTTGCAACTAGACGCGCTGTCACAAGTTTTCATGCACGAATGTCCATGCCTTTTGCGAACTGCTATTTGCAGCGTTTTGCCTCAGACTTGCTTGTCAAGACCGGCAAGGCCGTTGCAAAGCTTTGACCCCGACAGCCCGAAAGCCGGAAGATGCACACAAAAACATTGTGCGAAAGCACGGCGCTGCCGCCCCAACCAACAAAAGGACATGAACGTTCTGCAAGAACCCAACGTTTCGCAACGACGGCCGTTTGTACTTTTCACCTAGGCGAATCGCTTAGTTGATAGTTTCAATTATTTTATTCAATCATTTTAATTACTTCAAACATCCCCACCAGAGCTACTCTGGGGTTGATTGCGGATGGTCTGCTTGTTCCAAACACCGGCCGAGGCGAACGGTAGCAAGCCGAGCCGGGTCGTGCCCGCCGCCGTTGAAACCGTTCCTTTTTTTTTCTTTTTATTCCCCACCCTCGGTGTGGGGTGGTTAGATTTTAAACTCAACTCTTCTCCTCGCCGGGAATTCTTCTCCTCGCCCGGTCGACTCCTGAGTGGAGTGCCCCAAAGTGTGCCTCTGATGCGGCCGGTCCAGCCTGTTGGGCCCACGGAGGACACGTCAAAAACAAGTGCTTTACTTCGAACATCCCCACCCTGCAGGGCAGGAATTCGAGCACTCCAAACGATTCTTTGGGGATACTCTGAGGTTGCACTGTTCGGCACTGGGCTTCTTTTATGGGCGAGGAGTAGACGGGGCGAGGGCACACCTGTTGCTGCGACTGGCTATGGGACCCCCTTCTGAGACCCTGCCTGGGACTTGTTTTGGTGCCCCTGGAAAGCACCCCAAACACGCCCCTCGAACCCCCCTGCTTCTGGAATCCTGCAACATAATATGATTTTGGCTTTCCTTCATCTGCGATGCGCAGGCTATACTCCGCGTTGGGGCGGCCCGGCTGCCGAGGGCAGCACGCGCAAGCGCTTTCAGTTTTTTTGCATGCGGCAACTGGCTCACATGGCATGATCCCCTGCCTCTGTTTTTGCCATCATGGACACCTGCGCGTCCTGATGAGGCTTACACTTCACAATCTCAAGCGGCACGGACATGTTCAGCTTCGGCGGCTGTTGAATGGTTATGCCCGTTGCTTTGTTGCTATGAAGAAGAAGTGTTTCAGGCGTTCAGTCTTTTGCATTGCTGCGGGTCACCAACAGCCAGGCACACGCTCACATGTCTGTCGACCATGGCGCCTGATGAGGTGTTTTCTTGAGGTGCTCCTGGCAACATGGGAGCCAAATGCAGCTTCATGACTCCCTCCTCCCTCTCCTGTCACGGCTGCATAAAGTGGGGCTCGGTCTCTTTTGCGCTCTCTCTCTCTCTCTCTCTCGCTGTCCGTCGACCTGCTTGTATCCTTTTTTTCGGGTCTGTTTGCAGCTTTTTGCTCGTAAGCTATGCCAGCAACACGTATTCCGCCACCTGGCTGCATCAAGCACTCGGCGCTCGGGCACGTGCGCAACCCAGCTGGTGCGGATGCAGAAATCTCAGCGCCAGGCCCTTTCCAGCATCGAGTCCAACTCTTTCTTCCGCTGCCCCAGCTGCTCCTGTTTGCGACCCACGGCAAGCTACATTGGTCTCAGCCAGTGACAAATGACACGTGGTCCTTGCTGCTTTGCTTCAGCTCCCCAGCAACTCGCTTGATCTGGCACGTTACTAGGAGTGACAGAACTGATTGAAACTCACGACCAGCTCAGCCCATCACATCCCCACGTTACCCCGAGCAGGTTGAGCTTTAAGATGAACGTGGCCGGCACCCCTGTGCCTGCGATCTGCAGATGTCTTCACGCCAAAGTGCAGCCTGGCAGCGCTAACTCAGGGAGACATGAAGTACATTCCGACACACGGCGGGGGACAGCGTGCAGCATGATCATGTGCGCGCTAGCTGCTGTCCCGTACCGGAAGCCATCTCGGGAGGCTCTTGAACGTACAGCCAGCAGTTGCTAACCGGTTCAAACCAAGCTTGTGAAACCATCATCTTGCCACCCTTCTAACTCCTGGCACATTTAAAGGCCAGCAACATACAAGGGATCTTCGCCTGTTACAGTTTGCAAGACTCCTTTGATACTCGCAATTGAGTCCGCGGGTGTGCTGTTAAACTGCTATGGCTCGCTCGTTCTGCAGCTTTGCAATATGGCCATATCTCGATGCATCTCGATGCTTTCCTCCGACAATCAGCTGTCAACAACGGTTTTTTCAAGCTGGGCGAGCATTTTTCCCTCACGACTTGCGGAAACAACTGCTTTGCTGGGCTTTGCATTGTAGCTTTCTGCAGGCATCCTCAAGAAAACATGCCAAGGCCCCACCTTGCCCTCCACCTCCTGCACCTCCAGGTCTCTCTCAGCTGCTGCGACCCGTGACTGGCCCGCCTGGCACCACCAAGCACTTAGACAAAAGCACTGGGACGGGCTTCGCGGCTGTGAGCAGTGCTGAGCCGGGTGACCCTGCATTCGGCTGCGCAGAGCCGGGCCGGACATCTGGTTCATATGACCCTTCTCTAGGCTTAAAATGATACAGGCCGCCAGGCCTCGAGGCTGCGTTGCACGTCCCGCACAAGCCCTGTCAAAGTGGACACTGCGAGACATGAGGCATGTTGCGGCATGTTCTAAATCCCAGATCCAGATGTCGCTCGGCCTGCTTTCAGCTCGGCGGATCTGGCCTCAGCCTCGAAGAGGGAATGTGCGCAGTATGCTTTGAAAGGCTTTGGGACTACCCAGCAGCCTCCTGTTGAAAGACCTTTGCGCGTTCAGGGTTTTCCTTTGGTTCTAACCGGTCGCCAGTCAATCAGCTACTCTACATGACATACCCCACTACTCGCTGAATCGAGGGTTGTTTAAAGCCAGCGTCGTTCGGCTACAGCCAATCCCAGCACACATTCCAAGCTTCCCAAGCGGGTTACTTCCATAACTATTGGATTCGACCATCCCCACCAGCTACCGGATGTGGAGCCATCCGGCCGTTTTCGGACATGCGGAGACATCGCTCTCCGCCTCAGGGTGGGCACTCCAGGGATACTCGGCGGAACTCTTGTGCTCCAAGGATACTCGGCGGGAATACGTTCCCAGGACCTCTTGCGGGCTTGGGCCGTCAAGCTTCTCTTGTGGCTTCTCTGCAGGCTCTCCAGGGGATACTCGGCAGCTGATCTCTGCAGGCATCCGGGGATGGGCACTCAGGGCACCAGGCCCAGGAGACGGGCGGGACAGCGGGCGAGGAGGTGAGGAGGCGAGGAGCATGGTTGACGTAAGAGTCTAACAACCCCCACGGTGTGGAACAAAGAACAAGAATACTGGACCAGGCATGTCATTAAAACATTTTCGAACCACTTAAATTGGGGTATAAGTGGACTGATGGTCTGAACGCTTCGAACTGTCACACTGCCGCAGTGCTAAGCATCGTAATTACAAAGATTGCGATCAAGTATGATCAAAACAACAGAATCGAAAGCAACCGTCAACGCAGATATTCAATGCCCGAAAGCTTCGGAACTCCAAGCGTTGAGCCTCGATGGATGCCTGCTTTGACGAGGTAAGCGTCCTTTTGGCCTCAGGACCCGTGCCACTGTTTCTGGAGCCAGCACAAGGCGCGTAGGTCACGAACATCCCAACCCTCAATCCTACCAGTACGTACAACTTTCCCCAATAACCGGCATCAGTGGTCAGGGGAGCGCAAAGCTCTCCAGTGCCCGGGTTAGCCTGTTTCTGTCGGCACAGTAAGCTCAATTTAAGTGCATTCATAAATCTGTTTGTTGGATTTGGGTGACTCGATGAGTGCGTGGCAGATAAAGAGTTTGGGGGGAAAGGTGAGCAAAGATGAGCACAGGCGAGCAACCCACCAGCCCAAAAGACCCGAAGAGCAGCGAACGCTTGGACCAGAGCCGCATGGCATTCGGCCTGCAGTTGACGCAGGGTGCGCTGCTTCCTGATGACCTCGTTCTGAAGAGCGCGGCTTGGGGGTGCGCCAGGATTCCAGGGGTGAGTTGTTTGCAGAAAGGAATCTCATGACAGAGAGCCTCCGACCTGTGCACCGGGGCCTGTCCTAATGAGACTGTCCGGGTTTACAGCTTTGGAGGAGCGGGAACCCAGAACATTTCAGCAAGGCCATCTAAGGACAGTGCACTTCAGTCACTACTGGCACGCGGGGGGAGGGGGGGGGGGGGTGGCAACATCCTACCATGTCACGTCTTTTCAGGCCAACCTCAGTGGTGCAGATGTTTCTTGGTAACATGTTTCTTGGCAACATGTGTAGCTGTTGAGTGGTCACTGATGTGAAGCTGTTGTAGGCCTCTCCTGTCCTCCCCGCACGCGACACACTTAGCACTTCCGTTCTTGCTAGCATGTTCAAGCACCTCCGCTCTCGGTTCTAGAAGCACCTTGTGCTTTCAACTGTGGAAGCTTTCTGAATACAACCGACTGATACCTTTCCAATCTATCCTTTTCGCGAACTTTTCTTTTCCATGCAGAACAAACGAGGTGTACTTACGCCAGAATAATCTGTTTCGAGTTAGGATACTACATGCCTCTTCTCATGTAGAAAGCAGGTGCTATTCTAGCTGCACTAAGTTGCACTGGTTGGCCGCATCATGTTCATGTACTTATGTACTTCTTAAGGTTCAGGAAGACGTTCTGTTTAAAGAGCGATCCGACATAAGGTTCCAGGTGAGACAAGCTTGAAAGGGCCAGAGAAACGGGCGGATGGCGAAGCCAGGCTTTGCATCTGCTCGAGTGCCTCAAGGCATCTTGCAAAACCCCGCACCGCCGGACTTCAAACCAGCCATTTTTAGATGATTTCCATAGGCGCACAGCACTGCGAGATAGAGTAAGTCAGCGCCGAGACGAGCTTGCAAACATGACCGAAAGGCGCCCCAACAAATCCCCAAACCTGAGCAAAGCAGAGGAACCAAGCGCTCAAATCTGGGCCTTGACAGGAGGCGTGTATAGTCTTCTTCTGCACTGGTCCTGGAGTGAGCTGGAGACACATGTGCATATGGAAAAGTGTGGCTGCAACTTGCTGCAACACAGGCCAAGAAGGTCCTCTGGCCTCCAAGCCACCTGGGAGGATTGAACTTATCCAAGCCCAGTCATAATCGCTAGCAAGGAGCAGCTGGAACTTGCAAAGCACAAGCTCGGCAGCCCGCCTAGCTTACATGGCCAAGCCCAACATCACGGACTCTTCGCGCGATCTCATGAGCCGAGACAGGGCTGCCGCGCTGCGAGTTCGGGGAGGGTGGTTTGCACGATGCTTCCACATGTCCGAACACATGGGAGATCGCAGGTGTCGCAAACATCGGTGACACCGATGTTCTCGGCACGTGGCCCAGAAGATAATGTCAGCAGAAAGCGGCTGTGCCAGGCCACGCCGCGCTTGTTTTCCTGGCGTGGGCGAACGCGCCTGGATCCCAGGACGGAGCAATGGGCTGCCATTGCCGCTTGACCTCGCACTTGGCGAGCTTTGCCTCCAGAATCGACGTGAGGTTGCATCCAGCTTCAGTTCCGGGAAGGAGTCTGATGTGCAGCAAACTGCAACCCCCTTGAAGATCGAGCAGCTTTAGCATTTGTATGGACTGCCTGCCCATCGAAGTGCCCAACTAAATGCTAAAAGGAAAACAAGAAGATACAAGAAGATACATACAAACAAGCGAGTTATCCAGGAAAGATACGACAGTTTAGAGTCCCAGCCGCTGCCTCCGCTGCGTCGGGCGCGCTGCGCCTGCGGAATGAAGCGCTGGTTTAACTCTGGTCTGGTGCTCAGAGCCGCTCAAGCAGAAGCAACCCATTTCAACCGTCACCAATACGCCATCTCGACAAGCCTCAGCGCAGCTTCTTACCCCCTGCTCACGCGAGACCCAACCCTACCTGGCTTGGCTCGAGGTGCAACGGCCTGGGGGCATGGGAAAGCAAAGGGGTAGCTCATGTAGCTCAGGCATGCAGCTAGCATAATAGCAAGCACATGCAAACGTGATGAACACATGCAAACACAGCCACGCTGTGTCGCACAGAAGCTCAGGAGCCCTGGTATGCCTGGAAGCCTCAAACTGCCTGATGCAAAGCCATTTCAGAACGCCAAAGCAGAACTGACGCAGGAGATGCCAAGATGAAATGCCCACAACGGTGCCAGTTGCTGCAGCTCCAGCAGGATGTGTGTGTGCGTTCGGCCGAAGCCGCATGGCAAGCAATTATCCAAATCTGGAGCCCGCCTTGGGAGACGAAGATGTCTTGGGTGCTGCCAACGGACCTGGCAAAGCTCAAGTGGTTGCGAAGGAGGCTATTTCCCAACAGCCGAAGGTGCGGGTTTCTATCAACAGAGGTGGGGGGCCATTTGTCATTTCGGAGCCCTGGAGCCCACGGAACGGGAACAGAACTTGATCATCTTTGTCTTGCTGGCTGTTGGGTTGCACAGCTGGGTTAATTGCAGAGCCCCTGCACAGGAATTCACTCTTTCGGGAGAATTCGGGCAAGGCTCCGTCAAGGCTGTAGAAGCAACCGACACCCCTACAGTAGTCATCAGTCGCTAACCATGAATGATTGCTTACGCACACCGTCTCACGCCCTTTTCAACCGCAACTCGAGGGCAGCAAATACGTCACGAGCTGCAGCACCTGTCAGATACAGGAGCTTCTGCAGAAACTGTGGCCTGATCTTCAAAACAAGCGACTAGCATGTCATGATGTCATTGCAGCGAATAGTTAAAAAAGATGTCATGCCCCGGGTTCAACTGCAAGCAACAGGCACAGCATTGTGGCCACATTCACATGATAGCATCTTTCCTCTGGAAAGATGCAAAGACTAAAAAGCGGCTGACTTTGAAGCAGCCCTCCTCCGAATCCTACGAGCTGTAACCCGTTCTGCGGATCCGCCGCAACAGAGCAGCTGTTTGCCAAAACCGCGCATCTTGCAGGCTGGCACAAACCTGCTGCTCTAACTTCCTGCACGCGTATCTATTCGCTTTCAGCAACTTCAGCCAAGGTCAACCGAGCTCAGTCGCATTCCGCATTGCTCACTGGAACCCGCTTCATCACAGAAACCTTTCCTACTTTGACCCATGGTCGTCAGCGCCTTGTCAGGCTACTTAACCAAGGGGTAGATTCTCGGAATGGTGAGCCGTGGCATTCCGTGGCCCGAGATCGTGCTAGCGCGGGAAGTAAACCCCTAGCGCACAACCATATCATGAGAAGACATTTGCCGCCACTCACACTTTAGTCCAGGCCTCAGTAGGCAACCCCAGCCCCAAGCCGGGCCTTGTTGCGGGCAGTGAGGGAATGTGAGGGAGGAGGTGGCAGTTCAGGATTAAGGATGCATAGTTCTGCGATTTTGGCTGCGCCCGCGAAGCACAGAGGGGCCACATCCTTGAAAAAGACTACATAAGACTACGTAAGCTGTGGCTTCAAACTCGGGGGAACCCTGAGTGGTGGAAGGGAGGCCTCCGACTTCTTTGAAGTCCTGGAGGTCTTGGAGGCTTGGGAGATCCTCTCCCGCCCACCTTCCACCATCAGGTCCCGCTCATTCTCCTGCTCAACGATCCTCTTCCGCACACTGAACCTTCAATGTCGCAGCGCGCTGGAACCGTCTGAGTCGCTCCAGCCATGCTCGTCTCTCAACCCCTGAATGAACTGGGGACATCTCGATGTTATCCGTGTATCGTCCTGGGACACTGTTGGATATGGCGACCAGGTGGCCTCTCCACGCTGCTGTCCGAGGACACATCGGAGTCAGAGGGCCTCAACTTCCAGTGGGGAGAGGAATTTGAAGCGCGATCAGCCAACTCAAGAGCAAAACTGTTAGTTGCTCGTGGCTTTCCGGTGGCTTTCCCAAGCCCTAGGACTCGGCAGGAATAGAAACCCAACTCTTTACGACACTCCTGGACGAGACCTGCGTACACGTCATCAGCCAAGAGGCTGGCTCACCTGCTTTCGGGGACATGCCAAAGCAAGGACAAAGCTGCGGTTGCGGTCCCTTCAGGCTCCCTGCCGTGCCTGCGACGACAGCTGCCTGCGGAGGCCCATCCCCATGAGGCCTGGTCAGGGTATCAGGGCTCGTGCACACGGTGACAAGCCCAACAAGCCCAAGAACATCCAACAACACTGCCTAAGTTACTGCATCATATTGCATCCTCCCCCACCTGCGGAGTTGTGACGATTTAAACTCCTCAGGGTTTTCATGCTTGCAGGAAGGGAAGATGGGGTTCAGGCGATCAAGGAAGGTACTCCACATTCTCACACTGAGTGTCAGGGGCCACTTTGGCCCTTCAACCTTCGGTGGTTTTAAATTTTCAATTTCACGCATCAGAAGACCTGCGTCTGCTAGTAGGCAGGTTCCGCTACCGCATGCCATTACTCTGGGCAAGCGCTTGAGTCCTGCCCCCGCCCCACCACGCTGGGCGAACATCCAAAGATCCCTTCGGGAAGGTCTTCTTGACAATCCTCCGGGGCCGACACCGAGGCAGATCTGAAAAAGGCGCTACGGATCTAATTAATGAAAACTCATAGGCTCATAGACACGACAGAACCAGTTGCGGTGAGTCCGTCCTGCGAGCATCGTATTTCCCGACATTCAGATCGCTGCGAGAATCCTGTCCCGAGCTTTCAGACATTGACAACTGTCAGAACTGCGCAGCCTGAGAGCGGCCAGCGGTGTCTGCAAAACGCGAACTGAGCTTCTACGGAACTTCCACGGGTCCACGATCCTTGTCGAAGTACTTGTTTTGGATATGAAGAGCCCTCTCTGCGTAGGCACAGACCTGGCACCACCATCAAGAGAGATCCAAGCCCCCGTGGTGTTTGCACGATTTTACTGTGCAGGAATACATCGTTCTTGTCCAGTTTTATAAAGACATGTCAGGCACGTGAACTTCCCATGGCAATAACGACTGACAAACCCCGCACGACCTCCAGCTGGCAAATCTTGGCGTGCTGCACGACATCGAAGAACTTTGCCGCATCCAGACCCAGTATCCTTGCAAGGTCAAACGAGTTCGCTCACACCTCGCAACCTCGACCAAGTCAACCACAAGCGCGCTGCGAAGGGTTGATCCGAGGCCCTCTACTTTGGCCAAGAGTCTTGCAGTCAGTCTTGGCTCGCATCGATCCACAGTGGCTCCAGGGGCACCACAGCACCTTAACCGAAGAGGGCCGTTTCACTTGGAACTCGATCTAGCTGCTCAAGCAGCTTCGTGTAAAAGTGGGAACGTGCATTATACCTATGGGGCGAACAGCAGGCAGGGGCCCCAACCATCTCGCTGAAGTAGGCAGGTGCCTCAGCTGTCTTACAATGTAGTGCGCTGCCCCTCGTTGTAGTAGTCTCTAGAATAATTGGACGAAGGCATGATGCTCGATGGTGACAAAAAGGCCGCGCAGTCTGCACTACATTGCAAAATCCGCCTCCGTAATTCGAACCTTCAACCCCCGCCTTGACACCTCTACGCCTATGCCCCTCCCTGCACAAACAAGCCTTCCACGGGATTTCCAGATTTTCGGGCCAGGCCGGGGAGTTGCACAGCACAATTGAATCAAGAGAGATTCACGGCAGAGTATGGAGCACGTGCCCGCCTGCACTTGGTACGGAGCTGGCTCATCCTCTCTTGTGTAAACGAGGCTCCCCGACATGGCCTCAGTCAAAAAAAATCGAAGTCATCTCAGAGGTTGGCCTCTTTCAAAAAGCACAGAGTATGTAAAAAGCATGTGCAGTGCATGGCATGAGCACTGACCTCAAGCGGCTACACAACGCACAGGAGGGGCCGATACTGGGAATCCGATTGATGCAATCTGCGCCCCACAGCCTGCTGGTAAGGCGCAAAGTACATAGTCTTGGCGGTCTCGCCTTTGGTGAAGAGGTAGTCATCCCCAGACAGTTGCATGGTTCGCAGGGCGGTGTGGCAAAGCTTCATCATGGCCGGCTCGTTCAGGCGCGAGTAGGCGAAGAGCAATGGGTGCTTGGTCAGGGTCGGGCCTGACATCAAGGTCAGGCACAGAATGCTCCAAAGATTTCCGCAGTAGTATACAAATGTTACAAATGCCACTAAGAGGGAAATACTGAGCTAGCAGCTGTGCATCTCAAAATGCACTTCCATCTTCAAGGGCTCTGACCTCACAGAACAACTGCCCCGCACACATGGCAAGAACAAGCACATGCTAGCAAAGCAAGCATGCTTGGCTCCTAGCAGCCTCTGCAGCAACTCGATATCCCCTTCCTCAGAAGGCGGCCCGATTCCGGATTCTTACAGCCCATAAATGTCGGCCATGGCCACTAACCCGTTTTGCCTCGGGCCGAATAAGCGCCTGGCCTCTGGCTTGGATCGCTTCTCAGCCAGTCTTTGGTCGAGGTATCGCCGCACCCGGATCGTCAAATAGAACGAGAACTTCCTTGGTCACAGTTGTGCTAAAGCCTGTAAACTGTAAACATGCTAGATCATGCTAGAGCAGGAGACTTGGATTGTGATTTGGTATGGAGAGCCTTTGTGCCTTTGGCAACTGTCTACAGAAGATGTCAGTACACAAAGCCAGCTTCTACATCTGACTGGCAGTTGCCACTGGAGCATCTGAGGGCTGCATCGGTGCTCAAAGCTGGCCTGATGAGTTCAATGAATTGTCGAGCTGCCGGCTCTGCATAAAATCTTCGAGCTTGGAGAACATGATTCGTTCTCCACTCTCCAGGTTTCGTAAGTGAGTCATCAAGTTCGTAATGCTTGACCTGAGTCGCCCCCAGCCGCAAGCAGCACCAGCATGCACCAGCATGCACCAGCATGCACCAGCATGCACCAGCATGCACCAGCCAGCCCCTTTTTCCCAATCTAAGATGCAGACACAAACGACGAGAACGTGACAAGCGCGAAGATGACAACAGCGACATTGAAGGCTCGCTCTGATATAGTTTGGGGCAGGACCTCATTGACTGCCAGTAAGCTAAACGGGCTAAACGTAGCTCATCTGACAAAATCGCAGGAGCAATCTCGCAGCATCTCAGGCTCGAGCACCCATACTCGCTGGCGTGAACTGGGTCAAGCTCCAATGCAACGTTATGAGATACGAATACCTGAGCTCCATGCATTGCTCATCAAAGGTCTGAGGACGAATCTGTGAAAGCTGCTATGCCACGCTACCAAACAGTGAATGGAGATGCCTGAAGCATCCTAGGACGATCTACGCGGCCATACGAGGCCCGAACCTCTGCCTAACCTTGGGTGGTGAAGCGTGACTTGACCGCTGTGCCCTTCCCAAGTGAAGTGGATCCTTTCCTCTACCCATGCAGCGAGGATCCACCAATCTGCAACTGGAATTTCGTAAACCTCCACCCATCCACCCGATTCCTGCAGGGGAGCATGAGCAGAACCCCAAGTCGAGCATTATCGGCCCGGCCAACAAAGACCGTGTCTTGTGAATCAAGGTTAGCCCGGTTCAGCACATGCCGACCTGACCAAGCAGGTACCAGAACGAGGCGATGACGTGGTTAATGAACAGGATTCCCAACAGATGGCGGACCTCAAACTCTCCTATTCACCCGAACATCTTGAATCGATGCCGAGGTCCTTGCGCCCTACACTCGGGTCCGGACGATGCCAAGGCTCAAGGTTATGTACTCCGACCGGGTGATAAACATCGGGAGGTAGCGGAAGAATCCCGGAAGTTTCGCAGCTCGGAGAAGCTTTGCCGACCTCAAATTCCAGAGAAGGTGCCACTTGCAATCCGGGGCCGAAGCCCTCTCGCCCAGAAAGTATCCCCCAGTTCCAACAGCCATCTTACAGCGAACAACCGTTCCTCACATGTCTACAAAATGTCCCCAACCATCTCTATAAACGTTCCTCTAGTTTTGGGTCGGGCGCTTCAGGAAGCGCAGAATTCGGAAGGAGCGAGTGGAGCGGATGAGACTGGGCAGTGAGGGAATGTTCGTCAGGACGTCGACCCACTCGAACCTGGGGGTGTTGTGGAGTTTTGTTGGCATTGGTGTATTTTGCATGGTTCTGCAAATCTTGGGAAGTTTGGGATCAAAAAAAGCAAGAGCCGACTCCGACTGCCGCTTAAACACATGAGCAGGATGAGATCCGGCATCATCCAGGTCTGGGCGTAATTTCTTGCCGTCTTGTGTGGCCGTAGCTCAAGGGTCCCCGAGACGTAGTAGCCCACGAAGAAGGCAAGGCAGAAATCCAGCGTCCAAAACGTGGCGGAGAGCATGGTCATCGGGTGCCTGGGCTGTTCTGGGTTCCATGCTTTGCTACTCCTAGCAGACCAGATCAGGCCAAATCAGGCCAGATCAGAACAAATGGTTCGGATCAGTAGGAAGGTACCCGCAGGATGCTTGTGGCATTGAGTTCCAGCAGCCCAAAATAACCAAGGGACTCGAAGGACGAGATATCCAAGTTGTATACAGACAAGGGAACCAAGATCATGTCCTGTGCAGACAACGATGTTTCCTCCTACTATATTTCAAGCTCGGGACACAATCCTGTGCAACGACGAGGTATGTGAAGGAGCTGTGATAGCAGCTCACCACTCAAGATGTAAGGGTGCGGCATAGGCGATCAGTAACAATGAGAACACCAGCCACAACCTGAGAGACATTGCCCCTTTACTTGCGTGCTTCTTTTCTTCGGCTATTTGCATAGATAGAAGATACATGCTCCGGCTGAAGGAGTTCGAAGCTGTATCGAGGCGGCTTGTTTCAGCAGAGATTGGGATTGGGGGGGGGGGAGGAGAATGTCTAACCGTCAAGACATAGGTGTGTTGGATTGTATACATGAAACACACGGTTTTGGCGTTGACTCGCGGCTTTACATTGAATGCGAAAGCGAACTTGCTGGAAAGCCGCATGTCTAGCGATGTGGTACTGTGCACGCGCCACCCACGCACGCACGCCCTCTCTCTCTCTCACATGTGAGACGCACATACCTTCAAAGGAGGCGGCATCTCACCGTGCACTCATCATGTGTGGTCATGAAGCTGGTACGAGTACGGTATGCTACATGGACATATGCAACAGCGACGATGTCTACGAGGTGCACGCTATTTGCGTTGGCAGTCCCGCCCCCCCCCCCTCCCCCTCGCAGAGATGCGTCCTACATTTGAGTGCCGCACGGAGCGCTGCACGGACACACATGTTGCCAAAAGTAGAAGGCGCAACTTCAGCATAGCATCAACAGTCTACAATGCCTGGTAGTGGCGAGCAAGGAGGTCATGCAGCCAAGGATCAGCCGGCGCTTGCTATCTGGCTCCATGATCATGGCCTCCGCACGTAATCAAAAACCGGGTCACAAGCCCAACCTGCAGTTCCAAGAACGTGATCCCTGTGATCCCCAGTAACCGTGGGTCTCCCCGTTGCGAATGGAAAAGGATGTCAGAAACATCCTTTCTCAACTCTGGACAGCTCTCGTGACGAGCTGGTGCCCTATCCCCAGAACACACGCTGTTTCATGAGCCCCTGCCTTCAATAGCCTGGATGATCGGGTCTTTGCATCCATGGTGACCTTTCCATGCTGAACGGAAAGCCTGCCAAGGTCACATCCGATTCTGCAAAATTCTGCAGCAGCTGCTTCAGCAGCGGACCCAAGAACTCTGAACACATGGTACGGGATCCACGATTTTCGGCCGCAAGGGCTCCGCAAGGGATCTCTCGCCACGTCGTTTCAAGAGACCACCCGGGATCGTGCTAGATTCTAGATCATGCTCATGGCCCAAAACTCGGACCTGTTTGTTTGCGCGGTGTAACTCTGCATCGAGGCGCGCCGCTCCTGCTGTTGCCGCAGACTCTTCAGTCTCAAGTGGGGACCCGCAGAAACTTCACAAACTTGAAAAGCAAGTAAAACAGGCTTCTGTCCTCCAGGATTGCCTCGTCGGCAAGTTGGATCCTCAGAGGGATGAAAAACTCGTAGTCCCTGGTGCACAGTTGAGCCAACGGAGAAACACAGAGTCTATCGCGGACAAGGCTCCAGGTTTCGTACGGCTCGAGACTCAGCTCTACCTCAGGGTTTGATTCCCCCTGTGATTTCCCCACTACTTTATGTCCAATGCATGCAGCAACCAGTGGAGTGTTCTCTTTGTAAATGATTCCTCGACCCTTAACCATGTGATGTTTCTGTGTTTGTCTGCAATTCATACCGGTGGCTTTAGTCGATGCAGAACCTGCGGGCAAAGGATGCAACCGACGCCAGTCCAGTAACGACCCGCTCAGAGGCCACTGGCCGCGCAACACGTCTAACCATGCATGATCATCCATGGCTCGTCCGGAACGCCTCAGAACAACCGTTAGCAAAGCACTTCCGAAAGAGGCCTGGTCCAGCGCAGGCGCAGACGTGGCCCGGGGACCCACACCTGAAACTGGGGGGCTTCTTGCCAGCAGCTAGCAATTCTAACTTGATCTAACTTGATGAACACAGAACGTGCTAAACTGCCTCTGAAGCCAATCTGCAGCAGAAGCTGTTGCCAAGGTGCTGGGCAAATCGTTCGTCTGGGTCCGGCTCGAATTTCGGCGCATTTCTGCCTGCATTTCTCCATCTCATGAAGAAGAGACTTCTGAGATTTCCTGCTGTCCCGAGCCCCCACAGACATGACCCCACAATCCTCGAAGTTGAATCTCCAAAATTGGTCGGGGCACCGTCCGGGCCCGCGCAGCAGCTGCGCGATGTGTAGAGCTGCGGCTGCCAACGCCGCCGCTTTCCGAAACGATACTGGACCTTTGGGGTTGTTGGAGTTCAGGGTTGAGAGAGTTGAACTAGAGATGTGCTGAGTGTCGGCAGCATACTTCCGAAACATCCGGCACACAGCAAGCAGCAGCGCACACACCCCAACCTGTTCGGCAGTGCCTCCATGGCTGATCCCCTGACCGCAGTGGATTCTCACAGGCCAGCGACATCATGAAATCAAAACCATAGTAGCAGGTAAGCCCCAAAAGGACGAGAATCAACAGAATCCGAATCAACACTGAATCAACTCAGCAGTAGGAAATTTGACTGCTTGCAGTGCCAGGTCATCCGCATTTTTGATTCCAGGCTTTCTGCGCCCTTCGCCTCATTAGTGTTCTGTGTCGGCTCTACATTGTTCCCAGCCTGTTTGACGTGTGTTTGACAGCATCGTTGAGTTGGGTCCTCTGTCTTTCACCTTTGCTCTGCCTTGCTGAACCAGAGACCTTGCTGCACATCTTTTGCAATCTACTCAGACAAGACAGCACGAACGTCCGGCTCGAATTGTTATTCGACCTTTGCCGTGTTCTTCCTCATCCGTTTTTGCTACTTGGCCTGCTCAACTGCGGTGGCGCCGGCAACTGTTAACATGACTGCTCATTATCAAACTGAACCTGCGGCTGCCCTGCATTCCGAAGGTGTCAGTGGAGATCGACCTTTCAAAAGGCTCAAGTTCGCGAACGCTGCAGGCGCACTGCGCGCACGGCTTTCAGCAGAACCACAGATCTGGCCACGGCTGTGTTTTGCCAATCTCTGCGCGAAGCATACCGAAACATACCCAGGGTTACCAAGGGCCCGATGAAGTGGCCCTGAAGGCCCAGCCTCCTGGTGCCAATAATGTCTCCAGACGGGGACCTGCCCACATATTGAGGCTTCAAGGCTTGAGCATTCCAGACTTCCACAGACATCTAGAATTGAGAAGCAACGCACGCGCCCCCGAACCTGAAACTGACCTGCCCTGGGAGGACGCCGTGCATGTCTCCACTAGGCGACCTGCACAGACGGCTCGACAGAAATGCTGAGCCTAAAGGCACGCAAAGGCGCACATGACACGGCAGGCATGAGTTAACGTGGCCTCGTGCTATGCCGCTGGCGACCCGGGGGTCTCAAGACCTGCACGAACTAGGGTTTCAGAAGAGGCTTAGGGTTTCTTGGCTTTTGGGCTTAGGAAGGGTCATGTCCAGGGGAACTAACATTCAATGCTGCATCCTCTTTATGTAGTTTCAGGCTCAGTTAAGCAAGATCCACTGGTTGCTTGCTCCCTTCCCAAGAGCCTGAAATTCGCAGAATAGTCCATCGTTTTGAGGGACAATGGGTGGCCCAAGCGTAGCCCAAGGGACAAGAGGGTCCATAGCCCATGGAGCCATGGATTCTGGTGGCCTCAATGTCTAAAGCTAGTTACATGGGTCATCTCACTATGGGTTAATTGGGGAACCCTTATATACCCATTATATGCCCTGTAGAACCCAAGGGCCCATACTTCAGAACCCCTTCAAACCATATGAAGGGGCCATGTACCTAGCCTCAGCAATGCAGAGGTTGAGGGCCTCTAGGGCTCCGGGGCTTCAAGCAGCGATTCAAGCATTGGCGCCTCCTCGGAGTCGTCCGCGAAGGGCGCCTTCTGCCGCTTGGCCGTGAGGGAGCTGCGTACGCGCATTTCGGAGGACTGCCTTGGTGGGCGGAAATTGTGTGAGCTGCGGCTGCAGCAATGTGTGGCAGCTTGGAGTAGCCAGACTCGTGTGACGAAGGATGACGAAAGACCGCAAGGCAACATAATTGTATCTGAGGCACTGCCGCAGTTGAAAAGCGCTGACCGCATCCTGGCATGCCAGCCGCCGAACGTGCTATGGCACCAAGTCTGTGAGAACAACAAGGAACTTGAAAACACTTCCAAACAGCGCATCACAGCGTCCCCCTTCCAAGTTCAACCTGAAGCTCGATTTGGCTCTCGTTCCCAAGTTGCGGCCTCCCCGCCATGGGCGTGAGAGTCGAAAGAGGCCAGGACGGCCTCTGCCTGGAGCGGCTCGGGGCATGGGGCTTTGGGTCGCTTGAGGTTTCTGTGGAAAGAAAATCACAGTGAAGAACTAACCTAGAACTCCAAGGACATCCGAGGATTGAGAAAACCAAAAAACCTTTCAGCAAGCTGGCCACAGTTTATACAATCTTACTCGTGGCAGTGTCGCGCTTCAGGGTGTGATGCAAATTGTCAGGCACGTTTCAGGATGTCGCATAGAGCCCGACCAGCCGAACAGCTCAAGCAAAAGTCGCAGGATGGTATGACATGCAATGCACGTCCAGTAGTAGCACTAATTACCTGTACTATTTATCGTATTAACAATATGAATAATCTTAATGATAAATATATTATTAATGATATTGGTAGTATCGTGCCCCTTGGCGCCTCCTCCAAATCTTGGTGTACAAGAGCATGGGCAACTGCGAAGGATCAGGGATGCCAGGCTCTGAAAATCTGAAAGGATGACTCAGCTTAACTGTCAAGACCTGCCATGCGTTGCTGTGCCTGAGGGGCTGCCCACCATGGGGCTGCCCACCATCTTCTCGCCGAGCTCTTTGGCAGGAAGGGCGAAGGTTGGCACGGGAGGCGCCTGGGCGTGGGCTTGGGCAGTGATTCTTCCGTGTTTTTTTCATCGGATACTCGGTTGTGTTGGTGCTGGCCGCTTTTGGTTGCTTTTTCCTGGTGACTCTTGGCCGAGAGACTACAATAGCCAGGACGGGTGCGGAGATGCTCTTGGCCGATTTGAGGATCTCCAAAGACGAGCTCGTGAAGGAAAGGGCCCCAGGGTCCTCAGGGAGTCTGAGTATACAGCTCGGGCTTGGCTTGCGTACTGATTGCCGCACTCCTGCACAAAACGATGGCACGGCAACTCAGACGAGTCCTTCTCTGCCAGCTCGTTGCGCAAAGCTTCGATTTCCTGGCGCATGGTGGTCACGACGACCTGCCGGATGCGTGCAACAGACCTTTGCATGTTGCTCAAATCATGTAGCATATGTAGCATCATGCTGCTTGTCAAATACAGCGAAACACTTTCTGACTCGCGGGTCTAGAGCCGGCTAAAGTCGGCTAAAGCTTCAGAAAGTGGATTCTCTACTTATTGGAGTAGCCAACCCTTTGGAAATCCCCATCGTGCCTGGTGTCTTGTATACATGCTTTGCGAGATCTCGACCTGCAGCATAGAGATCAGGGCCGCTCGAAGCTCCGAAGAACATACTGAGTCCTGGCCTGTTGAGCCAGAAGTTGCGCGAATTGAGCATCCGTGTCCGCAGCAGATGCCGCTGCGCGTGGCGAAGATGTCGCTGCTCGTGGCGAAGATGTCTCTGACATTGCGCCAAGGCGGAGGACACTTCCACGTTAGTCCGATTTGTGACTTCTTGCTTCCGTAGTCAGATGCTGCTGTTGGTCTTGCCAAGAAAAAACTGAGGTGCCACTTGACTTTCATGCGGATCTTAACTGTGCCCCCTTTGCTGGGAAAAGAACCCGGAAATCTGAAGATCATGAAGCCAGCTATGCGTTGCAAGAGCAGACGTTCGTCTGATTCCTTGACATGCGAACACGCACATTGCGCAACTTTGCATCTCAGGGCCTGCCAGCTGCAAACATTCCACTTTACCACAAGCTGCAACTTGGCTGCATGCACCTCGCCGCATCGCCGGAACACCTCTGTCTGCGTTGCCGACCTGTGCGGTGAGGGTCTCTTCGTGCAGTGCTCTCTAATTAGCTAAGGCCTTAGCAAGCCTTAGGAAATCATCACACAAGGGGACATATCTCTCGAGCATCAAGGCAAAGAGCCTTCCGATACGCATCCCATAGCCATCCTCAGGGTCAAACCCACAGTCCATCTCAGTGCCCTCTCTGAGATGCAGCTCTACTGCAGACTCTGCAGTTCGCACAGCGATGTCGCAATCTGTCGTAGCATGTCGTAATCTGAATCTATGCTTGTGCTCCGAGTGCCGGGCTCTGAGCACTCACGGGCGTCGGCGTCGACTCTGAAAGCGGCGACCGAGACAACTGCGACATGGGTGATGGCGCGAGGGTCTCCACATCAAAGCCGGAAGCCTTGCGCGATAGGACTCGTTATGAGCACACTTGCAGTGGCAAAGTAACCACAAAATCCACACAGCCATGTTTGATCTCCGAATCTCCGAGCACTCCGAATCCCTTGTGCATCCCGCGTGACCTCCAGGTCTGAAGGAAACAGCTTCTGAGGTGTGCCTGTCGTGATGGCCCACGGAATGGTCACAGCTTAACTTGACAACGCCACGAACCTCGCCTGCTCCCTTGTGCGGGCTGGCCGGGCGCGCCGGGCTGGCAGCACGCGCCTGCTTGGGTCAATTGGGCCGCCGAAAAGGCTACCAGCAGCTCAGATGCAAACGAGCGACCGGAGCTACTTCCCTGTGCTTACACACCCAATCTTCGCCCCGCCTTCGGCGATCGTGAGGTCGGAGGGGTTCTGGCAGCTCTCCTGGCCTGCGCAACCATTCAGCTTACCGATGCTTCCTGAGTGCCTATGGATGTCTAGAGTCTACAGCCGGGGCCTTGGCTCAAAAAGGGACACAGCAGAACATCGATGCTAAGCACGCCTCCGGCGCAAAGCGCTGTGGGCTCCTGGGCCGGGAGGCCACCGAGGGCGGCCGGGAGGCCGCCGAGGGCGGCGAGGCTGCGGGTGGCATGGCCGAGCCAGGCTCAGGGCTTGTTGCGGGCACGATGGGCGCATCATTCGCCTGGTTTGCAAGGCACACTCTTTTCAGCACTGAGCACCGCAAGCCCCCTGCTTCACGAAATTGCTCTTATCGTCACAGTCTATCTAGTGGCAGCCCGCAACAACTCGGGCTATGCATAATTGCGTGAACATCTCGCAAACCGGCCTGCGTCATGGAACTTGCATCCTGCTGGGCTGCAGTCCTGCACAGGTCCCAATGCGACCCCAATGCCCCTCTCATGGCAAGGCCCACGAATAGTTTGCCAAGTTTGCACACGTTTTGTGAACCCACGCATGCTACGATTGTAAATGCGAAATCAGCTGGCAGAGCGGCTCAAACGACACAGCAACGTCAGTGAGGCTAGGCTGTGGAGGCTCCTTGGGACCAGGATCCGCCGCAGCAACGTAGTACTCACCGGCCGGCTTCGGCTGCGCCGCATCGGCAGAGCTTGCGGAAGCGCAACGGGTTCCAGCCGCGTGGGAAGTTGGACCACCCTGTAGGGCGAGCTTGGTGCAGGTGCAGGTGCTGTGTTCGAAGCCAGGGACACACGAACTGATGAAATGCTCGGCGAGTCCGCCCGACGTGACAGAAAAGCAGGTGCGCTGCTTTGCATCGCAGGCATCGTCGCGGGCATGGGCATCACCAGACCCAGATGAGGCAGAGGAGGCAAAAGAGGCGGTTCAAGAGCGGAGAAGAGAGGGGAGTGAGAAGAGTGAGACCACTGTTCGATGGGTCGCATGTGAGGAGATGGGGAATGTGTCGAAGGTGTTCTTCTTTGGAACACCAATGGCGGCGATGTCCAAATTGTTGGAGGCTGCCGGGAGTAGAACTCAGCTGCAGTTGAAGCAGGCTGTGGAGAGTAGCAAAAGGTGTCGAAGGTCCCACGAAACCTCTGTGGTGGTTCGCTGCTCGCCCTTATTGGCAGCATGCCAGGCAAGGATACTGGACCCTGAAGATGAGCCGGCATAAACGATGCTGAGCTCATGCTGGACGCTCTGCTGTGGGCCAAGGTTGAAACCGGCGACGGGGATGGTGATCTCGTTGACAAAGTCAGGGGCTTTGCCAAGCCGCCCAAGTCAGCCAAGCCTGCAAGCTCCATCAATGGTGGAATCGGCCCGAAGAGCCAAGGGATCTCGTCCTTCTCCTCGACGCTGGCACCTGCTGCACATACCGCGGCTGTCGCGGCCCTCGCCTGTGGGTTTCCGCTGCGTCCTCGGCCAGTGGACGGTGCCTCGGAGCAAAGCACCAAAAGCTCACACTGAGTTTTGTCCGTTTCGCAGCGGTTTTAGCAGCCTTCAAATGCTGTTTGCGGACTATCAGAATTTGCATCGTGATTTTCGGGAATGCTGAAAATGACGGGTTTTATGCGTGACAAACGTGCCGCTCTTGATAGAGGAGTTTGTGCCCCTTAGTTTCCTGTAACATCGTCCTGAAGCACAGTTCCACGTCTTGTAATGGGGGTTCCTTTATTGTCTGTGTGTGTTGTCATTTCACTCCTTGATCTGCGGATTCTGCCGTTGGCTCCGGGGTTTGCCTACGTAGGTTCTCACGGTATCTGGCTGAACGTGGGGCTGTTGAGGCTTCATTGTCTTGGCTGAGCTTGAGGTGATAGTTTCTTGAAGTCTGGGTTCAGGCGAGAGGGAGAGAGAAAAAACATGGCACAAAGCAGCATCGGTTCGGTCTTGCAGGTCAGCTGTTGTGCTGCCATCCGGCATCTCAAAAGCCCTGTGCATCCTGTGCCAACCTCTGCTTGTTTTCGACTGCCCGGCCTCTAGTGTTGCCTGCCACTCACGCGGGCCTGGCGTGTCTGGCACATCTTCGCAAATGCTGATGTGAATTGCAGCCCTCGGTTGAGCCTTGTGTGCTCTGGCCAAGTTCGTTCCTATGGGTCAGGAGAGTTGCACACATTGCCGTGCACTCGAGCACTACCAACTGTGACCATGCACGTTCAGGTTGTGACTTTGGCCGCGGAGGCGATGGAGGGCGCTGGTCCAGGTTGGCATTGCATCTGACAGCAATGCTCCAGAGGATTCGCACGGACACACTGGACAGCTACGGGCAGCCTGTCCGACAGCAGCGATGGCTCGAAGGCGCTCCTCTCCGAAAGCTGGGCCTGGGAGGTAGGACCAGGATGAAGCAACAGGAGCAGCTGCAGCTGCCAAAAACTGGGCAAGAGGCAGCGTTGCACAGGCTCCAGCCTCACCGAGAAGCCCAGTGCTGCTAAAAAGAAAACTGACCATTGGCCATGAACGTGGAATCATGGAATCTCCTGGCAACTCCTGATCTGGCTGACGTCCACCATGCCATGCCACGCACTCACGACCCCTTGTAGCTGGCTACTGCACTTTCATGGTTGCCCCACGCCTTGCGTGGGGAACATGCCACATGTCGCAGATGCCTGCCCCATGTCGCGGCAAGGCACACTCACACATAGGTCTAGATCCATGGGTTGATCTGCCTTCACGGAAAGTTCAAATAGCCCGAACTACGCCCAGTAAATCCTCCAAAGCCCGATAACCGACACATTCCCCTCAAAAGCTTCCCGACACTCCACGCCCATCACCCAGCCTCAGCCCTTTGCAAGGATTCTGCATCCCGAGGACCTGAGCTACGCCATACCGGATCTACGCCAACTGCAGCATCTGTACAGCATCTCTACTCTCCACAAGGAAGCAAGATGTCAAGAAAGATGTCCGCCATCAGCAAGCCCAGAGCTGGAGCGCCAGGAGTCAATGCCCCTCCTATCCTTCCTCATCTTTGCCCGAAATGCTGCGAGTACCAAGCATGGGCATGGGCAGTCAGTGAAGTCAGAACAGCCTTGCGCAAAAAAAACATATTTGCATTCAGTTGCACTCAGTCTTTCACATCGGCAGAGTACCACTCTCCCTCCGCTTCATGTGTGGAATCGAGGAGCCTTTCCAACCTTCTCAGGGGTCCAGGAAAGGGTTCATCATGCTTCTTCGCGAGCAGGTGTCGAGCACCGCTAGGAGCCACGGAGACGCTTTGGACTGCGCAGCGGCCCTGCGCCTGGCACAAGCACAAGTCCACAATCTGCAAACAGTCGTCGTGTCCAGCAACCGTTGTGCAGCTACACGGGGTACATGGAGGTAAAACAACTTGGAACAGCTTGACGAACACATCTTCCTTCTGAATTTCAAGGATAAATTCGCCTCGGCTTCCTGCCGAGAAGCGCCTGGAGCAAGCAGACCCGGATCGAGCCTCCTTCCCCTTAACCCAACCCTTCCCCCCATGCAAAATTTTGTGGCGGACCCTCCCCCCCCCCCGTGGGACCCCCTTGGAGGAGCTGCAAACCGATGCCGTGGAGGGTCCCGGCTCCTACAGAGGGAGCGCCTCAAAACGCGGCCCGGCTGCCGAGGCGGCGCGCGCAAGCGTTTACAATTGAGCATGGCTGTTTGAACGAGGGTGCCATTGTGAAGGAAAACTCAAAACAGCCAGGAAAAACCTCCGCAGAAACCTTTCAACACTGCCCTAGAGTGAAGCTCGGCAAACCTGGGAACAAGCAGACCAGGACGATTCAATATGATTCAATCCCAAGTCAATGAATCCTCATCGGCCTCATCGGTCCCAACCGGTCAAGTCATCATCCGAGTCGTTTGCAGGCATCGGCGCGCGTGCTCCTAAGGAAACCGTCAAAATGTCACATTTTCTTTCCTTATGGCATCCGCACACCTTCTCGGGCTCTCTGAGATGGGATTACCAGACCATGGATTGACTGTGTGCCACAGTATGCCTCGTTAGAGCCCTGAGAGGGGGGGGTCCCGCTAGCATCTGGGGCCTGGCTATGCGCCCGTACAACATCAATACGAGCTCAGTGCCTGCAATCGGCGGCGCATAGCCCCGGGCAGCTGCAGGCGGCGCCTTAGAGCGCCAGAGTTTCCCTGTCCCTGGTCCCCAAAATCGCAGTAGCCACCCGCAACTGGCCTCTTGGTGAGGTTGTGAAGTGCTAGGTCTGCTAGCTGGAGGCTCCTGGCAATAGAGTAGGGGCTTGCATGCTGGGACGGACGCCTGACATGGGGCCAGGGGCTTAAGTCTCAAATCAGGGTCGTTTGGGGGGGATTTAGAACAACCAGCACATGCACATGGCAAAGCGAGCATGTATGAACCTCATCACAGGTGAATAAAGCAACTTGTCAGCACGACCTGCCGTGGTGGCCCTGCACCTGAGCTAGACCAGCCACGAGGGCAGCACCGGCACTACTGGCCCCAAGCCTAGAGGTCACATCGTCCGTTGCTGTCTTTTCAAGTTGAACCATTGGCAGTGGTGTACACCGGAAATCACGTCTGACAATACTGAGACCGTCCATGAGGCTCGGCAAGAGTGTGGGCAGCAATTCCATTAGGGTTTGTCCACCTTATCGAGACTGGTGGAAAAGCGCTGAAGGCTTGACTGAACGGCGAGCCTCATCCAAGATCCGTCTAACGGGTGAAACTGTCGTACTTTGCGGCTGGGTAGGGAACTTTGGCCTGTTTCTCTTGAACCTGCCTCAAACTTGCAAGTAGCTCGGAAACCTCCTCAGTATCATCCAGGAAGAATTTTGCGGCGCTGGGCTTTCGGCCCACGGTGCATGTGAAAAATCTTCTGGTGGACTGGGGTGTGCTGCTCTCTCCTCCAAGGCTGTCCAAGCCTCCTGACAGGCTTCCTCGAAGGTCTCCGCTGTAGCCACAAAGCCCTCCACCACCGCCGAGCCCTCCGAGCTTCCCACTGCTCTGGCGTTTCGGGAGGAGTACCTCAGACTTAGCCTTCAACCGTGAGACGCTCTCGTTCTCAGAGCTCTCATCTTGGCTGATCTGCGAAGGCGTCTCCAACTCATCTGTGGGATCTAGCATCTGATTGACAACTTCGAACATGTCCTCGTCACTGCGGTCGTCGCCTATGCACAAGATGAAATCAACCTCGCCAAATGTTTGTGACACCTTGGTGAGTGCTTTGGCGACTGCCACGCCCTTGTTCACACCACTAACCTTCACTTCAACGTAGCCCTTGCCCTCCAAGATCTCAAGATCATAGCCTATGAGCAGCTCTTTCAAATGGGAGCTCAACTCCTTAGCCTGCCATGACCCGAAGTGTGGATCGGCATCTCTGTACTGCCAAACCAACGCGCTGCCTTTGTTCTCGATGAAGCTTCCTTGTGTTCGCTTCACAAAGTTGCGCATGATTTCAAAGGCGAAGGACTTCCAAGTGTAGTCTGGCTTCTGCACCATGCAGTGCCACTGTCCCCCCGTGTTGAAGGGCAGCTTGTAGAAGAAGCCGCGTTCGGCTGCTAGGCCTAAGCGGGGTACTTTTCCAAACCACTGCTCCATCATCTCACGATTTCGTCCACTCAAGATGACCACGGTGTTGCGAATATCTGAGCACAAACTTTGCAAGCAATCCATGACTTGTTGGTTGGGAGCCGATCCCCGGCTTTGCAAGTCTGTGAGGTCCCCCATGTGTGCGCCATAGTGGCGGTACATGTGCCTCTTGTCTGCAGCCAGTGTGCCCTCGTTGTCAAAGAAGAACACACGCTTCTGCGCTTGACGGAAGGCATGCAACACACCCTCGCTGGACAGCTTCTCAAAGTTTGTGCCGATGGCGACTTGCCGGATTTTGGCACCAAATCCTATGCTCTCGATGCGCACATCATCCTTCTTGCGTGCACGCTTCAAGTCGGTGAGAAAGTCCTCGAACCAAACCATGGGGGAATTCTGTGAGACGTACTGCAAGTTGCTCTCAAAGCGATCCTTCTTCTCTTCCTCTGGCATTGTGAGGGCTCTCTCCATGATGCTGCAAAGTGCAGAGTTGTTCCATGGGTTGGCCCGCAAGGATCCCAGCAGCACCCGGCTGCATCCTGAGAACTCACTGACGATGCAAGCCTTGTTGTCGTTCATGTCGTGGTGCGCGGCCACGAATTCAAAGGGCATGAGATTCAAACCATTCTTGGCACTGGTATCTAGCAACACGTCAGCGGCCCTGAATAATGCCAACCTGTCGGTACGCTCGATCTTCTCGAAGCGCAGGAAGATACTGCATGAATCAGGCGAGACCCCTTCCTTCGTTGCAATCTCTATCTGACCATCAGCAGCAACCTTGAGCAGTGCATCCGCCTCCGCTCTAAGCTGAGCCGCTGTGCCTGCATCCTTCACACCGAGGGAATCAAAGCAATACTGCACCAAAATGATCTTGCCTTGATACTCGGGCTTCTCTTTCAAGAACTGTCTGAAGGCCTGAAATTTGGGGATGAGAGCAGACAGGCCATCAGCTCTGTCCATGCATGCAAAGATTGTCTTTCCTTCAAAGAGCCGCTTGATCTTCAGGGTCCCCTTTTGCACCTCCTCACTGTTCACCACCTTAGCTGTGCTGTCTCTGCAGCCTATAAAAAGAAGCTTGCAACGACTCGTGAAAACCCCGGAAAAACATTCATGAATGACCTTTTTCGAGTCCCCGGCCTTGATGCTGGCTTGGTAAGGGTAAGCAAAGTGCGCCACCTTGATCATGACGGTTCTTCCATTGTACTCCAGGCCGGTAAAGCCGCCAGTGCGAAAAGTCGGGTCCAATCCGTACACCCTCTTGCAGCTAACGAGGAAGTTCCTCGCATAGGAGAAGAACTGGAAGCCCAGCTGGTCCGCACTGAGCATTCCGGCAAGGATCTCCTCCCGGACTGGAAGGGTCTTGAAGCTGTCTGAGGACGGAAAGGGCGCATGAAGGTAAAATCCAATGTTTGCCTTGTGTATCTTCCGTGCGATGAAGGTTGGGGTCATCAGCATGTGGTAGTCCTGAATGAAAATCAAGTCGTTTTCGTGCGTGTGGGGCACCACTGCCAGGGCATAGATGTTGTTGATGTGCTGGTACGCAGCCCAGCCCTGCTCGTTGAAAGGTTCAGACTTAGCCGACTGGAAGAACTGCATGCTGTCATGGAGCACTGGCCAAAGGAATGTACGGCAGAAGTTGAGGAAGCCTTCAAACTCACTGCGCGGAGGAAAGACAGGAACGAAGTCATGAGGTGCGAGCAGCCTCTCTATCTCTCTCCGCTCCCGATCATTCTCGGGGTGAACACCTGGCCAGCCAACATTGACAACTTTCAGCTTCTTCTTCTCCTTGACTTCCTGCAAAAGTGGCAGGAAGGCAAAGTTTCGACCATCGTTTGGCGCTTTCTCACTGAGCCTCCAGGCTCCGTCACTGTCTTTGAAAACTTTGACCGGAAGCTGGAAAGCAAGCATGAAGATCGTGTCCCTGGCGCCTATCTCAATCTGTCCCTCCAAGACTTCTTTGAGGAATGACCGCTTCTGATCTGTGTCCATATTTTTGACCAACTGTGACTTGGTGTGATACGGCTCGTCGAACTCGTCGTCGCTGTCTTCCTCGTTAAAGCCAGCTTTTTGCCGGAAGACTCCGTCATCATCCTCCATGGTCATCTCCGTTCCAGTCGCAATGAACGACCGCGTGGCTTCAGATGCCTGCCACTCCCGAGGCTCATCATCCGGGCCACAGAGTACATATCTGTACTGCACACGCGCGTGCAGTTCTACGAAAATAGGATTGGGGGAGATGTAAACGGGGTATATGTCATCATTGGTTTCCAGCCGCACGCCTTGCTTGGTTTGCCAGTTTCCAAGGCTTGCATGGTCGCCAACGACGCGGACATACTCACCAAATGCGGTGGAGCATGCTACATGAAAATAAACCTTCGTGTGTGGAACACGGCGGGAATCTTTGCCACGGGAGTGTTCGTGCGACGATTGTGACTCTGGGAGCGTCAATGACGGAGCCTTCAATTTCGTGTCAATGTGTAGACGTCCTCCTTTCTGCCGTAGGGATGGGTCCATGGGAGCCCACGGCCGCTCACACGGCCCCAAGGGCGAGGGTGGAAGCCGAGCCTCGTCTTGCCGAAAATGTTCCTACGCTAACGTACTAAATTGGTATCCTGTCCTGCTGAGCCAAGACTGCAGAAACTGCAACAATGCTGGACAAGTCAACTGCCAATGCAGGAACTCGAACAGGGGCCCGGATGCACGACTACATTGTGAAAGTCTGAGACTCGCTTGAACATCTTGCGGTTGCATGGTGATGCTCGCTCTCTCGCAGCTCAAATTTAGTCGACCAGTGCCAAAGGGCCTGCCAAGCCTGCACCGCCAGCTGTTCCAGTACTTCTCAGCTGCGCAGACTCGCGCCGACCTTGGAGCGTGTTAATTCTAAACTCGCCCTGCCCCCCCCCCCCCCCTTGCCCCCAGAACCAGCCTGAATAATGTTGGTAGACTTGAATACGTGAGTAGACATAATTTGGGAAGCTTAAGAAAGCTCAATCTTGAGTGCATCAGGTTGACTCATGCTTCTTTCTGTCCCCATGTTGCCATGCAGTGACAGTGGTTGCAAGCTGTCAATAGCAACTAGCAACGATAGCAACAGCCGCAGCCACCTCACAAGCGAACAAGTGGTCGTTTTGACTTGGACCCCGTCCTGGAGCAGAGATGCTGGGAGCTGTACCTTTGATTTGAATGACATGGAGGTCCATATATGGTCTAAACTGAAACAAAACTCCGATTTCAGTAATGCGTCTGGACCAAAAGGGGCATTTGCCCCCCCCCCCCCCCCACTGCAGTGCTGCGGACAGTGCCTCACGAAACTCGTTGCATCCAAGGCGCTCAATACAGGCGACTGGAAGGGCGAGTGTTCCTGCGCTCAAGCTTCGGGAGACTTGCAGCGATCTCATTTGAAGTACACCGGCTCAATAACGACAAATAGAATTGCTAAGGCCCGACACGCCCAGGAGCTGGGAAGTCCCAAATACGAAGCTTCCTGTCCTGCCAAGCAGTTGTGATGAAACGCCGAGAATCTGCCAGCGCCTTGCAATTTGCCATGTGCCTTGTTTGAGCCTGCCGAACTCATTCGTACCTACTCACAGGTGGCCTGGCCTTTGCAGATGTGAGGAGCCGTCGATGGTTGTCAACCCAACAAATACGGGTGATTTCGTCCTTCAAACAGCTGATGCACTCAAACATAGGTCGCCTCCATGACCTTGAATTCAATTCCAGGCTGCCTCATGGGCTTGCCAGGCGTAGGACGGCGCGCAGCTATCCACATCGAACGCCTGAAGCTGGCACCGGACAATTGAGCCGCAAGCTCTCAAAATCGATCCATGGCAGTTGTAACAAACCCTCTTGAAAATAGTAATTTTTCACGACAGAACTGTATTCATCTTGCACCCTTCCTTCGCGGCTTTCTTTTTCAAACTGCAAACGGCTTTCAAGCATGCAGATCAAACATAGCTGCCACGGAACCTTTTTTATTGATAGCGACGTGTTGAAGGAACAACGCCATGTCGTCTTGCAGGCAAAAAAATGCTTTCGCCCGTTCGTGATGAATGATTTCTTCTTTCGCGTGCTCTTTCGCGAATTTTTCGTTAAACGATGGTCTGTGTCCATTTTTTGTCCCGCCCTGCCCCCCCCCCCCCCCTCGCCCTGGCGCTGGCTTCAAAGGCTCACCGAGCAAAACGTCCTCTCTCCCTGGCTCACCCCCTCCAAATGCCAAACCGAAGAACAACTTTCGCACAACTTTCACACCATGCGGACCCATCCGCGGCCCTCCGCAAGCCAAGCTCCAGATGAGCTGCTACGATGGCCCCTGTGGCAGTGCTTGCCAAGATCTCCTGCAACCCGAATACTTTCACGAAGGGTTGCCGCTGAAGGTCGAGCTTGCTAAGTTCATGGTGGCATGACGCAATAGTACCAATGTATCAATGAAGCGTAAAAAAAAGCAGTCCCGCGAGGAGGGTGCCCAAGCCACCCCCGTGAGCCTGACCGGCAAGGGCTGAATGCATCTTGCCGTGGCGCACAGCGACCCAGCAATCCACGCAAGAGTTGTCACAAGCTAAGTTTGCTGCGCGTTGGTGGTGGGAATGGTGCCAACTTTCCGGCCCCAACTGCCTACTGGCAGTGGAGATGCAGGAACAATGGTGAAGAATGAGCAGCAGCGTACAATTAACAATGACCGATCGCACTGCAGATCTGCAAAAAAATGTACTAAATGGAGACTGAATGGAACATCTTGGGGCCCCTGCCGGTTTGAGCCGTCTTCACACTCCACACGCCCAAGAGGTCCTTGCTGGCAGAGAAAAGCCTGAGCCAAAGGAGTGTGACCGAGCGTACAGTGCAACACACGAGGGTTGGCAAGCGGGGCAGGCGCTCTCTCTCTCTCTCTCTCCCGAGGGTCTCGCTATGCAAGGGCATGAAAAGCAGGCTGGATATCAGGAGGCTGGGCAGGCATGGCTGATGCATCTTTTTGCGCCTGTCTGCGTCGCAGTTGTCCCAGTCAAAAAGCACTAAGCGCCTCGGACATTCCACTACGCCTCTTTCTGCAAGTGTCTTCCCTGAAGACTGCACGACACCGCTTGAAACATGTTCAGAGTATGCCAAGCAATCCAAGCAGGGGCTCGCGTCGACGAGCCACATCCTACGCTCAAAGATGCTCAAAGCCTGGCAGAACAGCGTCTCAGCAAAGTTTGTCCCAAGAGGCTTCAGACAGCGTCCGACGACAGGAGCTGGGAGACTGGAATGCCTGCAATTTCGTACGTTCACAATAGCGCAGCTTGCCACAGCCTCCCGACTTGTTTAAGAATGCTGTGGCGGTCGTCGCGGCCCTGAGCTGTGCTGCTTGCGGATTCTTGCAGCTTCCATGTTGCGCCATGCCTTGCTGGATGCATCGCATGTAATGGTAGATAAAGTCCTGCACAATTGCACATCTCGATTTCACTCGGGGTGACTTGATGCTCTTCCAAAGCTACCCTTCAACAAGCTTCTGCATGCAAATCACGGCTAGTCTCGTCTACTTGCTGCTTACTTGCTGCTTGTGATTGAAACCCGTGTCCCCCATGATCAGCAGCTGCACCAGCTGTGCGCAAACCACCCAGTTCCCCACGAAGGCCTGACAGGCGCGGGCACACCAGGTCACTAGGGCACTCGGATTTGGTACCAGTGCATGGCGAATCTGCTAACCAGAAGTTGCTGTAACAATCCAGCATCAAGTGGGTCTTACCACGCGGTTGGTCTCGCATGCAATATGTTGCACGCTGTCTCCATCATAACTTACAACCCATACCCCGAAGCATCCCTCCACAACAGCCTTGCCCAGTGCATCCCAATCCCAATTCAGTTCCGTTCTACACATCCAGCTTCGTCGACTCATACGTTCTGGAGCAAACGGTCAAACCCCAAACCGCTCCAAACCTGGAAGAGCCCTCGCAGGGCTCCCTATGCCCGACATGCACAACTCAACCCAGAAATGTGCCGTATGGGACATAGGCTAATGTGGTTGAGACGATTCGGAAACGCAACGGCTGTAGGAAGACATGAAAACTCCTGGCAAGTTTACTACGCTTGTGCGGGCCTTAATGTGGTGATTTGGGTCGGAAAGCTCGCTAAACGAAGAAGCCCAGAAGATGAAGGACATCAGCTTGGCCAGTGCCTGCAGGTTGCGTACTCAAAATAAACAGTGTAGATGCAGTACCAAAAGCCCGGTGTCTCTCAGCAGCACTTCAGCCCCTTTATGTGCGCACCCGGCGCATCCCTGTGTGGCCCCAAGCTCCAAACACAACCAGGAACCTGCGCAGCCAAGAAGTGGGAAGTGTGCCTGGATGCGCTGTGCAGATCACAGCTATTGCAATGTCTCTGATCTGGACAGAACTACCAGACCACTCATTGGCTGCACGAGAAGCACGGGGCGTGCAACATATGCATCTTGGCTTGAAACAAGATGCTCCTGTGCCCGACCCTCCTTCATGAACATGAACAATTGGCACAGCACCGCCACTGACTCCTGAGCTGGAGCCGCGGTGAATGCGGCGGCTTGCGGCGAATTACACACCATCAAACCAAAGCAATCCTGTTGGTGAAGGCGGGCAGTTGCACGTCAACCCGTCCACAAACTCATGTAGCACCGGGGCTTGGACTCGAGTGCACTTTGCAATTGCCAAGATACCAAGTAAAGAGCAAAGGCCCAACCAATGTCGGAAGGCAGAAAGCCGTTCCTGAGATTCATTATGACTTAGCACACATGCAGTGCATAAGTGCATCAAGCACGACGGAGCCCTGACTCCTGTCAAGGTGCAGATTCGGATGGAAGATCAACGACAGGCCTAGTGCACCAACGCCCAGGTACAAATGTTGGAAGGTGTCCGTTGCCTGAGAAGCACAAACAGCACAAGGTGGCAGCAAGCAGGTGCTGGAGGGCTGTAGATCGGCAATCGCTCTGCGCACACTTTGGTTTTCGATGGTTTTCGCCTCGTGCAGGAGGTGAGGTGCGCAACTGGGTCTCGGCTCTGTAATTCACATGCATTCCTGGCTAAGCTTCCCGCAAGCGAAAAAATGATGACACTTTCTGAGATCAGCAGTAGTTTCACAAAACTACGCAGCTAGGCAGGAGTAATCAGGAGAAACCGAAAATCAGCCCGGTGACTGTCACCAATTCAATAAAAAGCTCAAGCTTCTGGAAAACTGGACTCATTCAAAGGGGCAAGGCTGCCAGCCATTGAGGCATGAAGCGGCCAAGCGGGCATCTGATGGTAGCTGGTAACTGGCCCAGGACAGTGGACTGAGATGATCCTCGAATCCTCATAGCTTGATGAAGGCACTCTACCTTCCTATTACTCGCGGACTTACCGGTACTTGTTATGCATTGCGACACACAGGGCCACCAGCATGTGCTCTGCAATAGCCGGCTGCGAAAAACGAGTGCCGGGTGGCAGGGCCAGTCAAAGCACTTCTGACTCGAGCACTCGCTGCTTTGCGATGCGCGGTGTCGGGTCCTCTCACTGCATAAAGGGATGGGCCGCCACAGTGGCCAAATCGGCGCGTGCCACAGGGTTCACGACCAGCCTTCAAGTCTTCAAGTTGCTCGTTCAACTAGGTCATGGTTGGGCACTAACGCCGAATGAGGCTATACCATAGCTATTGGGGTGGAACCAAACATATCCTGCTTTCCATCTTCATGATCTTCATGTTCTGTTTCACTCCACTGTTGCAGCTGAATCGCATCTTGTTCAGCAAGTCCACGGCTTGCGGCGAGGCCCCTGGGGGCGGCTGGAACGTGCCCGCCAGAACTGACGGCTCCTCTGGCTCGAAGGGCGGCCGGCCGGCTAGCATGTGATAGAGGACGCAGCCCAGAGACCACACATCCACCTTCGCATCGTACGGCTTCGATCGCATCTTTGCGTATTGGATCTGCGCAGGCAGCTCCACCTGCTCGACCTTTGGCAGCACCTTGCCCTGTCCCTTGTTGTCCCCGGTCACCTTGAATGACCCGTCGAAAGCACCACGGGAAGAGTTGTCGAGCAATCGGTCACCCATCAGGTCGAGGATGTCCTGTGAGCCAGAAGCCCAAGAGGGTTTTTTAAGGAAGGAAGCTCTTAAGTGCTGTCTTCACTTAGCTTTGCCAAGGCCTGTTGTCTAGTTTACCTAACGCTCTCTTGTCTCCTCCAAGACCTCTCTTTAAGGCAATTCCTTTACACAAAATCTCAGTTTTCAGGGCACCTTTTTAGAGTTTTAGAGAAGCCCATTTTTGACGGATGGCTCCGCTCTCCTCGAAGTCCATGTTGCTGACGTCCTTGCCATTCACCTCGGCAAGCAGTGTCGGTTTAAGGGTTCTACGTCTTTGCAGAAGCCCGAGTCGAGAGGAGCTACAAACAACTACTCTGTTCTGCCTTAGCTTGCGTATTGACCGTAAAGCTCTGGCGCTTCATGCCTATGCCCTTGAAGCCAAAATGCAGACTTCACAACCCACTCGTTCTGGACGCCCGCCACGAAAGCTTGACCAAGAGGGTCGCCTGCACAGCCAAGATCAGCTTCAAGTTCCTTCACAAAGAAAACACGGAACAGCCCTGTCAGCCCTGTCAGCCCGCGACCTGGGTATCGTGACTGCTCGATGACCTCGAAAATGCGGGCACCCTTGTTGTTTGGACCTGGCTCACAGCGGCTCACAGCGGCTAACAGCTGCAAACAGCGGCAAACGCAGCAACCGGACTCCCAAAGACAGTGCACGCTCTGTGCAACAACTCCACAGCAACCCGCTCTGCGCCATGACTTCACAGCAAAAACAAAGTCTGAAACGAAGCAAAAGCAAAGCTGCGCAACCTAAGCTGAGCGGCCAGGCTTGTACTTTCGGATCCCAAAGGGCCGCTTCTTAAATTCAATCTCCACCGTGGATTCAATCTGCGAGGCATCCGATGCATCAAAGTCGTCCCCTCTTGCGATGATCACCTCCGGAGCCATGAACTGCAGTGTGCCGATGAACTTGTCGGCCACCAGGGGCCCTGTCTTGGCCCAATGCCCTGCGCCAAAGTCGATCAGCTTCACCTGCAGACTAATCCCCTGGGCTACTGGGCCCTTGCAACCCCTTGCGATCATCCAAGGGACGCAAGAAGGCAAGCTTGCTACCACAGGCTACTTCACGTGCTACCACAGGCTTCTGTGCTAGGCACTTGCCCCAGCAGGTAGCGGCTAGCTGCTAGGGCACGTTTCCTGGTTCGAACAGCTAGCCCATGGAATGTTCACACTTTCTCTTACAAAGGCTACTGCCAGTAGTCTTCAAAGAGGCACCACAGGTTGGTTCATGTCGTGCGTGCTGTCTGTGCAGAGGAGGATGTTGTCAGACTTGAGGTCCCGATGGAGGATGTTCCGGGAATGAAGGTGCTGGATGGCACCCACGACCTGCTTGAAGATATGCTTGGCCTTCACCTCCGGCATCGGGCCTGTTTTCTCCAAAAGCTCTCCCAGCTCGCCACCCTTCGCCAGCTCCATGACAATCATCTTCCCCTCTGCGCCCTCGATTGGGTAGGAGTCGATGAGCTGTACGATGTTCGGGTGCTGGCCAATGTGACTGTGGATCTCAATCTCTCTGTCCAGCATCTCTGTATTTGCGGTGAAGACTTGCTTGACGGCTAGCTCTCTTCCCTGCATGTCCATGCACTTGTACACCTTTCCATAGCCACCAGCTCCCAGCAAATCGTTCTTATCCTTAGGCAAAACCAGGCTCGAGTTGCTGATTGATTTGCCTTAATGGGATGGTGTAGAGTGTAGATACGGATGGTGGCTGAAGTGCACTTGCTCCCGACTCTCGGCAAAATACTGCGCAATTCAAGCATCCAGGCGGTAGCCGTTCCCGAAGGTCATGGTCATGACCTGAGCTGAAGTCAGGAATCAAGCCCAGAAGCGCGGTGAACAGGTACAGCAGCAAGTGCCATGCTCGCCGGGCTCTCGGCATTGCAGCGTGGGACCAGGCTTCCGCTCTGCCATGTGTGCAGGCATGCCAGGGAAACACCTGTACACTCGAGTCCGAACCGACTTCAGAAGAGAATCTCAGGCGGCACAACAGGGAAAACTGAAGCCACGGCTGCAAACACAAAAGAGCCAAGGCTGCCAAGGCACAGAGCCCAGCGAAGCCGGTCCTCCGGTGGCGCTTTGTGGATTTGGCCGTGGATGCCAGGCACGGCATTCCCATTGAGGAAAACCTGCCGCAACTCTGAGATCAGCAGCCGCACGCTAAGCCCTCCCTTTAGATTTTAGACTACAGCAGCCTGACAAGCTGTCACTCCAGTGCCGAAGCTTGAGCGCATGACTGTTTGATTAAGATCGATCCTACTTATCACGGCAGAACAGGGCACTGGAGAAGTCCGCTTAGACCAGAAGACGCACACCAGCAGCGCAGGACTGCAAGACATGCCGCAGCGCGCACACGAGTCGTGAGTTGCAAGGGTGTTTTTAACGAAAAAACACACGACACGGTCCTCCAGAAGGCCAGTGCATGGCCGAAGGCCAACATAAAGCCTTGACCCACGAAGACACGGAGACGGTGGAGACGGTGGAGACGGTGGGGTGGGAGGGAGCATGCGAACATCGCACCTACGACCTACGGGGCGGGCATGAAGGATATGTCCAATCGACAAGCGATCGAAGCAGTGACGACGTTTGCGAGTGTTCGACCATGATGAGCAGCAGGGCAGTGCAGAACCTTCCTGCCATCCTTAAGGTGGTGGGGGCCCCAGGTCTCAGAATGATGTCTATCCGTTCGACCGACATATCGGGCCTGCAAGTCCACGAGCGAAGCAATCAGCCGGCTTTCGTAATCTTGTGCTGCATGCGCGCTATGAGCTACTTGTCAGGCCTCTTGCAACGCTCAAGCCTCAGACCGACATGCGCAATCCAACTGCAGGCCTTTGGTATGGAGCTCCTCGTGGCAAAGCCCAGAGCCGAATCGGCTGCGGCCATGCGAAGCTTTGCGCGTGGGAAAGCAAAGTGGGCTCACGGCTTGCGAGCATGAAAGCAGTCCGAATATGTAGTGTAGTGCATGTGCGGTCAAGTTGCGGGGTCATAGGTTGCGGCATATTTTATGCGGCAGAAGTACACAATCCTGGGCCAGCTCCAAGGTGTAGAAACGGCCAGCAAACGAGAATTGATCCAGGATCCGACTGAGCCTGAGCCTGCCACGTGCCCGCCAGGCAGAAGCCCAGAGCCTCAGAAGGGCTACCCTCCGGTTACCCCCCAGAATGTATTGTCCGCATGCGGCCTCCACTGCACCGCACCCTCCCCCCTTCCCCCTTTCCCAGCGAGGAAGCCTCGCAGGTTTGGTAGAACCAATCGCCTGACCTTGGTACACGCATGTACCCGCTGCTTCTGTGATAACGTACACCTGATGGCGATGCAACTAATGGTTGCTCACGTGAAGCCCACGTGTCAGCCGAAAACGAGATGAGCGGCTTGTCAAATGGCAGGTACCCCTCGAAAGGAATAATGGCACAGAGACGAAAGAAGAAGATCACAAGGTAGGACCTGAACTCATGCAACCTAGCAAATGGCTGATCGCAAAAACCTGCACACGTGTCTTTTCTTGTTCCATTGCAAGCAAGAGATGATCCCAAATAAGTGAGAGCGCATGAAAGCGCCATGCTGAGGAACAACTCCTGCTAGCAAGGCGCTCCATCATCTTCAGGGAAACTCCCTTGCAGGAGCGGCCAATCTCCATCTTCAGTGCTACCATGAGGAAGCTGAACCTAAGCTGGCGTCGTTGCCGCATGTTAACGAACAGGGTAGTTGAAGTCACACCATGTCAACATCCTGATCTCGACCAGATGCATGCTCAGAAGAGATGAGAGCGTCCTTAGATTTGAACTTGACACCTAAGAACTTTGCAACACCATTCCCTACGTCAGCCTGCGCCATTCCATCATGTCAAGCGTGGCCTCACAACTGAACCAACACGCGGCCGGGTGTCAGAAGGAAAGAGAAATCGCCACTGGATACCAGCATGAACACGACAAAGGCGATGACTGCGAAGCCAGCCCAGATCCTGCCCATTGACCGAAAATGTTGTAGAAGCACATAGAAATGCGCTTCTGACCAAAAATGAGGCATAAGGAAGTTCTCCGCTCCGCTCCGCGCAATCGAGTCAATCGCATCTACAAGCATCTACTACAAGTATCGGCTCATTGACTGCTCACGGTTATGAAGATGGGCCCATGCTCACGTGCCGGAAAGCGGCTTGAAGGCTTCTGTTTGCGAGTACCTGTTGTGGTGGCAGGATTCTCTGGCAGCACAAGTTAGGAATTCCAATCGAGGCAAGCATATCAGGGATTGTGGCGGCTGAGGAACTTCATGACAAAGAATTTCAGCTTTTCCTTGGCTTCACGTGTCGCAAGAGAGTACATAGGCGGGCTTCTGCAATCTTGATGGAATGCTGAGACAAAGCAAGGATCTGGATCTTTGAGCAAGTCCATGTTGAAGCTCGGGCCATGATTTTTGTCAGAGTCCATAGTTCCTTCCCAGTCAGAGGCAAAAGGGCCAGTTCTAGCGCTAGAGTTGCCCCCCCCCCCCCCCCGGGTGCAAGCCCCCGTCCTTGGCCTTCACTGCCAAGGGCAATAAGCAAGGCTTTCAGGGGCCGTCGCTGTTCTACGAATTTACGACCAGAAGCCTCGAGCTGTTAAGTTGCGGCACCTGTTCTCGTACTTCTGTGCAAGGCACAGTCCTGGTTTAACATGGTTTAACTGCCGCCTACCACTGCGCATGACATATTCTGGGTGGCAGGCAAGGTGCACTCAAGCCATGCGTCTATCAAAGAAGCATCTGCAAGAGCAGTTCCTCTAAGGCCTTGACGTTCCAGAAGAGGACTCGTAATCCATGCCGCTGACCCTGACTCGACATGACCCCGATGCAACAGAACGAGCCTTGGCTGAGTATGTGGCTGCCATCATGCCCTTTCCAGTTGGTTCCAACCCGGGCTACTTTGCAAAGGTACACCACAGGGCCGTGCTCATTGACCGGTTACCGTGGATCATCGGAAAGCAAACACCCTGGCCACCCGACCGCACGTGATTCGGGGCTGGCCCCCCACTTCCTGGTTCTTTCTCCTTCTCGGCGGGCCTGGTGATCTGCGAGGTTCCTGATTTTCGACGTGCTAGAGGGCCCGGCCCGAAAGCCCTCCAATGTTGGACAGGGCGGCCCTCCACCCACAAAGGCGCTCAGTCAGCAGACACTTCTGGGCCAACCCTTCAGAGAGGTAAACACTGATTCAGCCGATTACCACCAACATGTTGTCTCAACCATTGACCTAGTCAGTGAACCCTGTGGCCAACAGCCCTGGTATCAAACTACCACTCACTCCACAGCTCCACACCTGGAAGCTGTCGCTGAACCATCGGCAATACTGCAAAGCAGCGTCAAAGGAAGGATGGACGTGTCCCAAACCTTGGCCGCGTTGGACATCGGCGACAGAGCGGTGCATGCAACGGGCGGCCTCTGACCCATGGTGAACCGAGCTACCGCGATTTGACCATTCTGCAAGCCAGTGAAGAGCCTCTGCTGCGCCTCAGAGCACCATGAACAAGGATCTGCGCCAAACATCTTTCTCTGCGAGCGAGTGCGTGTGCGCGTGCGGGTGCGGGTGCGGGGTCGGTTGCAGGGGCGCGTGCGTGCATGCGTGCCGTGCGTGCGCGCGCGTGCGCGCGCGTGCGTGCGCGTGCGTGCGCGTGCGTGCGCACGCGTCTGCGTGCGGGCGTGCGTTCTTCCCCCGCCATTGATCCACTGTCTTTCGGTCTGAAAACTACCAAACAACGCTTGGCGAGGCTTATTTCTGATCTGAAACAGCCGAAGAGTACACCGCCTTGATGGGACGGACGGAGCTTGATGAGAATGACGAATACGAGAAAAATGCGATGGAAAGCAAAACTTGCAACAGTCTCAAACCCATTTCGAATATCGAAGACTGAAGATCCCACAGAAACATGTTAAACAGATTTGGTCTTGCGATTGAAATCGAAGTTTCGAGAAAATCTTTCTGTGAGATCTTCAATCTTCAGATTAAAAAAACGCCACAACGCCCCATTGACTTAGCAGTTTTGGTGTTTGCTCCAATTGAATTCTCTAAAGTCTCTGGTCTCAATGACCCTACAGCCGAAGCAGTGTTTAGGGGTTGGCGGCAGGCGCACAGGGCGCCTGGACAGCGACGCCGGTTCTACTGGCGACCATTCCCAAAACACTGGTAGTTACAGCGTTTGTCAACTTCATACAACAATGCCTTGTGCAAACATGACCAAACCACACGTATTTGCAACGTTTTTGCCACTTGCTTACAACACAATGCGATGATGTGGCGATGGCGATGATGATGACGACGGTGGTCATTACAGCAATAATAATTGCAGAGCTACATGAAAAAACGTCATCTAGATGATTGAACATCTGGGATACAAGTATCTTCGGGAGGTCCCCAGGCTCATCCCATCCCAAAGCGTCAAAAGCACGCCCTTCGATTATCGCACTTCGTCTGTGTTCATAGGTGCTTGAGCCATGATTTCGGTCACGGTGCCGTTTCTGCAATTCGTAACGATTATGCACTTCAGGTACGTCCTTGCGCCAGGGCCATGCTGGTGTACGGAAACACCAAAAATGTCCATGAGCCCGCGGCCCTGAGATATCTCTGAAACCAACGGAATTTAGGAACACACTGGCAAAACCAACGGTTTCCATGAGTTCGGGCTCTCAAGTCAATTGGTACGTGCCTGGTCAAAACAAAAACAACAAAAGCATAGGTGGCGAGGCGGGTGGGGGGGGGCATGTACATATACACATGTGTGTGTACGAATGTACGTCTGTCTGTATGTCTGTCTGTGTAACTATATATAGAGCACATACTGCAGCACAGACAAATGCAAGAAACATGCTTGTGTTCCATCGTGGCCTCTTCAAAATGCATCGAAGTCGTGGGGGTTGGTGAATGCGTCTCACACTGCATCATCTGCCTCGGAGTGGGACATGGTCCAAATCCTTCAACTCACTTGCTTGCAAACTTGTCAGCATGAGCTAGGCCCAAACCTCACCAGGTCGTACACCTTGGGACCGGGATCACTACAAAGATGCAAGCAAGAAGCTGCAGTCACAGCCCCAACTTGCCTTCAGTGCGTTGTCCTTGCTTGCGGAAAACAGCCACTGCGCCCGTTCATCCACGGCCAGCGCAGACACCTTCGCGGTTGCAAGATCGCATTTCTTGTCTCGCATTCCGACAGCATGGGGGGCATATTGTGGCGCCGACTGCCGCAGTGTGTTTCAGCAGTGGCAAGGTGGCGCCACGAGACACCTGCAATAGATTTTCAAAAGCCAAGTCTCTCTATATATATATATATATAAACATATAGACCCCCCTCGCGGGTGGTTATCCGCCCCTCCCCCCCCTGTGCCTTACAGGGCCGAGTCCCAAAAACGCACGTCCACCCTCCCCCCACCCACCCCCCACCCCCACCCACCCCGCCCCCCACCGCGTTCCCCACCGCGGGACTGAAACTGTGGCCATTACCATACTCCTTTGAATACAATATATGTCTCCATGAACTAGGGTTCGTTTCGGATCCAACCCTAAAATCCGCAAGGAAGCCCGAAATCGGAAACCCTGAAACTGCTGGTTTTCCCAGCGCTTTCGTGACGTGGCTGAAGCTGTGAACACCAGTGCCCTAGACATTGCCAGTACCAACACTCCTCTAATTCGAGTGTATGTCTCTATGAACACAAACCACCTTATTTCGGGTTCACTTGGTCCAAACGCCCCCTAGACCTCCCTTCACCTCCCTTCTTTGCACAGTGTTGCAGCCCCTCTCCCCACTGCGTTTCTTTCCCAGCCACTCGACGCCCGCCCCTTCTGGGCCAACGCGCTGCCAATGTCTGCAAAAATATTTAAAGCATCGTAGTGCCCCCACCCAGCCCCCCCACCCCCGCCCCCCCCCCCACCCCCCGCCCCCCAGCCCCCCCGCCCACCCCACCCCTTCTCGGAACGGGTTTTGCGGCCAGGGTTTGGACCCTAAACCCTCTGTGCTGCCTCGCCGCAAAAACCGATCCCATGAAAGCACCACTTCTGCATCCCAACCCCAAGCCGAAGGTCGACGTCCTAAAGCCTAAGCCCCCAAACCCTAAACCCCAACCCCAGAACCCTCAAGCCGAAGCCCGACGTCCTAAAGCCTAAGCCAACCCCGGACCCCAAAAAACACCCGTGGCCGCGTCAGCCAGCCCGCCCCACTGCCCCCTCTGTCCGGGCGGTCCCCTCTAGACCACTCCGCATCGTGGGCTGATGCAGACACTAAGTGCGTGCGAAGCACGCACGTGTGTCTAGCATATATATATATATGACATATATATAGTGCCCTGTTGCTGCATCTGGACGCCCTCCGGGGGCGGTGCACCGCTCGGAGCGCTCATCTTCTGGAAGCCAACTGCGCCGTCCTCAGCGAGACGAGCCCTACGGGAAAGTTAAATCCATGTGCACGAAACGGGTGCATTCTGTGGTCATTATCCAGTAGTATGTTCGAGAAAAGAAGAAAACATATGAACAAATACATGTGTATGCATGTATATAAACGGCAGTTGTACGTCTTCACGATTAACTTGATTCACTCTCGGGAGAAACCAAAATACGAGTATGGATTATAGGATTGTAACCAATGGAAGCCATGTTCGGAATGCTTTCTTCATTACATGACTATTTTAGGGTTATGTTTCTTACTAAGTTGATATTACAAGGTAGCCAAGTGTTGACTGTAATTATGTGACTTGGTCGGATTTGTAAAATTGGATGCCAACTAACTGTCGTTCTTGCACACTACCTCACAGGCCGGCAATATTCAAACAGAATGAATCAGAGCTTTGTAAATTGCATATCTATGATTAAGTTGTCTGCTCAAGGTACTAGTAGTTTTAGTTTAACAGTGATAACTGACCTCCGCTTATGTTAACGAAATTTGCTAAATCATTTTGTGTCTTAGTTGTTCTTTATGCGTTCTGCAGTTCACTTTAAAGATGCTATAATGCTATTGCAAATTAGAGGCCATTTGTTGTTGACATCAGTTCATAGTACCAGAGGATCCGATACGCCTGTGCAAAACCCATGCATGTTGCATGGCGCATGCGGGTTATGACTTACAGGGAAAGACAGTTAATCATATGAGCCCACCACACCAAGTTAAGCTTTGATTGCACGGAATGTTGGAAGAGAATGAAGAAAGAACAGCTACTGGGATAATTGCTGCGCTAATAAGAACACTATTGTACGTGGGGCCAGGCGGCTCGGTTTTATCTTGTAAAATGGCCTGGCTATATTCATTGAGCTACAATAGCGCCGGCAACTTTACAGGCGATCGCTTTTGTACATGGAACAGACCTTCTGGGACTACAACGATACTCTTACTAGTTAGACATGAGTCTCCTAAGTTGGCAATGAAAACATCTGAGTTGGGTTGGTAAGTATAAATGGAGGTCACTTTTAATTGTTGAGTAGCTACTTTGGAAGCCCCACCCCAGATTAAATAAACATTTCAATCATTCAGATAACTCGATTAGTAGAACTGGAGGTCCCCCACTGTTCATGCTGAAGCCGTTTGCAATTAGGGCTAGCTGTATTCCTTGAACAAGTAGAAAAACTATAACCATAGAACGACCTTTCAGGATTACACCCTGGCTAATTAGACATTGATTCCCCAGCTCACCAAGTTCAAAATGGCAAAAGTCAACTCTAACTAGCTAGTACTTAAACAAGCCCGGAATATGGGAAATCGCACCCCAAGTGAAATGCAAATGGTTCGGATAATTTGGTCAACACAAGTGGAGGTCCACAATCATTCTTTTTTTGCACCCGGGCTTGGGGAGTCGGCCGGGAACGGTCAGGAAATCGTGGTGACTTCAAGCCACACTATCCGATCATTCTAAAGTCATGCTACTATTTCTTGAATGACTGGGAATGTTGGACGAGAATGTAGGACAACATTCTATAAACCTTACAAGGAAGGCACGACACACGTCGCAGCGCTTGCACATCAAAGAGCTCTCTCTCCGTTTTCTCTTTCTCCACTTACTGACATGTCTGGGCCCCGAACACTGAGGCCGCAAACGCAACAGCCTCCCTCCTCGCCGCCTGTTACCAAGGCCTGCATGTGGAGCATGCGGAGCAAAAAGGATGCACATTCCTCCAGCCAATGTCCGAAGTGTACCCTCTTGGTATCTCTTGGGGCTGCGCCACACAGGTGATGGACGCCGCGTACCGGCAAGCAAACCTGAAACAATGCTCATTGATGCTGTGACTCATCACGACAGTGAGGCCATGTAGCCAAGAGGCAGGAGTTGGTAGCTATGCGAGTTGGGTGGTGACCTCTAAAAAGAAAGGCTCATTCAATTGCGCGCCAAAGGCATCATTTGCCGAGCAACGCACTCCTTCCACAGGCTCATCTGCGAGCTGGGCAAGTCTGGTGCCTGGCAGCACACACACAAACACACACACACACACACACACACACACACACACACACACACACACACACACACACACACACACACACACACCACGGTCACCACGATCTGTAGGCAGCGGGACCGTGGTCTCTCAGTTTCCGGCCGCGGGCTCCCATGGCAACTTAATATTTGTGAGCCTGGTCATGTTGTCAAGGCGGCTGACATCAACAGGCGGAAGGCGAAGCTGCTCAAGCATGCAAGGGGCTTTGTGTCCATGCGCGATATCCAGTTGCAGTCCGCAGCCTGTTCATGTTTAGCACGCGCTTGCGGAGGGATTCTGAGAACATGTAGACAGAAAGCTCCAAGGAGCGCGCCCCAAGAAGCAGGAGGCCTTCTTGCCGGTGCTATGTCCAAGAAGTGCAGACAACCAAGATGTCTCAAACAGGAGTAGAAACACACGGGAACGTGCGTGTGAGGTCCGCGCCGCGACTCGCATCATGAACCTGGCTCACTTGATTGAGGCCAAAGCTCCTATATATGACAGCTACGGCACTGTCATTTTGTGGCTGAAGGGTGATACTGCAAAAAAACAACTGCCGGCGCCGCGAAACTCGTGATGGCATAGGCAGACTCTTGCACCTATCATGCGGAGCATGCCAATAAATTTCGACTCGCGCCACTTCCTGATCCACATCCACCATCACACATCCCGTGAATTCAACTCCAACCCATGTCAACACCAGAAATTGGAAGGCCTCGGACACGAGTTTCGGCTCACGCTTGCTAGGCCTCGTGCTCTGCAACACCTGACCACGATTCCACTGACTCCGCGTTGAGCGCCCTGCTGGCGAAGTGTAGGATCCCGTTCAGACCTGGCAAAGGTCACCCTGCTTTCACTGAGATTCACCCAGCACACTCTCTTACAGTCACGGCTTCTTGCAAACACGTCGGGCGGGCATTCCGAAGAAGTCTTGTGCCTCGATACAATTCAGAACATCTCTACGATGGGCCAGCCTCAGCCACAGGCTATGCGCGCAGATCCAGAAGTTTACGTGACATCATCCGCTTGATTAATCCAACTGTCCGTGCACCGAGGTGGCGACCCTTGCCTTAGCTTTGCAGACCGTCGACAAAGATGCGACTCAAAAGCAAAGATGGCCCAATGAGCCGCCATGCATCTGCATAGGGCGTCTGAACGACAAGCTGTCGAGCCGGCGGTTGGAGTTTAGATGCTGACAAGCTGCAAGTAAGCAGCAAGCGCATTCTTCCGGGACTCCAAGTATTCAGGACCTTACACAACAAACGCCAAAGCAAGTGCAAGCAGCACGAAAACTGACATCCAACATGCCGCACAAAGTGCCGAGCTCTTAAAGTCAGATGTTAAACAACAGCTCTCTTTTTGCATGGCTCCGAGCATGCAGCAGCGCCGTCCACCGTCAAGCCGAGATGAGGCCCTCTACTTATCTCTACTTCTTGCTCTTCTTCTTGCCACCCTCCTTTTCCTTGGCCTGCGAAAGCTTCTCGGCAAGCACCTGCTTGACGCACTTCTGCTCCTGCATGGCACTGCATGGGGTCTACTTCTTCGATTCAAGCGGATGCCTGGACATGCCTAAGCTGCACTGCGGGTACTGCCGCCTCCGCTCTCGTGTCAACACCGCGCCTCGATCAGGAAGGCTCGCACAATCCGTTCGCGAACGCAGTGGGCACATCGGGATCCACCATAGGCACGATTGACACGCTTCTCGCGCTTCTTCAGCCGGGAGTATTCAATCGGACGCAAGCGCGGAAGGCCAATCAGCGCCTGCCGGGTGTGCTTGGGAGGAGGCCTGTGCATCGGCATGCATATCTAGTAGTATGATCCCCATATTTCCCAATCTCTGTCATCTCTAGGTCCCATAGCATCTGCATCATTCTGCATCATTCTGCACACTCCCTCGATCCCAACCCCTAACAGCCTTGCCACAGTCGCCGCAGTGTGGGCCCTTGGCCTTCTTTTTGATAGCTTGGTACACCGCTCGGCCACCGGGTGTCTTCACGACCCGCTGCTTGTTCGACTTGGTGTTGTAGCGACACTGGCGACGGTAGGTCAGGCGGAAGGCCATTGCGCTTTCTCGCTGCAAGCTCCAGACAAGCCAAACCGCTTCAAGCCAAAGCTCAGCCAGATCACTGATGACAAAAGCAAGTGTGTAATTACTTTCGAACTCCCTGCAATGGATGACTGAAGAATCTATCAAAAAACTTGGGCTGGTTGAGTTGATGGCTGAATTGTCGCACAACCTCAGCCCATCTCAGCATTGCTGGGCCAACAAACGCTTTGACAACCAATGCTGAAGCATCTTGTTGCACTCAGTCAGCCACAGACTTTGAAGGGAGATCTGGTAGAGAAGGCACCCGCCTCTCTGAAGGTCTGTGCTGGCCGGTCTCCAAAATTCAAGATATTCCTTTCTGCCGAATTTCCACCCGCTCGCCACCTAGCATTCCTCAGGCCTCTTCAGGCCCTCGTGCATTACCGCCGCATCATTGAAGCGCCGCCGCCTAGGCTGGAGGGGGCTGCAGAACTGGGGAATGGCCTTGGCCCCTAGTCGGTAATGATTGTAGTCATAGTAATCGTAGCACTTCATAATAATCAGAATGGTAATCGTAGTCACCGTAGATATCGGCATGAAGTAATAGTAGCAAGAACAATAACAAGCGCAATAGTAGTACGGCAAGAGGTATAGATTTGCCTGTGGAACTGGAGCTAAAGCCACAACATCGTTGGGACTGCGCAAGCGCGATACTCGTAACACACCGGTTGTTGGTTTCCACGTGTTCTGTTCGTCATGCAGACTTCTGCCGTCTTTGTCAGACTTGGGCTGCTTCGAGACATTGCCCCCTTCGCTTCAAGCCTCTGAATTGAATAGCTCGGCAAGGCAAAAAACTCAGCCTGAAACCATTGCAATGAAGGGCACAGCCCCCCCCCCCCCATCAAAGCTAAGCCAAAGCCAGACCGGGCACGTTTACCCAAGCAAAGCCAAGGCATGCAGCCGCCAAGGACCCAGCAGCGTCCAAGGTGCAGAGTCATCCATGCGAACCTGCTTTACGGAGAAGACGCATAAACTCGATCTATTGGTGTCAAGTCTCGCCAGGCTGCTAGCATGGCCTCGAGCTGTATGTAACTTGTTCCATTGGTTGCAAGCATTCAGTCTCAAGCCCATAGTTCAGGAGAGGGAGGCTGCCCCTCACCAACAGACAAGACCTCCTCAACTCCTCAACACCCCGTCCTGTAAAATGTATTCCACATGCTGCCCGGTCTTGGCCAAAGCCACCCGTGCCTGTCATGCCGGAAGTTCGGATAAGGACACTAAGACACTAAGACAGGACACCTCTGCCAAACGATTCAAGAACTGGGCCTTCAGCACTTCGAGACCCTTGGCTAAACCTTGCGCATCTTGGCCAGTTTCGACCTCACTCCGAGTTAAAGTGAGGTGTCTCTACTCACAACCCCACTGTCGGTTGATCTGTGAGAGCGTGGCCACCTCGTACTTGAGGATAGAGACATGCAAGGACAGGTCACGGCCAATCTTTGGAATGTCCTGGGGGTAGATTTGTGCGGGTGTGGCTCGCCCGCGCTCGCCCTCACAACACGGCACGTGAGCAGACTTAAGAGATGGGCTGCCATAAACGGCTGCGCCGCGCAAGGCTTGGGCCCAATGCGGGTTCCTCTTCTTGTCTGTGACTATCCTAGCTATGCTTTACTGTTCAGCACAATCTCCGATTCACTTGAGAATGAAGGCTTTGGAATGCTGACCAACGCTGAAGGCATGCTTTGAGCCTTGTATTGCGGCTCTGAAAACGGGGATCATTTGCAAGTTGCATAAGTCTTCCCTGGGCACGGGGCAGTGCAAGATAACAGCACGCTGTCAACAGACAGTCAGACAGTGTTTCAGCGACACGTTACCGTCTTCACGAGCGGTACAAGCAGGAGTCCACATGGAGACCCCTGGAGCTCGAAAATGTTTAAGTTCAGGGTTTGACTCGAGACGCGCAATTGAAACTTTAAGTCCCAAGACCTGCAACCCCAAAGGCAGACTCGGACCTTTCAAAGGGTTTTGGGCGTGCATCCTTGTTTCCGCGTCGATGGTCAGCAGCCCATGAACCATGTGGAGAGGGCGAAACGGGGCTTCGTCCCGGTTACAGGAAGCACTGCATGGAACCTCAGCGCGGGCAAAGCCGTTGTCTTGCAAAGGAGAAAGCGGAACCTACATAGCTGTCAAAATACCAAAACTTGTCAGCCAAATAATTACACACGCGCACACACACACACACCCTCGCGCGCACGCGCGGAAGATGGGAAAACCCAATGTGTTCCAGACTTGGTGAAGATCTTATTGAGGATGAAGAACTTTCCGCATTCACACCTAAGTAAGAAACCTGAAAGGTACAGATTGCGGCAACCGCGCAACGCTTATTTGTGGAAATACAGAAGTGCCCGACTTTGGAAACATGTTCTGCAGGTACGTTTTCGTCCCAATTCATCACGTGGTCTTTGTTGGCCAGAACTCTATATTGGTTCCTGGCCCCCTGATATCATCAAATCGCATGCTCTAGAAACCTTGGCTTAGAAATGCTTAGAACCAGGGCTTACACACACTTATGTCCCCTGGTGTGGGTATGAGTTGGTGTTTCTTGCCACCCGCCTGGCCAACCCTCGCGGGCTAATCGAGGAACTAGGGTTTAGAGCTGTGCAGCCATAGGGTTTTGGGGTTTAGGCGGGGTTTGGGGGCTTCGGGTTCTGGAGTTCAGGGTTTTGTTTTGCATAGGGATTTTGTGGTTTCGACTCTCACACTGGCGAGGGTTTTACATGTTAAGCCCCCCCCCCATACTACTCGGACTACGCGCTGCACACACCAAAGCATGCAAAACCGTCGGGTGTCAGGGGGTGATTTTCGGCCTGGGCGTGCACTGCTTTGGGTTTGTTTGGGCCAACATCCCCCATTGCCACCGCAAGGATACTCCCATCATTAGGAAATGGACATGAGAGCATTGTTTTTGCTTGAAACCGTTTGTTTTTTTTTCATATTCTGCGCTAGCAGGACTGAGGAAGATGTGTGGGACTGCATAGGCGGTGTCCGGCTCGCAAAAAAAGCCAACGCGCCTGAAAAAGACCCGCTTGTTTTTCCTCCTCCGCCTCCTCGTGCCATTTACCCCATGCCTGCTGGGCCATTTCCACTACGCCTACTACTCCTACTGCTCGTGCTACCCCGACGACGACGACGACGACGACGACGACGACGACGACGACGACGACGACGACGACGACGACGACGACGACGACGACGACGACGACGACGACCGACGACGACCGACGACGACCGACGACGACCGACGACGACGACCGACGGCTACTACTAGTAGAGTCATCATGATAATCATTATCATAATCATACCTATGTATCCATCCCACTGTGCCAGGTGTCCCAACACCTTCTCTCACAGTGCCATTTGACTTTACGGTGAGGCGCGTTCGATTTGAACAACCCATTTGCGGATATATGCCATTCCACGTCAGTCCATCCCATTCTATTCCACTCCTTCATTCCATGAAACCAACACTCTGCATGCTCGCAGTGCCTGTTTTCTGCCTGAGTAGTGAAGCTGAGAAGCATGGTATGCGAGAAGAAGGCGACCTTCAGCTACAGTCGCAAGAGCAACATGTATTGTCAATGCAGCTGTTGCTCTCCCTGAGAAGGCGAATTCAACAGCTGTGGGCTGCACTAGTGTATCCCCCTCGGGTGCAACCGTGAAGAGATCGTGCGTTAAGGCCTCCACTTGGGCACCCACGCATCCACCACATCATTCACACAGGGACGCGGGCCATGAATCACTTCAGTGGGGGATTCTCCGATGGAGCGTCTCATGGAGCTGCAACCAGCCTCGGCTGTCGAGCTGGGTGCCCGCCTGGGGTTCGAGAGGCACACCTTGCCAAGCAAATGCTTCTTAAGGCTTCCTGCTTTTGGAGCTCCCTACCACGTCGCGACGTGATGACACCAAAGCGCCGTTGATTTCAAAGCCTGGCCTGTAGAGCGCCTCCATCCTTCGGCTCAAAGACATCATATCTGCGTCGCTATTCTTCATTCTTTTCTTGACTGCCGGGCCTTTTCAACATCCCAGGGACCATCCGCGATGTAGTACACAAGCGTCAATCTCCTGGCCAAAAGTCAACAAGCCAAAGGCACACAAAGCGCTGCACGGCGTGCGCCAAGCTTCAGCACGCCGATGCCGCACGCGCGTCCTGCCATCATCTGGCACACCCATGTTTGTCCTCAGCTCACGCACAGTGTCACAGAGGAGCGTGCCAACCCAACTTCTTTCACAACAATGTAAGTTGAACTGGCCCACATTCAGGCACGACGCAGGTACGGATTGTCCACGTGGAACCCATACTGAGCATCAGGAACCGTCTTGCCATCGTAGCAACTGGCCAGCCAAGGCAAGACAGCCACAAAGGGCATGACAGACTTGAGGGATCGTGAGAGCGAATGCAGTTATTTCTCTTGAAACTGGAGGAGGTGCGATAGCATGCCCGGCGTTCGCTTCGTTAAGGTCAAGCCCAGCTGTTCCTTTGAACAGGAGTGTGCCATTAATTCATCCTAGCGCAGATAAATGTCAACAGCATTTCTGAGAAGAACTGCGCTGTTCCTCCAGCAGTTTCTGCACACCCCAGCCGAAGTCCCCAAGCTGTGTGTCCAGGACCTTCAGGGTCGGCAGGAAAGAACAGAAAAGCTGTTGCATGAGACTGAACAGCCCTTTGGAAGCCTACGAAGGTCGCCTGCCTTCAGGGCTTGGGCCTTCTTGCCGAGTGCATCGACAACCGCGCTGCTGAGGCAAATGACCTCTGAGCTGCGAACATCTACGAGAGTCTACAACTGGGGCTCCCTCCCCAGTATGGCAAGGCCGAAGGCGCCAAAAGAGCGTGGAACCGTCAGTACACTGGTGCCGAAGGGCAGGGAGCACCCAAAAAGCAGGCGAAGAAAAGCACGAGCAACCATTTATTTGGACTCGATAACCTCAACAGCTAAGATTTCAGGGGGTGCCTTTACTCCCCCCCCCCTCCCCCGCGTGTACGGGTTGCAATATCCACCAACTGGGAGGCCCTGGTTGTGCTATCCGCGTTCTCTGGCCTCCTCAGTTGTAATAACACCTTTCTCGGTTGTGGTATCCTCCAACTGGTTGCGTTATCCTTTAATATCCCCCCCCCCCCCCCCCCCCCGGCTTCATCACAACCTGTTCACATCTCTCCCAGTTTTGATCACAACCCACTCAGGTTTCACGATGGAGAGCAGAGGACGGGAGAGGCAGGAGGACGACTTGATGGCGAAGAAGAACGACCGTCGATGATGTGGAGCATGGACGTAAAGAAACACTCTTCGGCCTTGTCGTCTCGTGCATTGAACTGGATCTCGCTGCTGCCTCTTCGACATCATGCCCGACGGCCCAACCCTGAACTTGAAGTCCCACTCATCCTACTAGTAGCCCTACAGCATCCAACAAGTGCGTCAGTTAACGATGCTAAGTTCAAGGTGCCTGCACAGGCCACTACATGCTCACCGCACATGTGCTTATTGTGGACTCCGGACTCCGAACGCTTTAGGTACCAACAGCCCGGCAATGTTCTGCATGGTGCCATGCGGCCCTGACACAGCCACAGGGCCACACGGCATGTTTTGGGCAATGGGTGCTGGCGGACCCCTTCAACGCCATGGCTGATGGCCCGTGATAGTTCAGCAAATCTATGCCACGCACGGATGAAGGCAAGCGAAGCACTGAAAGAGTAGATACATACCAGGTTGCCTAACAATACAGTCCAAGGGTTGAGACATGTCATGCCAGCCTGGCGTGGACGGACTCCCTTTGCTGGCACTTGTGTAAGCCCCAACGTCCTCAGCTGAGCGTCAAGAGCACTTTTTTGAAGTGCCCGAACAGAAGGCTCCCCATCGTGCATCAAAAGAGCCCAGAGTTGCTTCGCCTCCATGTGAACGGCTCTTTGAAAGGACCTGCGCCAGATCTCTCGGCACTTCTTGGGCTTCACTTCACAGCACATAAAGACATCAAGAAGCCCCATCGTGAGCGTTCAACATGTGCAACAAGCAGAGCACGGCAGTGTGTTCTTTCATTGCTCAACTAACCGTCCAGCAATGAGTCATCCGACTCACTTTGGTCGAAGCAAGAGTAACTGGATTTGTTGTGTCCATAGACGCGAAGGGCATGTGCACAGGCGCACACGAGCATCAAAGCCAACAGTCCAAGCATGATGAATAGCCACTCCTCGTGACGCTCGGCAGGTGGCGATGCAGTCTCCGAGATTTGACCTTGCTCGCTTAGGTCGCCTTCTCGGAAGCGTGCTGAGTGCCCACTCTTGGCAGCGACTGCAGCAGGCACACTAGGTGTGGAGGGCACCGTGGCAGTCGGCGGCAAAGTGGCTGCTGCCGGCAGTGCAACAACTGGCGACATGGTGGTACCCACCAATGGTAGAGCGGCAGGCAGTGATGGAATCGATGGCGATACGGGTGGCAGAGTCGAAAGCAACCCCGAAACGTCCGAAGCAGCCGCTCCAGTTCCCGGTAGGTGTGCTTGCGGTCTCTGCACGATGGAGCTTGCAGGGGCACCTTGGCTCTTAGTCGCCTCAGCCGTGGCCTGTGCTTGTGCTGCTTGTGCTGCTTGTGCTGCTGGTGCTGCTTGTGCTGCTTGTGCGACGGAGCTCACCAGGGCAGCTTCGCTTGTAGTCACGTCACTGACAGCGGTGGGCACCACTGTCGACACATCAGCTTCCTCAACGTCGCCTCCTGGACTCTGTACTCTTGGAGCCACCGCATCTGCAACATCCACGGTTACTAGCTGCGTCTCTTCTGTGAGTTTGCTTACTTCGGGGTCGCGATGATCTCCCCGGAATCGGCTCACTGCACCCGGGCAAAGATGCTGAATGTACTGTCCCGCCACAGCTGTCCTGGCAAACGGTGTGCCTTTCCGAATGACAGGAGGATATGGCATGGTAGCCCGATAAGGGTCTTCCATGTAGCACCCGTCCGCGGAGGAGTACTGCCAGGCCTCACCCACATCAGATCATAGCATTGCCGCAGACAGCAAGATCACCCCCTGCCTGGCATGCCAGAACTGACAAGCATAGGTTCGCGCAGTGGCCCACCGCCTCCGATGCAGCTCTTTACACAAAAAGAGAGGGTAACAACCCCGAGAGAAGCGACACCCATCCATCGAGCGCTGAGGACTCGCAAACTTCTATTTTTGTTTTCTTTTTGTGAATAGGGGTATGGTCTCTATTCCTGCCCTCGTTTCGTGGTTCGGTGGTGTGGGCGCTGGGGGGGGAAATGGTCGCCCGTTAAAATTTGAATTATTGCCAAAAAAAAAAGTTCGTGGTTTGCTCAGGTCAGCAACAGGAGGCCAAGACATGCGGAACCCAAGGCGAGCGAAGGTTCAGAAGAGTGCAGAGAAGCGCCCAATAGCCTACACAAGGTGGTACGACACACACGCCAAGAAGCAAGCAGCACAGGAAGCCCTGCGCCTTGTAGCAAGAACAAGGAAAACACCCCCAGCTTCAAGCACACGCCGCGCAAGCAGGAAGACACCTCAGGCCGTCCCAAGCACATGCCAAGAAACAAGCTAGAACGTAGGAGGCCCAAAGGCAAAAACAGTGCGCAGAGGTGCTCTGCTTGTGACTTTAGCGCAGGTGAAAAACGGGGCAAGGAGGCGCGAGAGGGCAAGATGGGCCCCGATTCCAGTATGAATATTCATGTTTTCCCCTATTCGTGTTGTTTGTGTTTATTGCATTCTTTGCAGGGGCTCCTATACAAGAATGTCTATTTCATGGGCCGGATTCCATATTTTTTCTTGTTGAATGACAGATCGCGCACATGAGTTGCCAACTGGAGAGAGACAGTCAGAGGCCCAATTTTGCTGTAAAAGCGCGCACAAAATGCCTTCCTGCGGCTGATTTAAGCCTGGTTTATGCCCCGGAATTTGTGGAGCGGGATGGAGTCATTTAGCGAAATCTCAGGCTCTGAGCGTCTGGGTGTCGACAGTCTGAGCCTCTAACTGTCTGAGTGTGCAAGTACCCAGAAACTTAGACAGCGAAAAGTCAGGAAGGGGATTGAGCATCTGACTGTCTGAGTCTCTGCCACACGGAAACGCCCCCTCCCCCCCCCCCCACGAAAACAACACACACACACACACACACACACACACACACACACACACACACACACACACACACACACACACACACACACCCGCGCGCGCGCGCGCGCGCGCGCCTTCAGCTTGATCGAACTGCGATAATTGCCATTGCAATTATGTTGCATCCGGTTACTATCATGAATAGGATTCCATTATTCTTCGCACCCATCTTTCCAGGGGTGTACTTCCTGCTCGTGTCCCCTGTCCCCTGCGCGCGCAGCAGCTGGTCGGAAGCCTGCTCCGGGCTGCTGAATTCCATGCCCTCTGTGCCAAACATGAGGCTCAAACCTCAACCGATGCCGGAGTGTCAGCATTTAGGGATGGAAAACGATTGAAGGACATGTGCTCACTCTCAGTATATTGAGCACGCTACCTTGCAACTGAACACCTTTCAGATCGGCCAGTACCTGAAGCGGGCACAGTGTGTGGAGGGACTCTGTCGCTGTTGCGGTTCTCGTGCACACAGCCGCCCGAGTCACGCGGAAGACTCCGCGCTGAAATCTGCCAGCGTCGATGACGGTGGGCGAATCAGCTCCCTTTTTGAAGCAATCTATCCCAACACCTGCATCGGACAGAACAGGTCCAGAACAAGCCGTGGTTTGATTCCATCGTCGAGAAAATGGACCTTTCCAGCCTTGGAAACACTCAACCTCGGACGTGCTCGCCTTGCATGGGGGTATGATGTGGCATGTCTACAACTTGCATGAGGTCCGCAGGCATCTCTCTTTTTTTGGCGCCATTTGCTTTTCACATAAGATCACGCAAGGTCATGCTCTGTACAGCTCGGGGTCCAGGTGACGCCGCAGGCACGAAAACACCTGGTGTTTCGGTGGCGCAGCGCAGCAGTGCCGGAGCCTGCCACCTGGACACAAAACGAAGGAGGAAGCGAGCACCCAATATTCTCAGCGCAGCTCATCTTGAGCACACAACAGGAAAACCTCTTCATGCTGCCGCAGGCAAGCACGTCCAAAATGCTGAATTGAGTGACGAATTTATGAATTTGCATGATGTGGATCAGCTGGTCAAAAACTGAGCCGTCGACGTGCGTAACAGCCTTCCACACACCCCCCCAGCAGACAACACCCTGTACCGCACTGCCGCCAGGAGGACCGAGCACTGCTATGTGCCTTTGGTTGCAAAGTGATACCCTCTAGCGGAGGACAACATCTCCAGAAACGGCACGATGGTCACTGCCTGCAGCCCTTGGCCAGATCTGCGATGCTGCAACGGAAGGCCCGATCGACAATGGAGTCTTCTGAAAGTAAACGTAATCCAGGCGAACCGGATCATCATTGATCGTTGAGGGATCCGGGTTGCCGGGATGGAGCTCTGCCCATGCATCCGTGAATGTAAGCGGAATTGTCCAGTGCTTCCCAAAGCCATCTGCATTGCCTTGTCTCAGCAGTTTTTGCGAAGGCTGGAAATATCCGGTGTTGAGATCTCCCATGAGCACGATCGGGTACATGTGCGTCTGCTGCACCTTGTGTAGAACATTGGTCACGAACTGCACGGCCTCCAGGATGACGTAGTCCCCCACGCAACAAAGAGGATGAGTGCCTGCGGCGATAAGTGTGTAGCCATCAGACTTGCGACGCAAAACGGCCCAGTTGATTGCTCGACCAGCTGAAAATGGAACAAGATCGCTTGCGACGTGCTCCCACTTATCAGAGCGGTATAGGATGTCTGCATCATTATACTGCTCTGTAGCTCCACCGGTCGCAAAAGCCCACACATTGCCAGAGACCTGGTTTAGCCGGTCCAAGATGGCAAACTTCTCGCTCCACATCTCTGGTATGGCTGCGATCTCGGGCTGCATCCTCAACAGTTCGTCCACAACTGGGTAGATGCGACCAGCAAGGGTGAAGACATACAGGTTCCACGTCACAAAGCGTGTTGCGTCCCCAATGGTTGGAGGCGGCTCAACTGGCTCTGGCGGCGCCTGCGGTCCCGGCAGTGATCCTGTGGGCCAGGCGCAAAGACTAGCACCAGACGTGCAGAGCGACTCTGTCGTCTGGTGACAATCCCATATAGGGTTCACATTGGTGAGCCCCTTGAAGCATGCGAAAGGCTCAACCTGACTGCCACACCAAGCAGTCATTGCCAGCTCGAAATTTGGCTGCTCACTGCAACTCGGAACATCCTGCAATCCACGAGGTGCAACATCTTTGGCACCTCGCAGACCGAGTGCCTGGGCCGCGGCAGTAACCTGATTGTAAGCAAAGCAAGTGAAGCTTAGCCACCCCACATGCAGCATGGCCTCTGCTATGAAGAGATGCTGCAGCAGGTTACTTGCGGAACACTTGAGCCGCACTCAACTTCATAAACAGATGGAGATGTAGGCACAAAGTAACGACAAGGCTTCCGTCAGCATGCAGCTGTCTCTACTTAATACCCACACAGCGCTTGGCCTCACTTTTCGGCCGCACCTGCCAGGCAGAACCTTGAAGTCAGCGCAGACCGTCTACAATTTTGGAGTTGCACGGAAGAATCTTTGCTGCTCGCGCTGGTTCATCAACAGCAGTCGGAATGCTGAGCTTCGCGCACAATACGTTCCCAGCACAGCTTGCCGCACATGACCTCATGTTGGCTGTTGGCGATCCTGTGCATTCATGGACGCATGGGACCCAAGCGCGGAAACGTTCCAGGGCAGGGCAGCCCGGGCTTAGGCGCCGGCGTTTCATCGGAGCTCTGCACTCTTTGCAAATCCTGGCACTGCCTCGAAACGTGACAAAACTTGAGATACTTGAGCATGCTCGCTTGCACAACACAGCCGGGCCCGTGGCCCTGCAGTCAATGTGTTCTCAATGGAGGTCAGCGGGCTTGAACTTGACAGCACAGCACAGATAGCTTGGAACAATCCCCCGCAGCAGTTCACTTCTGTGCCTGCAGTATTCGGGCTGCCAGTTGACATTGATTGGCCAGCACCTCTGTCGAGGCAGCAGCTGGCAGGCGGAACAAAGCAGAACAGTTCTCAGATTCTCCATACACTTGCGTAGAAGCGCAGAGTCACAGAGGCCGTGGCTGGACTTTCGTAGGTGTAAAGCCCATTGGCCAAGCCCTGCTTGCATCATCTTGCATCTTGACTCACTACGAGAGCTTCTTTGGGCTGCGTGGGCCTTTGACTACCCTCAGCCGTCTCTGCCGGGAACCTGGTCAGCGATCCGTCAAAGATACCCAAAGGGATCACGCTGGCCAAGGCCGCTGCTCACTCACTGGAAGATCTCGGCAGGCGGGTGGCTCCTGCAGAAGAAACATTGCTGAGAGAGCTCTTGCACAAGCTCAGCTTTGCAGCGACTTGTCCTCCGGACACACTGCTGGGCCGGACCTCATGTCACCCAGAGTCACACAAAGCACGCAGATGTGAACGGAAGGGCCTTGCGGGAGATTGGAAAATGACTAATCGCACATCTGCAATAGCCGTCTTCACTGTCAGGGTTGCTTTCACCCATGTTGGGCCCTGTTCTGCATTGTTGCCTGCAACAACGACCGAACGACCCGATGGGCAAAAAGCATTACGTATCGTTTGCAACCTCTGGTAGGGTCGAGTGGTTGCAGGGTCAGTCGACCATGCTTTGCTTCAGGAAGCCAAACGAATCACTGACACCATCTGACACCTATTGTACAGGCAATGTCGAAGCATCCTTGGTCTCTGTTGTTTGTCAACACTTGCCGGAGTGCTTGCGTGACCTTCAGCATGCTTCAGCACCAGCTGCTTTGGGGTGTCGATTTCTCGGAGGACTTCCGTCGCAGCAGTGCGGAAAACAATGCATTGAAGAGTTGAAGTTATGGCAACGCATGCGGAACGCCTGCCTTGCAGAGTGTCGCGTTTCTTCTTGGAAGCAACAACTCCATTTGCATAGATGTCGCTCCTTGTGTACTGTTGGTTGAAGCTTCTGCCTATCTAGTTGCCAGTTGTCCAGGCTCCTTGCAAGCCAAACACATATCTACAAGATGTTGCACATGTTGCAACCAGCTGAGGTGCCCGCACGGCACCCTTTGCACCAACTACGCCAGTGTAATTCGCCCCCAGGTAGCAGAACTTGGCACCGCGTGAGGAGTCACGAACGAGTTTTGAATGAATCATGGCTGGGAAGCGAGCTTTGGAAGCGGGGAAATACACAAACTGACCGCAACCTTGCACAGCAGTGGCATCCTCAATTCGCGGCAATCGTGACACCCTGCCTTTAGTCCGTTTGCAAAGCCACTGGCACTCGAACTGGTCCAACACGTCCTGCACACAAACTTTGCAGTGGCTTTCCGATATCATCGCTGTGGTTCTCTGCCTGAATGGGGTTGGTGACACGGTCCAGATGGGTTAGAAGAAACCTGGCCACCAACTTTCGACCAAAACTATTCACACGTAGGTGAGCCAGCATTGCCCACCTCGCATCTCCCAGGAAACAGCCTGACGAAATCCAATCCCACACATTTCACATTGACCTCCGACATTCTGTCCATACAGCTTGGACATGTTTCCTGGCACTTTCTGCGCGCCACTGTTCAGCACAGATGCGGCCTCAGAGTTTCTAGGCGGAAGACTTGAAAATGCACTCTGCCACGCATTGCAACGTTGCCGATGTTAAGATCCGCACGGCCACAACCACCGAAATCCATGGAATCATGGCTGCAATTACCAAGTTATGCTGCTGGTGTTGGGATCGGAAAGCATATGAATACAACTCGCTTTCTGAGCTTACGCATATCGTCTTGATCTGTATCCATCTCTTTGCCTGACCTGGGCTTCTCGTGTGGCAGAACGCCAGCGCGGTAATTTGAAATGATTGGGGGGCATTGCCGATCGCATGACTTCAAAGACATTTCCGACGTGACATGGCCAACAACTTCTACCAACGCTGCTCTCGGCCACAATCTTGGTTTGGCCTTATCTTCTCTTGACCGTGGAATGCAGACACAGCCAAAGACAAGAGAACACCGGCGGCACCTGTCCGCCCCGGCTTTGATAACACAAATGCCACGTTCCTGGACGCAGGGATGCAACACGCATGTGTAAATCCTGAACATGTTCAATCGTCCTTGAGTTTGTTGACCACGATCTGAGCCGTTTCAACGCTCCGATGTCCAACCAACTGTACCTGCCATGATGATGGCTTCAAGAAACACTGCTACTCAACGTATGCACTGCTCTGAGGTTCGAACATCGTGTTGCGCTGGCGACGTGGGTTTCGTTGCCGGGGTACTCCAGCCTTGATGGCCAACAAATTCTGGACATCCCTGCACGCCCGGGAAAGGCATGTTCGCACCACTGCTGTGATGGTGTGTTGTGCAGCTGTGTGGCGAGATGCCGAAAGCACGCTGGGTCCAGCGGCAGTGTCAGCCTCAACGATTCCATCAACTGACGCAGTGGATGTCAGCAACCAAAAATCTCAGTCCAACACATTACTGGTGTGCACCGGCCCCTGGCAAAAACACCGTGCAGAATCAAGGGGCATGCATCATGTGATGTTCAAGGCCTGCCCTAAAAGCGCTCGAACGGCATCCCATTCGATTTCCTTCTGGGTAGGCATAACCTTGACTATCGGAAACAACATCAGCATGCACATGTACCAAGAACTGCAGCATGAAGTCGTAATGCCTGAGCGCCACGCGAAGTTTGCCAGATCTTTTTGGCATGATGCCTCTGCGGCCACCGCTTCGCCCTGCTTGCGCAAAAACAGACCAGGCTTTTTTTGCGTCTCAGCGCGCCCACCTTCGTACAAGTGCTCTTGTGTGTCGGCCAATCTGTTTGTTGGCAATCCTCCGCAATGAGAAGTTCGAGTCCCAAGTTGTTGTACGTTGTGGGGGTTCGAAAACAGCATCCGCTCCGGGCCGCAATATGCCACACCCCGGCAACGCGAACACCGCGCGCTTGCAGGGTTTCCACAAACATGGCACGGACCCAACATGTGCAGCAAGGGACAACCGTCTCTAGCCGCTCTAGCTGCCCATGCCCACCTAGAACATGCTACGAATCCTTGCTACAATGTGGGTTAGTATGGTCTAAACTAAACTGTTTCGGCGGAGCACTTCTTTGCTGGAATGCTTGTAACACGTCATCAGCATGCGCTAGGTTGGATCCACAAGTCCGATTCGGAATGTTACATCATGTAATCATGCAAGTGGCTCTCGGACAACTGCCAACTTCCTGCCAACTGTATCCAGCAATGTTTGAAATCAGTTCTGTTGATTGTAGGTGAAAACTGATGGAAAACTCTACCGTTCCACACCCTTCTCCGTCGGCCTCGGAGGTGCACCCGGATGCCGCGCCAGGACGAGAAGGAAGGTTACTGCCAGGCTGCGGAGGAGGCACCCAGTTCTCGCAACAAGGCTCGCTGGCAAAAGCCGTCGACGGCCTGGGACGCAGCACGCTGCCAGCGACGAATGTTGTCCAGCCGCGGGTCACGTCGCCAAGCAAAGGCGGCGCCTCTCCGTGGAGCAGCATGGGGGTTCAAAGCCAACTGCTGACAGAGAGTCGCAGGCAATTCGGTCTCCCTTGCGAAGGACTGGAAAAGTGTCGGCCCAATCCAAATGCCGCAGGTGTGACGGACAGCACTGCGCAGCTGCCATGAGAGGGCCAACTGCACACGAGCGACGGCCGACAGCTCGCCCACGTGGGCACAATGCGTGCATCGTGCACCGAAGCCACCTTGTGCGCCTTTGGTTGGGGCGCACATTCTGACCCGCCCCTCGATGCCTTGCCTCCACTTGTCGGGCCTCGAGTAGGCGTCGTCTGCCCTTCAATCCGTCCGCCGGGGATTGTACATTCCGCTACGTGAGGCGCTTACGGGGCGTGCTAGCTCGACAGGCTGCCCATCGCTACCCGGCTGCAGCATCCTGCAGCGCCAGTTCCCCCTAGTTGTTGCCGGGTTGTTGGCAGGATGAGCTGGGAGACCGCTTGGCCACGTGCCATCGGGCTGGCGACTTCTGGGCCCGCGGAGGCCCTCTCGAGCGCGCTGCCGCCAGGGTCTGTCGTGAGGCGGGCGCCGTCCCACCGGTGCAACCTCGCCGTGCTCGTCTCCGATGCCCTGTGATGTGGTGGATTCCCTACATGCAGGGACCGCAAAATGCTATGATCCTAAAGGGACCCCCAAAATGTTACGCCAAATTGCGGGAAACCCCCGGGTTGGGATTCTTGCTATAACGTTCAGGCTTCCCCATGATAGTCAGGTAAGTCTTCAAACATTGAGATCGTGTTGTTGCTTCAGCTGGCCTGTGACATGTGTACATGTTCACACTCTTGTTGCAAAGAGCAGACATCAAGAAAGGAATTCTGTTGTTGGAGGTTGGCGCTCCGAGAGATTTTGCAAGGTCAGGGCCGTAGTAGGTCTAGGTGCCGCAGATACTGATATTACTGACCTGTCGAGCATCAGTGGAAGTTTATGGTTAATACCATGGTGCCCTCGCCCACAACATACATAACATTGCAGTTGCTCTTTCAGCGTAGCATGGACTGGGCTGCGGCGCCAAGCACGCTTTGCCACAGCTCTGAGCCACGGCCGAGGCTTGGGATGAGTAGACCGTAGCCATTTTGGCTCAAGCCGTTTTGGCTCAAGCCATTTTGGCTCAAGGCTCAAGCTTGAAGCCCGTTAGTGAGATCTTGCTCCTGGGCACCGGAGTGCAGCTGGAGAAGACCTTGTAGTGACACCCTGCCCTTGGGCACTGGAAGTGCAGCTGGGGGGGGGGTTCAAGCACCAGGGGCTGTCCTTGGGCGCGTGGGTGCGCAGCTGGGAGGCTTCCCGCATAGCTTTCCTTCCTCGCCCGGCCGGCCGTCTCTGGGCGCCAGCGTGCGCAGCTGAGAGGCCTGGCGTAGAGTAGCTCCGGTCCCCCCATGGTTGGCGTGTTGCTCCGGCTGGACGGCGTCGAAGTCGAAGCAGTCGAGGTGGACGGCCACGTTGTCCTCGCTCTGCAAGCGGTGCGTGAATTGGGGCTCGAGCTCATTCACCCTTCGCCAGCACCCCCAAGCCCGCGGTCCAGCAGCCCCTCGCGTGCGCGGACCGAGGCATCCCGCTCCCGCAGCCGCTCCCGCGCCAGCCCTGTGAGTGCCAGCAACTCCCCGCACAGATCGCCGAGGCGGCGACCTCCAACCCCTCCACCCGCACGCCCACGCCTCGAGCCCGCCCGCCGGCGGCGGCGCCCTACGCACGGTTGCCGCGGCGGGCAAAACCAGTCCCGCCTGTCCGCCCCCACTGCGCCGGCCCCGTCCGCCTCCTCCCCTTTTGCCAGGCGCCCAGGTGCAGCAGCCTCCCCGTTTGGGGCTGCCACGGCCTCTCCCTTTCGGGCTTTCGGGCAGGGGCCGCAACACCGTCCGTCTCCTTTTCTGACGCAGCCGCTGCCTCAGAGGCTTCCCCAGTGGTGGCGCGGTCCTTCCCACCCACCCCCACCCAGCCTGCCTAGGTCCTGACATTGCCGGCACGGCCCTCGGAGGATCCTTCTGCTCGTTTTTGTTTAAAGTTTTTGCTGCTGGCTGTGGCTTCCAGAGCCTTGCCGCAGGCACCACCACGGGGCTGCCGCGGCGAGGGTGTTGCAGCCTCGAAAGCTGAAAGCTCCACCCCTGGCCTTCGGGTGTTTGTGTGCCGCTGGCGCCTCCGAGGCCGCCGCGGCGCACTCGGGGCCAGGGCCTCACAGGCGCGTCTCAACAAGCATCACAGCACCCTTCCTCAACGCCTGCAGCCTGAGGTCCTGTTCGGCCGCTGGCGCCTCTTGGGCCGCCGCGGCTGGACGCCTTGGCCTGGCGCTCTCCTTTTTTCTTTTTGCATTTCTTGTGTGCTGGCCTCAGCGTGCGCCTCCTTGCAGTGATCACGCCTGCGGGGTGTGTGCTCCTTGCAAACCTGCTTGCCCAGGCTGTCGCGCCGCTCTGGCTGCCGCCTGCCCGCTGACCCGCCTCGGGAGGGGGAAAAATCACCAATTGAAGTTGCTACAATCACACGTGTGCACTCACACGCTCACGCCACAAGCATGGGCGACGCCACGCCCCCCGCGCCCCCCCACGTTGACCGCGTCTGCTGCGTGTGCCTCGACGACCTCGAGCCGGTGGGAGTTCGCGAGCGCGCATGTGTGCCCTTTCCGACCTGCGCTGCCCACTCCATGCACCTTGGCTGCCTTGCCCAGTTCCGCATCCAGGCTTCCGGGCCGCGGGACTTGCTGTGCCCCCTATGTCGGCATGGCCGCTGCCCTTCGTGCAGCCCCGAGGCGTGGTCCGACCAGCACGACGCCCTGCTGCGCGAGGTTTGCGCGCGACATCTTGTGCCCATCCCGGCCCGCCTTTCCGGCGAATCCACGGTGCGCGCTGCTCAGCCGGATTACGCGTTACGCACCTTCACCTCTCAGGACGCCCCTGAGCCCCGCCCTCCGCCGGGCGTGCGGCTCCTTTGTTGCCACCGCCGTGTGCCTACACGTCGCCCGGATGGAGGCATAGACTTCCTGCCACTGCCCGACCGCGACATGGACTGGGCCCCGGTCGCGGACCGCCATGGCCAAGGCATTGCCTCCTGGCGCCAGGCGTGGCTCTGCCCGGCATGTGGCGGATCCGAAAGCCTCTCCGACCTCCATGTGCCCGCCCACGCAGGGGCGGACTGCGACCGCTGTGGCGGGTGCATTCAATGGGTCCTGGATCGGTCCAACCGCGCGTCCTGGCTCGAGTGTCCCGGAGGTTGCGCACATCCCTTGCTGCACCCCGGACCGGCTGGGGGACTGAGCCCACCTGACTCACCCCGCTCAGGGCAGGCTGTGCCTCGTGCTGCCTGCCGCCCACCGGCGTTGTTGCGTCGCCAACCAACTCGTGGCTGTATGTTCCCCTACTGCATGCCGCCCTGGGGGCGCTCTCCGCGCGAGCCTTGGAGCTTTGGCGCGCCGAGCCTCGCGCGTCACCCTGGTGGGAAGATGCGCGGCGAGCCCTTGCAGCCTCCCACCCCGTCCCCGTCGCCGTCCTCACTGACGCGCTCATCGCCTCTGCGTCTCATCGCGGCGATGCCTTGCCCGCCCGGCTCCTCGCTGAGGCGGCCGCATTGCCGTCTAGCACGCTCCTACACCTGGGATGGACGGTGCGCTTACTTGCTGAGTGCGATGGGTACATCGCTGCCGCTGCCCAGGAAGTTTGCCTGCAGCTGTTCGGGGGCCCGGCGCTCGCCGCTCAGCTCGACCGGGCGTCCGACACGTTCCGTCAACAGCCCCCCGACGCGCGTGGCCCGATGCGGCCGCCTGCTGCCGAACCCGCTCCTGACCCGCCTGGCCCGGACGCCGCCTTCGCACATGCTCAGGCTGACCCCGCCGCCGACCGGCCTACCAGCGAGCCGGACCCCGCTGCCGCTGACGCTCCGCTCGCCGCTGCCGCGTGCCGTGTCGCCGGCGCCGAGCGTGCGCGGGGGCGAGGGCGCCGTGGAGGTCGCGGGCGAGGCCAACGGCCGCGTGAGCCTGGCGGCACGGCCGTCCCGCCTGAGCCTGCGACTGAGCCGGAATGCGCACCTACCGGTGGCACACAGCGCGAGCGCGGGGTCGTCGCTGCCGAGGCCGGACTTCGCGCAGGTCTCGCCTCACTTGACGACATCTCCTTGGAAGAGACCTGTCGTGAGCGCGCGTTGACGCTGCAGGCTGCGCCCCAACGCCTGCGCGGCGCACTGCGGACTGCGCTGCGAACTGGCCTGCGCCTCGCCACGGCCGGGGGTTCGCTGCTGGAGCGCGTGCGGGGCTGGAAGCTTTTCATGCTTGCGCCCCGCATGCTGCTGCACCGTGCGCCCGGAACCGGCCGTGTGCCGCCTGCCGAGCTTGACCGACGCAGCGAGCTTTTCCAGGCTGGCCATTGGCTGGAACTACTTGGTCAGGCCACAGCCGCCGTTGGTTCCAGCGGCAGGGGCGCCGCGCGGACCACCACTGACGAGGCCCGTGCGCACCGGGCTGAGTCTCTCGTCCAACTTGGCGAGTTGTCCGCGGCAAGCCGCGCGCTCACCGCCGAGCCTCTCGCGGAGGGGTCCCCGGCCACCCTGGCCGAGCTCACAGACCCCGACCGCCGCCCTCCCGAGGCATACGGCCCGCATGATGCTGATGTTCTGGGGTTTCAGCCCGACCAGCCGTGCGCTTTCCCGCAACAGGCTTTCGTCGCCTGTCTCCAGTCCGCGCGCCGCGGTTCTGCGGCCGGGCCGAGCGGCGCCACCAATGAGCATCTCCGCATCATGCTTGATGATGAGGAGGACAGCCGCCTTCTTCACACTGCAGCCGAGCTACTTGCTCGTATTTGCTCGTGCGCAGGTGCCGGACGACGTCCTTGCGGCCGTGCGCGTCGGCAGAGTCGTCGCGTTGCAAAAGCCGAATGGCCGTGTCCGGGCCCTAGTTGTTGGTGACGTTTTGCGCCGCCTGGTCGGGAGGGTTCTGGCGCAGCAGTTCGGCCCCCAACTCCAAGAGGCGTGCCTGCCCTTCCAATTCGGCCTTAGCACGTCTGCTGGGACTGAAGACGTCGTCTGCCTCCTCCGCGCAGCAACTGAGGCCAGTCCGCGGGCAACAATCCTTTCGGTTGATGCTGTTGGGGCATTCGACCACGTCTCCCGTCGAGCCATGCTGCGGGGGCTGCTTGAGCGCCCGGCGCTGCGGCCTTTGTTGCCCTACGCGCGCCAATTTTACGCCGAGAGCAGCTCCTACACTTGGTATGACGATGCCGGGCACGGCCATCGCATCCAGCAAGGCGAAGGCGGCGAGCAAGGCGACCCTCTGATGCCAGCGCTCTACGCCCTCGCGCAGCACCCTGCGCTGGCCGAACTCCAGGGCCAGCTTCTCCCGGGTGAGGCCGTTTTCGCCTTCCTAGACGACATCTACGTCGTCGCTGAACCTGAGCGTGTTCGGCCTTTGCTGGATGCACTGTCCGCCGCCCTTGGGAACATGCGCGGGTCAGATTGCATGCGGGCAAGACCCGCATATGGAACGCGGCCGGAGAAGAGCCCCCGTCCATAGCCGACCTGGCCGCCGCTAGCTCCTCGGACCCAGCGTGGGTCGGCGACTGGTCGCTCCCGCCCGACCAGCAAGGCCTCACCGTGCTGGGCGCACCGCTGGGTCATGACGCGTACGTCCATGCGCAGCTACGCCTCAAACGTGCGCAGCATGACCGACTCCTCGGCCGCATCCCGCAGTTGTCCAGCTTGCAGGCAGCGTGGCTCCTGCTCCTGTTCTGCGCTGCGCCGCGGGCCAACCACCTCCTCCGGGTCCTCCCCCCCCACCAGACCGAGGCGTATGCGCGGGACCACGACGCGGCAGTTGCCCAGTGCCTCACCCGCCTCTTGCAGCTGGAGGCCGCGCCCCTGCCTGATCCCAGCCTGCGGACGGCGCAGCTGGCCTTGCGGTTTGGGTGACTTGGTCTGCGCTCCGCCGTTGCTGCCCGCCAAGCTGCCCATTGGGCCTCCTGGTGTGACACGCTGCCCGTTATCCAAGCCCGAGCGCCGGTAGCTGCAGACCGGCTGCTCCATGCCTTGCAGGGCCATGTGCCCTTGCCCGCGGCGGCCGCTGCGAATCAGGCACGCGATGCCCTTCGCGCCACCGGCTACGACGCGCCGGCGTGGGCTTCCCTGCTTGACGCCTCAGACGCGCCGCCAGCGCGCGGCTGCGCTTTCGAGCCGGGTGATGCCCTGCGGGGATGGCAGCGCCAAGCTGCCGGAGCATGCGACGAGCGCGCGTGCGAGACGCATCTTTCTGACCTCACCCTTGCGTCCCGTGCGCTGCTGCTGTCGCAGGCTGGGCCACACTCTGCCCGAGCCATCACCGTCGCGCCCACGCACGAGGCCGTGTCCATTCCGAATGCGCAGTTCCGCATTCTGCTCCTGCGGCGCCTGCGCCTGCCCCTGCCACTCGCCCCCCGCACGTGCAGCTGTCGTGGCAGGCTCGACACTTTCGGGGACCACCGTGCCGCGTGCGCTACCAGCGGCGTGCTCGCCGCGCGTGCAGGGCCACTTGAGCGCGCCGTTGCGCGGGTTTGCCGCGAAGCCGGTGCACGTGTGGCTCGCAACGTCCGCGTTGCCGACATGAACATCGACGTGCCCGTCGCAGATGACAGGCGCATCGAAGTCGTGGCCAACGGCTTGTCCCTTTGGCACGGCTCGCAGCTCGCGGTTGACGCCACGCTCGTCTCCCCGCTCACACGTACGGGCGAGCCCCACCCGCGGGCTGATGTTGAGCCGGGGCGCTCTGTCACCGCAGCAGCGCGGCGCAAGCGACATGGCACGTACCCCGAGCTCCTCCGTGCCCGGCGGTGCCGCCTGGTCGTCATTGGCCTGGAAGTGGGTGGGCGCTTTGGCACGGAAGCAGCCACCTTCCTGCGCCTCCTGGCCCGCCACCGAGCCGCCACCATCCCAGCGCACCTCCGACCGGCGGCTCAGGCCGCCTGGGTGGCGCGATGGGCGGCGCTCCTGGCCGTTGCGGCCCAGCGCACGTTCGCATCTTCCTTGCTCGAGCTGCCCCTTGCAGGTGAGAGCAACGGCGATGATGCCGCGCCTGAGCTGCACGAGGTCCTGGCCGATGGTCGCTGGGATCGCCCCCCGCCCGCCAGCCGCGTGCCGCCGCGGCGGTGAGGCCCCTCCCTCCCGACCCCGACCCCCGCTATGACAGGCTGCGGAAAAAGGCGCGCGAAAAAAAAAAAAAATCCACTGGATCCGGGTGATAGTAGGGTATCTCTGAGGGTTATAATAGGGATAATGAAAAGAAAATGGCTATAATCGGGATAATGAAAAGAAAACGGAAACGACTATAGCTGCCTCAGAAGCTACGCCCTACTCAGAAGCAGGTTGCTACCGAAATGGACGCACAAAGTGTGCAGGTTATGTACAGTGCTTCTGTCACGGATCTTCTGAATCGCCGTAACATCTGGCACGAAAAATGCAACCTACCCCAAGATCCCATCAGGAGGCGAGGTTGATCAGTCCATAGTGTTTTTGGGGGTACATTGGGGGTTCTTAGTGTAGGCTTAAGGTATATTGGGGATATACTAAGGTACACTGGGGGTACATTGAGGTACATCGCGGTATACTAGGTATATTAGGCAGTACAGCCGCAGACCTGACGCCATGGTAGAGTTGCCTTGGCAATCTCTTCAGGCTCTCAAGCGGTGTCAGTGGGCCCTTCGTGGTCCAAGCCATGGCTGCGCACATTCTCTGTGTTACCTTTGCTATGCTCTATCCACAGGAAAGGATATATGAATCAAAACTGCCCTCAAATACCAGAAACGTCAAAAAAACGGCTACTAATTTGCACGGCTGCCATCTGCGCTGCTGCCATGCTGGCCGACAAAGCACTCATGTCTGCAGCTGTGAGCTTCATCTTTGCGGTGTCGCAAGTAACGATGCAGATGAAACCAGTGGTGAGGGCCTGTTGCTGAGGCTCCTCTGCAGGGTCGTCCCACTCAAGGTCGCAAATTGCCCGGTGCCAATTGAAAAGGGTTTTGGCCAATGCATCTGGCTTGTACAGCTCGAGCGAATTGGTTTCCGTCCGGTTGCCGTAGAAACAGGCATTTTTTTCCGACTCCTTTTTCCACACGCAGTCAGGACACCGGCTCGGGTGGCAAGTGGCCTGCCAGAAGCTCCCCGAGCGGAACCTCGTGGCCGTCAGTCGGGTCACGAGGCCCCGCGGCTCGAGAAGCAAGCAGGCATGCGCGCGCAGGGCGGCGAAGGATGCCAGCGCCGTCCAGCGCCGCAGCAGCGCTTGCCTCGCTCCTGCTGCGCACCACGGCGCCCTCTGGCGAGCCCGCGCCCGCGCCAGCAGCCGAAGAAAGGTGAGTGGGGGACGGCTGATGCGTCCGCCGACCTCGACTCCGACCACAACCAATCGGCAGCGCCGCGCCTGCTGGAATTCCGGGTAGGTCCGGTGCTTGCGGTCGACTGCCTGGTTCAGCGCGAGGCCTGGCTCACGGTCGGCCCGCGGCCGCGGCTGACCATCACGGCGTATGGGGCTGACGATCGTCGCGTCAACGGCGATCTGTGCCCCCTGCCAAATGGGGAGGCCGTTGGCCACCACCTCGATCCGGCGCCCGTCGGCCGCAAGCACATCCAGGTTGAGGTCACGCAGGGCGACATGGGCGGCGACTCGGGCGCCTGCTTCCCTACAGATACGAGCCGCCGCCTGCTCGAGGGGGCCTGCTCTCTTGGCCAGCACACCAACTTGCGCGCATGCGGAGCGGTGGTCCCCATAGACGTCCAAGCCTCCACCACAAGAGCAGCGCCGCGGGGCAAGCGGGAGGGGTAACCGAAGTCTGCGGAGCAGCATGACGCGGTAATACGCGGTACTCCTCGTCCGGTACTCTGGTATCGGAGGTTGTGGGGAAGGCCATGACAGCAGCAGCGCCCGAGACGTTGGGTCAAGTTCGGAGAAAAGCGTCTCGAGCACGCGCTTGTCAGTGGCAGTGGTGGCCGCGTGCTGCCAGCCCGGTCTTCCGAAGCCGCCTGGGTCATGGCGTCGGCGCGCTGTTGCTGGGCTCGTCGCTAGCAAGTTGGCCCAGGTGGGCGCAGGGAAACCGAGCGCGCGCAGCTGGCGCGCCGCGTGGTCGGCCTCGCGCGTACTAGGGGGTGTGCCGGGCGCGTCTGGGGCTAGCAGCGTGCGAACCAGGTCAGCAAGCACGCCTGGGTGGTGCTCGCCCAGCGTGCACAAGGTGTCCGCCCACGAGCCCCAGTAAGCCGAGTGGCGTTGCTTCTCCGCAGATCCGAGTCCCAGTCCGCCCATGCGGAGGGGGAGCTGTGCTCGACGGGCGCTAAGGTCGGGGAGCGGCATTTCACCATCCCCCCCGGCCAGCAGCCTCGCGAGGCAGCGCAGGACCGCGGCATCATGCTTGGCGGCGAAGTCTGCCGTGTCGGAGGGCGGCACGGTCCGTACCAAGTAGGTGCATCGAGGCGCTGCACAGTACAGCAGCAACAGCCACGCTGACTGCAGGTGGGGCACGTGCGGGAGTTGCTGGAGCAGGCGGTCCTGCTCGCGCAAACGCTGCGTGAGTTTTTCCGCGACGAACCCCCGGCTTCCGATACGACTTCCCAAGACCACCACGCCCTGCTGGGCCTCTGCGAGTGCCCAACCTCCGGTCCAACAGGGGTTGGCAGGGTCCTCGGTGGGGAGCTGGGCGAGCAGGCCTGGAGGTTCTTCACCTGCGGAGTTCCACGCACGTGTCTTGCCCAGATGCACCTGGATGTTCGCGTGGCGTGCGAGGGCTCGCGGTGTGGTCAGGGGGACCCGTCACGTAGATGTCGTCAAGGAAGGCATACAGCGTGTCCGACGGGTGGAGTCGGGCACGGACCTCCAGCAAGGCTTTGTGCTGGCCTAAGGCGAACAGGCAAGGCATCAGCGGATCACCCTGCTCCCCTTGCCGCACTTCGTGAGCCCGGCCCTGCTCGTCGTAAACGATGTAAACGCTGGGGGAGCCGTAAAAGAGCGCCACGTACGGAAGAAGGCCTGCCAGCTCGGGACGGTCTGCAAGCGCCGACAGCATGCTTTGCCGGGACATGTGGTCATAGGCCCCGACGCCATCGACGCTGAGCACCGTCGTCCGGGCGTCCGTTTCTGTGGCCGCGCGCACCGCCCGCACGAGGGCTTCGGCACCTGCCTTAGTGCCGAGGGCATACTGAAATGGCGCGCAGGCTCGCTGGAATTCCCCAGTGAGCTGCTGCGCCAGCGTGCGAGCAGCATGACGCGGTACTCCTCGTCCGGTACTCTGGTATCGGAGGTTGTGGGGAAGGCCGTGAAGAACAGGCATTTGGCAACTCCTTCTTAGCCGTCCTCACAAACTTCGAAGGCTGCGATGTGGAGGGCAATTGAGTAAGTGCCTTCAGGACGGCATCGACAAGTGGCCTCTTGTCATGTGAGCGCCCGTTCCCATGGTGCTGGGTTGTCTTCGCACCACCTTCAGAAGTAGGGTAGTTGTTCTCTCGAGGAGTTCCGCAAGGGCACACACGCATGCGCTTGCTGGCGCCAAGGCGTCATGCATGCACGTTGGACGTGGTCGTAAGCCCAGACGATGTAAGGGTAAAGGGTGCACCACTGTACATCAAATTTTTCCCCTCGCTCCTTTTTGCACCCGCTGTCCTGGGTTCAAGGGTCGAGGCTACCGTCAGGGCTCACAGTCCGGCTGCCCTGGGCGCTCGGCGAGCAAATCCCCCAGCGGCAGGTCCTGGTCATCCCCCGCGTCGCACGACTGTCTCAAGCAGCGTTTGCGCGTGTGCGCGCAGTGCCGCCAATGACGCAGCGCGCCTCGGCGTGGCGAGGCGCGCAACCAGGCTCAACGTCGGCTCCTGGACGGGGCTCTCCGCACCTCTGCAGTGGGCTGACGAGCGTCGTGTCGACCGCGATCTGGGCGTCGCGCCACAAGGGCAGGCCGTTGGCCACGACCTCGATGCGGCGCCCGTCTGTGGCAGGGACGTCAACGTTGAGATCGCGGAGGGCGACGCTGGCCGCCACGCGTGCAAATGCGCGCCGCTGCCCGCTCGAGTGGGCCCGCACGATGTGCGAGGAGCCCGACTTGCGCACAAGCTGTGCGGTGATCCGCGAGGGTATCAAGGGCCCGGCCGCAGCGACAACGCCTGGGCGCGAAGGGGAGTGGCAGTCGCAGGCGTCGGAGCAGCATGACGCAGTCCTCCGCATCTGGCACGACGAGGTCGGCACTGGTGGGGAGCACGGTGAGGGCGCAGCTGGCGCCATCCCCCCCCTGCGACAGCAGCAGCGCACGAGACGCAGGATCAAGGTCACTGAAAAGCGTCTCGAACGCGCGCTGGTCCTCAGCGCCACAGCTGTGTCCGCCCAGGATGCCCAGTAAGCCGCACGCCGATGCTCCGCCGCAGAGGCGAGGCCGAGGCCACCCATGCGCAGCGGCAGGGCTGCTCGCCGTTGCGCTAGCGCGGGGAGGTCCATGGGCTCATTTCCCCCCGACAGCAGGACGGCGAGGCAACGCGCAACGGCTGAGTCGTGTTCGGTGGCGAAATGTGGCGAACGTGTCCGTGACGCTTGGCGGCACCGTGCGGAGGAGGTACTGGCACCGCGGGGCCGCGCACAGCCGGAGTAGCAGCCACGCGGACTGCATGTCCTGCATCCAGGAGCTCGTCATGCTTGGAACGCCTTTCTGCCAGCGCGGCAACCACGAAGGCGACTCCTGCAATCAAGGCATCCACGTCGCGCCCAGCCAGACCACCGTCGTCTGTCACGCCAACAGGGCGTGGGAAGGCCGCGGCCCCATGCGCGGCAGCCGCGGCTCCCCCCTCCCCCGCATGGCACACAAGGAGAGCCTCTTGCGCGCTTGCTGGCAGATAGTAGTCCGGGGAAGCGAGCGCGGCAACGGCGACCTGAAGGGGGATGCCCGCCGACGGTGCCGCTGAGCGGAGCCTACGGAATGCCTCTGCGTCTGTGGCCCCGGCACCTGCCCGCGCCTGCTGGGCCACAGCTTCTTCCAGCTCCTGGAGTGGCACCCGCGGGCGGTTCCCCAAGGCAGCCCGGCTGGCAGGAAACCAAGGCAACGACTCCCACGCTCGGGCTGCTTCGTCCTCCAGTAGCCCCGCAGCATGAAGCAAAAGCGGCACGTGGTAACTGGACAGTGTGCCTTGCCTGGGTGGTTGGCGGCCCCCGACTCAGATTCAGCCTGTTGATGATATGTCGTGTCCATATTGCCAAGCAGAGCATGACACCATGGATGGCTTGTTGCAGTGCATCACTACACATGTTGCTGGGCCTACGCGTTGCTTCGACCAAAAAAATGAACAAGATCCACTTTGCGGTGTGCCCTGACATGTCGCCTCCGCACCATCGGTAAAGCTGGTGGTCGCATCAAGCGAGGCAAAGCTCCGCGCTCTGGCAATGAACGTGAGCTGCAAGATCTTGTCGACAAACTCATCAACATCGCTATTCTCCAGGGGCGGCGTTGCCTCATAGGTGCCGCTGTGCGTCTGGGGGTTGTCCTAATCGACCACCTGCTCGGCCATGACGTGAGGACTTGTCAGAGTGCCGTGAGTGAGTGCGTGTGCGCGTGCGTGTGCGTGTGTGTGCGTGTGCATTCGCATGCGCACGCACGCACGCATGCGCAGGCGCATGCACATGCGCGTGCACGTGCACAAGCACATGCACGTGCGCATGCACGTGCGTGTGCGGGTGCGCGTGTGAGCGCGACGGCTTCTGGCAAGCGGTCGCAAGAAATGTACTGCCGACCTCAATTTGTTCGCGCACCTATTTTCCGGCAGCTCAAAGTCCCGACCATCAGTGCCTACCCCCCACCTTCGGGCTTTCAGGCCTGACTCTGACTCTGGCAGCCAGGACCCAGAGGACGTTTTTGCCGCTGGAAACAACTTGGGAACTGGCGTGCACGCCATGTAATAATAGTATAGCGTGATGTTCAGGGCCTCTCAGGGCTTACCCGCGAAAGCGCGGGATCAAGTTGTGCCTTTCGTTTTCGCCTGAAACCTCAAAGCGCCGCCTTCGGGCATTCAGGTTTGACCTTTTGACCTCTTTTCAGCCAGGCGAACGTTGCGGGCGACCCGCCCCCCGGTTTCCTGGCACACCTCGCCACCGCCCGCTCGAGAGGGAGGGCTCGAGACGTGAGCACACCGGAAGTCGCACATGCAGCCCTGTGGTCGCCGAGTGTGTCAAGGCGACCTGGGCAGGCGGTGCGACTGGCAATGGCAGTCGAAACCGTCGCAGCACAATCACGCGGAAGAGTGGTGATGGAGCAGACTGTGAAGGCGAGCGCGGCGTGTGGCCGCTCGAGATGCGGCATCAGACTGCGAAGTAAGTAAGTAACTAAGTAAGTTAAGTCAGTCAGTCAGTCCTGCATGCCTGTAGTCGGCCTCTTGGAGCAGCAGGCAAAGAACGCAACTGTACATGGTGTCACACTGCAAGTGAACATGATGTCACGTCAATGTTAGAATCATTCTAAACATTTCTAAACATCAGACTGCGAAAAGATGCAAATCAAACGTGCGCTCGTCACTGTCAATGGCGGGGGTTGCACGATGTTGCCGGTCTCGCAGGAAGTCAGCACCAACTCAAACCGGCCCAACTTGTTTTTTCTTTTCCCAGCTCAAAGTAAGTGTTTTGGCCTGGCGGCGTAATGCATCAAAAAGCCGAATCAGTGCTACAGCCCACATAGACGGACTCATGTACATCAACGTTGGCGACAACATGGTCGAAGCATTGACTGGAGGCGATGCTTGGGACGACATATCATCAGTGCAGATCCTCGACAAAAGTCAAACAAACCTGTGTCCATCGCCTTGATTGCGAAAATTGTTCATACAGTATTCATTCCAACCGTCCTGTTTGGATTGCACGTCGTGCCGTTGACTCTGTCACAAACTCATGCAATGGATGCATTACAACGACGGCTTCGCTCTGTGGATGGTTGGGTGCACAGCACGACGGATGAAACACATATTGAATGCAGCGTCGCACGTACACGCTGTGGTTGCGACGTCCCAATTGGGCCGCGGCTGCTGTCAAATGGTGTGCAGGAAGTAACTGGCAAACACATTTTTGTTTTACAACTACATCGGATGATCGACTGCGCAGTTTTGCCGCCTGCCAGTTTCCAGCGGTGAATACGTGGACTGTATTGGTAAAACAGCAAATTGGCCGCAAGCGTGGTCCATGAGGTGTAGGAACAATTTGACGCTTGTCAGGCCCTGGTCTAAGTCTGCGGCCTTGGCGGACATTCGCCGCGCACCGGGGTAACCATCGTTGCAGCGCTCTCTGCGCACAGAGGCGGACGAGGTCGCACAGGAAGCGGAGCACCTGCACATTCCAGCGCCCCCGAACCTCCGTCCCCGAACCTCCGTCCCAGGCATGACATTTCACTCTGGCCCGCCACACGCGAGTGCGGGGGTTGGCTGCCTGCTTACGGCGTTCCGCCACACACAGTGCTCCGCGGTGGACTTCGTCCGCGCATGGCTGCGGGTGTCCGGTTCCGCTGGGCAGCATGCGCAGATGCACTCCCCGTCATCCCCCCGTCATCCACATGCGTTTGTGGTGTGGGCCGACAGCTACCTCCGAGAATTGCAGTGGGGTGAGGATGCCGCTATGTTTCCACGAAGCGGACGAAGCCAAGCACCTTGCACGAGCAAGGATGGCACGACTGCCCGACTTGGCACGGCTGGCAGCACCTGGTGCTGCGCGCGCCGCCTTCGCTTGCCTTTGCGCTCGCCTGCCGTCGGACAGGACTGCTGGCCAGACGGGCAAGAGCAGTCGAACCGCATGGCTCCGCTTGGCCAAGGAATCGGCCGCGCAGACAAGAGCATCTTGTTGTCCTAGCGCGAACAATGGCGGAGCTAATGCATCGCCCTGCTCACAATACCCTCCCGCGTCCCCCTCCCGCGTCCCACCAACATGACGTGGACGGCTTGCCATAGAACATCCGGACGCAAGCTCCCGGGCCACTTGGCAACTTGGCGCAGCATCGCGAGGAAGGCTGCGCGGGACATACAGTCGTACGCGCTACAGCCATCCAGGCATACCACGACCGTGTCAGGTCGCCTCGCGGGATCTGTGCCTGCCCGCGTTTGCAGTGAAAATTGCTAGGGCCGTGTGGTGTGAAAAAACAAATCGCTACGCTCGGCCCACGCGCGTCACAGCTTTGCGTAAGCCGGATGGAACTCCCCAGAAAAGCCAAGGAGGAGCGGGCGCCGATTTTTGACCAAAGCGTTTTTTTGCCTCAGCACGAGAAGTGTTTGGTCCCCTGTCCCTGGGCAGCGTGGCGGCTTTTTTCGGGAGTGGAAGTGGCCTCTCGGGTGCTGCTCGGAGTCACATCACAGTGCGGGCAGGCGACTGGCCAGCGGTGGGCTGTCGAGGTGGTGAGGTGGTGCTTGGCGACGCTGCGGTGCTGCTGGCACGCGGTGCAGACCCTGCTCGACAGCGGGGGAGGTCGGATGAACTGGATGGCCTACGCACGCCATTGTCGCGACCTGCAAGCACGACCAGGCGGGACGGTGGGACGCGCAAGAGCTCCGGGTAGGTGCTTCCTCGCGCGATACGGCGCGCTGCACCGACAGGGTTACGAAGGTGGCGCTGCAGGCGACCGCGTGCATCAATGGCCGAGACGAGCGTGGTGTCGACGGCGAGCTGGGCTCCTCCCCAGGAGCGTAGCCCGTTCGATAACCTCAATGCGCCGGTCGTTGTGCCGCCGGGTGTTGAGGGAGGACATTTCTGCGACTGTGGCTCCGGCGTTTCTGCAAACGCGCGTGAGAGGAACGCCTCGACCGCACATGATCCCAGCGCGTCACCTAACGCGTCGAGATCAGCTCCACAACGGCAAGCGGCAGCATCAAGAGGCCGTGGAAGGCGCAGTCTTGGAGCTGGCTTTGCAGATCGCAGAGCGCGTTGTGCTACGCCAGTGCTGCGCCAAAACATAAGGCATCATAAGGCACTGGCATCAGCGGACACGTCGTGTGCGCGGGCAGCTTCGTCATACTACTTTTATGTGCGCGAGCATTGGCGTAGAACTGCCGCACATAGGGAAGGCTGAAGATCCGGCCGCGCGAGCAGCGCCCCGAGCATGGAGCCCCCAGCGACGTGATCGAAAGCGCTGACGGCATCGACTGAGAGGATGGTCGCACGGGGGCACGCCGCGGATGGTGACCCGTGCCAGCGGCTTCCATCTCGGGAGTGCCATCTGCGCGTACTTCGCCGAGCTTTTGCGGTTTTTTGCAGCTCAAGAGGGTTCGTTGCAATGGTGCTGCCAGGTGTCTTGTGCGCTAAGCAAGTGCTGGCATCTGGGCTTGACATGGTTGTTTTTGTCTGAGCGGAGCCGGGGTGCTGCATCGGAGTTTCAGTAACACAGACACATGCACGTTCTGTGGCATCTTGGGCAACTTAACGCTTCCGGGAAAATGTTGCAGACAGAGTGAAAACTTCCTTTTCGAGAAGGACATTGATACCTCATGGTTTTTGTTTCGGACCCACGTGAGGCATGGTTAGCCTCAGAGTTTACAGCGTTCTAGATACTGAGTCGCTGCACGTAACCCCTGCATTTCCAACAATGCTTTTCCACACACTTGCATGCGCGACGGAATGCCGTGGTTGCCTGGCGGCTCGAAGGAATATGGGCGCCCAGGTGGTGAGGTTCCCTGCGTGTCCGTTTTGCGATTCTTCGTTGACCATGCGCGCGATATTCAATGTCGAACCCTGCGCGCAGACTCCGCACAGGCTGCTGGTGAGCCAACTTGGCTGCGGAGTCCGACGTTGGAATTTCTGTCCACTCGCACACCGTTTTGCAGCTAAGTTTGCCAAGCCGCCGTCCCAGTGCAGAGGCCCACCTCCCGTGCCGCAAAAGCCGGAGGCCAAACAAGCGGGAAACTGAGCTGCCGTGACAGAGGGCCGCGGAGCACTGTGCTCAGCTGGACGTGCTTGCGCGTACCGCTTGAGTATTGATGCTGTTGCAAGCGTCTGCCGGAGGCCAACACGCGAGTAGCGCGAAACGTGCGACACGCTGATCCGTTGTCGGGCGGAACATTGACGGCTATTGTGTTCTTACCGACCATGTTCTGGCAGTTTACAGTATGCACGTCGTTGTTTTTGCAAGATCGCTCACAAAGCGCGGGCAAGCATGGAGCTTTGAGTGACTTCTCCTGGAAGTTCGGAATCCTTGCGTGACTGGAAAGGCCAACAACACGGTTGGATAGGGATGTCGATGGAGGCAATTTGGCAATGCTTTCGGAGGCGAGACGGAAGCCGCGTCCAAGCGCAGCCACAGCCGTGGCAGACTGACCGTCTTTCGGGTCTGGCTTGTGGGACTGCCCTATTGCGCAATGATGTTCGTGCGGCGGGCCTTGACTCATGACATTCAGAAAGGATGTTCCCTCCCACTCGCCCGAATTACCTGCTCTGCCGCACATTCCTGCAAACGTTTTTTCTTGGCAAAGCGGCTAGACTTCGATGTGTCTGGCATCTGTCGGACTACCGAGGACTTTCATACCATCTGGATCTCGTACCCACAGGCCGGGGACCTCAGCAGCTACTCATCTAATCATTGGAATGTTTTTGGAGCTCATAGGAGTCATGAAAAAGCTGAGGTCGGCACTCCTGCACCCCCTGGCCTCAGAGACTTCATGACCGATCCCGCTTCAATCGCTTTTCTTGTTGTCTGGCCTGGCTCCTTGTGGCGTTGGGCCAGGACGACTCCCGGACACCTCATCCGAGACAAGAAGAGACAAGAACCATTGGAACCATTGCAGACAGAGCATTTATGAGCATCTGCACAGCCCTGAGATGTTCACAGTAGGCTGCGCGTCCTGGCGGCATGCATCCGGCGACTCCATCGGAAGACTCTCCTAGGTCCTAGCCTTCAGGGCCACTTCCAGAACGCCTGCAGGAAGGCAGAAAGAGGAAGGAACTTGCCGTATCTTGCCGTGCTTGCGCTGAGCTCCGCACCCTCAACTCGCTCCGCAACACTGCGAAACCCATCAATGAGAATCTCGCAGGACCTGATACCACGTGGACTCACACCGTCGCTCGCGATTGCTATGCAGACGATGACTCGACGTGACAACAGCAGAGTTTGACGCTGCAATCGGTGGTGCAGCTGTGCTGATGGCGAGCGGCTGGGGTCCTGCACGTACATTACTGTACATAGTACCGGCAAGCACAACTGCATCAACTGCAAGGTCAATTGCGGGATCATGCAAGAAAGATCCTCTATGGACATCTTGTCGCGATGCCTCGGCTTATGGCCCTACAGCAACCAAGCCACTCGAAAAGATCTTGGGATTGTCTGATTTCAGTGCCAGACGTCACGAACCAAGAATGAAGCTCGCTGGCCACATGAGCGGTGCGCGCCAACTTGGCCTGCCGTCCATGCCCGCTGAAAGGAGTGACCCTCGCGGAAGCAGCTTCAGACTTCTAAGGGCCTTCACTGCGCCCAACTCCGGTTGGAAGGCCGTGATGAGCTGCCTCGCCTTGCCCGAAAGCAAGGCGACTTCGGCACTTGTCCAGCATTTGCAGCCTGTTGCGCAAGAGCAATGGCGGCAGCAGCGGAGGGCCGGCGGAGCTGTGCAAGCTCACTGCGGGCTGCTTCAACCTAAATCAGAAAGCCCAAGTAACTCACAGGATTCACAAGATGCAAACATCGCGGCACATCGCGGTCTTGCAGATGCTGTTGTGGGGAGGGGGGGTCGGGCCGGGGCCTGGCAGTGCAGTGCGGCAATCTGGGCTGCACGGCGCTGGCACTCTGCCTCTGCCCATTTCACATCATGACAAGGCTGCTCTCAAAGCTCCCCTCACAACGCCCCTTCGCAACCCCGCCCATAGCCACAGACTCCCATACCTGGCATACCCACTCTTTGACTTCAACCGCTGCCGCCTCGGCCTCTGCAGCAGTGGTGGGGCCCAGTCCCTGTGACGATGACAGGTCACTGAGGCCGCCGAAAACCTTTGGAGATCCATCCCAGACATTCATTGTCGCAAGTCGGAATGCTTGTTCGTGTTTCTTGAGGATGTGGTGACACTCGAGGATAGAGGCTCGATGCACACCAGCTGCTTCCCGAGCGTGCCTGGAACTGTGGCGGCAGCTGCACTTGTTGGGGCCAGGCCTGCTAAGACTGCACTGTGACTCTGTGAAGACAGGAAGAACTTGAAGGAACCGGAGGAGTGGAGACCAGGGTGTCAGGATAGGCGGCAAGCCTATCTGAAGTGGTACTCTATTTCAACAATTTTCTCTGCTCCATCTCTCTTTCTCTTCTTCTTCTTCTTCTCCTTCTTCTCCTTCTTCTCCTGATTCTCCTGATTCTCCTTCTTCTTCTTCTGCATTGCTCAGCCCACCGATAGTGCGCCTCGCCGGTTCGTGTGCTGTCTTGGAAACTGCCCCCTCCGCTGTTCAAGTTTCGGGAGCCGGAGCAGAGTCACTAGCATAACAGCCCCGCCCCTTTAGTCTTGGGCTTGTCGACAGCTTCCCCTCTGCAGCGACGGCAGCGCGAAACTCCCCTTCTCTAATCTTGGCGCGTGAGCTCCTCCCAGCGCTCATTGCTTCAACGCAGTCGATTCTTTGCTTGATGTGGTCCATTGCCGACTTGACCTCAGTGACTACCCGCATCTCCATGCTTGATGGCTTGTTGGATCAGCTCGACCACTTAAAATTTTGCCTGCTCGCTGTCCCCCACCTTCTGCCTGGTGACCTGCCCTCTCCACTCACCGAATACAGTCTCGATGTCCCTGCCAATATCAGGGACGCGACGCACAAATTGCCCTGTAGGTTCACCGAACCCGGTCGCGAATTCGGTGGCAGTGTCCCCGCTCGCCTTTTGTCGTTTGTAGAAGGCATGCTCGGCGAGCTGCGGCTCACGAACAGGACCGAACGCGACTGTGTCCCTGTCGGGTTGTGCGTCCGAATGCTTCCCTCGTTCTTGGCGGCGTCCTTTACGGCTGCGCGGTCGCTGGAGGCACTGGACTGGTCTCAGCAACTCCCTGCACCCCTTTCAGTTTTAATCCACGGGTCCCTCTCTTTCTCTTCTTTCCTTCATCCAGCGAACATGGTCCCCGCAAGGACCGCCACGGGTCGTGCTCTACTCTCTTTCTCTCTTCTCGTTCTTTCTTTCGTTCTTTCTTTCTTACTTTATCTATTTTACGAGTATTTTCTTGCTTTATTTCTTCTTGGGGGCTGGGGGCAAGCCCCAGCGCTCTTGGCACGCCCCCACGTTCTTGTGGTGGCTGGAACCAGTTGGCGCGGGGGTTGATATCCACGCCGTCAGGGCTATCCCCCCACTTAGGATCGCCACGCTACACACACACACACACACACGACATAGTATCCTTACGCAAGCCGCACCCACACTCCCTTCCTTTCGCTTCTGAAGTTTTCTCATGACCCCCATGAGCAGCCTGCTGTGATTGCTGCGCCTGCCAGGCAAGTGCAGCAGCGCCTCACATCCACGACACTCACAGCCGCAGGAACAAGTGCTTGAATCGGCTGGGAAAGCTATGGCCTCCCAGCGGCCGTGAAGGGCCTGAACCACCTTGCCAAAAGGGGGTGAACCCTTTGACATATCCCTCCCCCTTCAGCTCCCTCTTCCGCCTCCGCTCCAGGAAGAGGGCAGCGACGGCGTCCTAGAAGGACATCGGGCAGGAGCTGCCCCAAGAGCCGCCCCAAGAGGAGTCTAATGCGTGTGCCGAGCGGCGCCGAGGCTCCAGAGCCTCCGCTGGCCTCTGCCCTCACGGACCTCAACAATCCAAGGGTCCGAAGCGGCAACGAGAATAACAGATGATGGACAGATGCTGCTCAAACGGCAACTGCCATTTCAAGGGATTGCATGAAAAATGATGGACATACTCGGCACGAGGAACGTACCTGAGAAGCACAGAAGCCGAGGTGCAGACGAAGTAGGTGCCTTCGCAGTCGGCATCACTCATCATGACTCATCTACTGTGCCTGCCACACCGCCACCGCAGCTGCACGCCTCACCCCTGACAACGATGTTCAAAGGCTCACCTGGACGGATTCGATTCCCAGAGATTCTCGGTCCCCTCACAGCGTCCACAGCTTCCTCTCATGCTGGTAAGTTCCAGCCTGAGGGGCCTTCGATGCTGGACTCCTCACCCTGAGAGCATGCAGAGTGCATGCAGAGCGCTCGCCTTCGCGCTTCGACACTGCTCTCGGTCTGCACACCACACATGACCCACCTTGTCCGGGCGCGCCAGCTCTCGTGGCGGCACATCGCGCTTGTCACCAGCCTCGGCCAAAAACCCAACACAGAACGAATCCAAACCCTTCACTGCACGGCCGAGAGCACCAGCCTCGACACAACTAGCAATAACTAGATTAACTAGCAGCTTGCAACATGACTCGGAATCAACCACCCTGCCGCCAAGTCCGTTCAAGCGTCCGCGTGCGCTCCATTCTCAACCACAGGCCTGACAGACAGACATCTGGAACTGGCTTGAAGTTGGCGCAGCCTGAAGATGCCTGAAGCCAGTCTGCTCCGCGAGGTCGACCCCAACACTTTGGCCCATGGGGGCAATTGGGAGTTCTCACGGCTGCACTGGCTGCACTGGCTGCATGTGTTTGCTGGTGAGTCAAAAGCCTCAAACAGCCTCAATAATCTAAATATCCTGAAGTGATCTTGATCGTTTTATGTGGAGCCACCTGTCCGCTCAAAGCAGTCTCAGTTGCGCGGGGAATTCACGCGGTGTGCCTCACACTGAAGGCGAGGCTCTGAGAAGTGCTACAATGGGTAAGCTTAGGGTCTATAGAGTGTACAGGTGGTATCAAGCATAGCCTGCTGCTGCGAGCAAATACGTCTTGTACTTTGATTTTGTGACCCTTGCCACTGGCGACTGCCATGACGGGCTTGCTGGTACTGGATAAGGGCAGATATTGCGAAAGTGGCAGCGACTGCTGCGGCAGATGCAGAGAGATGCAATCAAAAGCACGCTTCCTTTCGTAGGAGCAGTCGGAGGTCACGCGTCATCGTGGTGCCACAGGCAATGGAGGCAGCTCGGGTGCCTGTTTGCAGCACTGAAGGATCACAACTACCTGCGGCATATCTGGAACCTCACAACGCACTTCCCTCAACAAGATCTGACCCACAGACAAAGGAAACATGTACCACCAACTTAAGCGGCCTGATCAGCAGAGCCGGCGCTGACGGCACTCACTGCCATCTGCTGCTGCTGCTGGAAGGGACCTGTATTTGGGCACAAATTACCCGACTCGGACGCAGTGCCAGGCCCCATGCGACTGCATACTGACATGCTTCTGCGCTGGGCTGCGCACCAATGGCATCATTCCATTGCGAGGCATCTCTGTAGAACTTTTTCACCCAGTAGCGCATGTCCACGGACTGTCAGGCACAGACAAGAAGGTGCGATGGCCCTAGTTGTGCACACCGGTGTATGCCCCGCGGCTCTCTTTTTGTGACTTTGTGCAGCTTCCAAGACCGACGCGTTCCCAAAGAGGTCACACTACTACGATTGGGCTCACAGAACGAAACTGATCGAAACTGCGAGCTTGGCCATCTCTGCCGTTCTCCATTCGGAGAAAGGCAGATAAGGTGGAAGCCGCGTCCGAGCTGGTCTGCGCAGCGTCTTCAGGACTCGGCCTCCTTCTGCTCCTTCACCTCCTTCACCTCCTTATCCTCCACCTTATCCTCCACCTTCTCCTCCACCTTCTCCTGCTGGCCCAGAAGGCTGGCGAGGGACCCCCGCGATTGCTGTGATGACTGGCCCTGGTCGAGCTTGTGGACGGAGAGACGGTGGGTCTTCCGCAGCTGTCGGGCCACCACATGGCCTGCACAACTTCGGCACAACTTCGGCACAACTTCGGCACAAGCCGTGCAATCTACAAGAACCAGAGCATCCGGATTGGGCCGGGGGGTGCCTTTCCCAAAGAAGCTCAGGAGCGAGTGGGTGAGGCCCCTGACCTCCTCCTTGCAGGATGCCGAATAAGAGCACAAGAGCCCCAAGAGCCCCCACTCATGGCACCTGGAGACAGGGTTTAGGGCATACGGCTTTAGTCTCCCGACCTGGTACATTCGTGAGAACTTGTCTGGATCTCCCTCAGCCGCGAAAGCATCGATAACAATCGTAGTGAACATGTTCCTGAGCTGAGCATAGCTGAGCAATGTGAGCTAATGTTCTGGCGCCAGTACTTCTGAGGGAGCACACATCGTCAAAAGGCAACCCTGGCTTTGCCGACTCTGCGGCGGAGAATCAAGATGATCGTCACCATAAAGACACTGAAGACAAACAGTGCCGCATACAAGTGGCCACCTGGCTTTCAAATTTCACATGGAATGAGCCCACTATGAAACCCTATCGAAGCCCTACACAACTATACGAAGCCCGATATCCTCCAACGGGCAAATTGGCTGTCTGACTCCAAGCCACCGCTGCGCTCGATGAAGGGCTTCATTCCTCAGCAGCTCTCAGCCTTAGACGCTGAGACTCTGAGACTCTTAGACTCTTAAACTCTTAAACTCTTAGACTCATAGAGTCAACGTATCGATTGGACAGCAGCTGAGGTGCCGTAGGTGGCACGTTCGGTCATGCCGAAGCTGTACACAAGAAGCGTGTGGAATGACCTGTCAAGCAACATCTTGAGCCCCAGCAAAGATAGAGGTGCCTAGAGCTGAAAGATTTCCAGAGCAGGAAACAGCCTGTCGAGCGTTGAGTACCTGGGCATGTGCGGAGGGGTCGCGGAGAGGAAGGGGGAAGCGGCTGTGACATTCTGGGAGAAGGCGAGGCGCTGCATATACAGCTCGCCAAAATAGAGGGTCCTTGGGATTCGAAGAAGCACGTCATCATGAGAACCATTGAGCTGGTCAGGGAGTCAGAAAGGCTAACCCCATGGACACAGATTCTCCAGTGTTTTCCCGTGATGCAAAGACGAGTGTCATCAGCAGCGCAAAGCCTGGTGAGTGGCGAAGCATCGGGCATCGACATGAGAAAAAATGAGAAAAAGTAATTATCAAGGGCATGCCTGCAACCAATGCGACATAGGCGATTACAAAGTTGATGAGCTTGAACTTGGCCAGGAAAATCCTCGGGTTCTCATGTTGTCCCTTCGCCGAAACATTGTGCTGCAGAGGGCGCTTCAACCTTCAGACCAAACTCCTCATCTAACTCCTCAGTCTTTAGAGTCTTTAGAGTCTTTAGAGTCCGGGCTCGTGCGCGGGAGCCAGCGGAGCCGATAGCTCAGGTTAAAGCTCTCCAGGACACGCAGGAAAACCAAGCCTGCCATCCACTCTCCCCTTCTGTCATGCGCAGGCGCTGCCCCTTTGCACTCCCCTTGCGGTCCCGAGCGCCTACCACCAATGCATGGTAGCTGCCCTCCTCCTCGAAAAGAAGTTGGAAGGCGAGCTCTCCAACGTACTCGACTCCATGGAGAGACGTACACCTTGAGCCATGAACGTCTCTTCGACACTGGCATTCTCTAAAGAACTACCTACTTCGTGGCGATGACGATTGCCATTCCGATCGTTACGAGTATCGTGACGGGCTTGTAGTACGAAAAGGATTTCGCAGCCGAAAGAAGGCAGTAGCTGCGCTGCGCTGGACCCTGAGCTGAGTCCGGGAGCTCATGCACGTAGGTAAGGACGCTCAGGCCATGCTCGACGTAGTTTCCCTTCACGGAGTTGATGATCCACTCCTGGAACTCTTTGAACATGGGTTTTGGGATACCCTTCGAAGGTAGCTAGCACAACTAGAGCTAGCTAGCTGGAAAGACCACATCTTGGCCTGAATCCTCCGTCAGATCCTCTTTAACCCACACTAGGCTCTGTCCTTGTTTGCTCGCAGCCATGCATACACACATTGCTCACCTTGGATGGCTGAGTACATGACAGTACAGAGGAGGCAAAACGTCATCTCCCAGTCAGTGCATGTCATCACTGCCGAATCGGAGCAGCGTCTTCGACAGGTCATGCTCTAGGCCTCTAGGCAAGGTGCTCATACCACCCATGGGCATTGAGTTTGGCATAACGGCTTCTCTCGCCTCGTGGAAAGGGAAAGGGAAGTTTGAACCAAGCATGTCACGTACGTAGGCGTATGAAGCTGAAGCACGATGAACCCTCAGACCAGGCACTGCTTGCACGCATGCAGCCGCAAAGAAGATCCCAATGAGTCGCTCACTCCTCGGGAGATTGGCGACAAAGTTGTGCTGTCTGTCATGCTGCAACGCTGCATCAAAGGAACAATATTACGAGGGACGCGGAAGTGCGACTCAGCACGCCTTGGTCACTCCGCTATGGTTCAGATCCACCAGGCTGGTTCCATAAGCTCAACATTTCTGGCAGCTTTGCTCATCAAGGGGCCCCTGGCGTCGACGATGCACAGGACTTTTAGCCACAGCATATGCTCGATTTCCTGCCCCAAGGGCACTGTTCAGTCCAGTCAAAAATAATCGAAAGATTAATCCACGTATCCACTGGGCAAAGATGAATTCTTAGGGAGCTTAGCCTAGCTTAGCAGCACAACTCAGCTGCAGCACCCCCCCCCCCCCCCCCCGACCCCCTCCAAAACAAAAACGTCGTCTTGTCCTCGTAGGATGTACTGCCTTGGATGCTGACAAGCACTCTCCGTCTTCTCTGGCTTGCGGCTCGGAGGACTTGTTCTGAACTTGAAAACTGTGGGTTTCCCATTGAGACGGCTTTGAAGGCTTTGCTTGGGTGGACTTGCAGCAGTTGCAGCCGGGCGTCTGGGCAAATCCAGCCTTGGAAAGACACACGGGGGGTCATGCTGCCATTGGGGCACTGGTGTTTGGGATACCCCCAGTAATGAGCCAGGACGTACTCATGCGAACACATCATGTCATGCTCAAACCTACCATTGCATCGCAGGCACTTCAGCACACGCAATAAGTTCAGTGGCAACAGCACCAGCGTCAGTGCGGTATCGAAGAGAGTCAGGACCAAGCACCTAAATGCTGGCAAAGAGATGCTCGCATGTGGACACTTCTGTTCCTGTGCACCCCTGGCGCCATGCCCTGGCCATGCCCTGGCCATGCCCTGGCCAAGGGGCAGTGTCAAGACTGCAGCCATCAGCACCATGACCTTGACGGAGATGTTGCCCACTTGGCTCTTCACCAATATCCGCAGATCGGCTTTGTACCAGCCTGAAGCAAAAGGAGAACCGAAACCGTTTTTGCCATCTTTAGCCTGGGCAACACCGCGATGTCACTGAGATGTCGCCACGGAGCCAGATCCAGGCTCGATCTGTGAGAAAATCATTCGAATGTGCATCCGGGTGCCGCTGATGCCTTGAACCTGACCCCATCTCCCCATCTTTCGCCGAAACATCGCGCACATTCTGGACAAAACAATGGCCCAAAGCAGCAAAGCGCAGATGCCAACAAGACGCAAGCCCAGACCCAGTTGTTGTAGGCACCTTAGCAACCCCTTGCCGAAATTAGACGTTCAGACATCTGCTCTTTCACGCCAACGGGCACTTTGCTACCATCAAAGCCTCCGCCTGTCCTCTGCATAAGCAGCAATAAAAAGAGCTATACACGTCTGCTATTTCGTCACATGCAGCTCTCCAGATTTAGGAGTTTGGAATCAAAAAATCTACTTCAGGAGGTTAAAGGCATAGAACTTGAAGAGCTTTGGATTGAGGCCTTGTGGAGTGTTTAGGGTTCAGACTCAGACAATGGGATCGAAAAGTTCGGAAGGCAGAGCAGGAGACCAGTGCATGTAGGCTGCAAAGCCAATCTGGTACAACACCGAGATGGATGCGGGCTTGCAGAGGCCAAGGAGGCTAAAGTGATGGTTCCTGCACTCCAAGTTCAGGTAGCCTGCGCAGGCAAATCGACAGTGAAGCCAGCAGCTGCAGCCTTTGCTTGAGCAGATATGAGCAGATGCATTCGCATCCAGCCTCTGACAGGAAACTGCAGCTCTCTAAGATGATTCTCCGCGAAATCCAAGAACTCCTCTCGGCAACTTGTCTGGGCAGGGCCCTCGTAGGTTGACAGCTCAACCGAACACACAGTCTTCCTTCGCACTCAGCGAGCCGTTGCCGTCGTCATCCACGTTTATCTTAGCAAGCGTCGGCAGCAGCGAACTGTTTCGTCTGAAAACCCAGGCATGCTCGCATGGCTTGTTGCAGGCAGCAGAGGAACATGCAACTGCAACCCGCACGTCTGGATCTACAACGTCTTATCTTGCACAAGTGATGAACGACGAGGCGGTGTCAGCATTCTTCCAGCTTCCGACAGTTATCTGCGAACATATGCGGACGAGCTGCTGACTGCCAGAGTCTTTCTAAGCTAGCACCTCGAAACGAAGTTCTGCTGTGTCATGCCATACTTGCACTATACTATGACCCTTTGCTGACCAAGGTGGCAACACACAAGTATGGCATCGCAATTGCTTGCTAAGTTGCTTGTCATATTCGGCAGGACTTCCTCGGCTCAGACTACGTCAAAATTATGTGCGAGAAACGCGTGCGGAGTTATGCTCTTTCGGCGATCCGGGCTTCTTTCAGCATGGCTTTTGCCGCATTCATATTCATGTTCTGGCCCCCATCGCCTGCACTTCACCACTCTCAGGAATGCCTCACATCAGCGCAGTCCAGCCGCACGAGCCTATGTGACTCGCCCAAAGGTCTCGCAGAAGCCCTGCAACATCGTGGGAGTCAAAGCAGCCTTGCAAGGGAGCTGCACGTCACTTGCACCACTTGTACCTTGCATATCCTTGGATGCTCTGCCGCCTGGTCCATAGTATGCATCGTCCTAAACGACACAGGGGCAAAGAAGCTCTTTTTCCCTTCTCCGGAGTCCCGCAAACTGGTCCTCTGCAACCTTCTCCCGCTCTTCTTGTCCTGCGTATACGGTACGGAATTTGTAATCGTGTACTCTTATGACGTCTCGCTGCAGAAAAGGAGCTTGCAGATTCATTCATGGCAGACCCATCCTGGCAACTGCAGAAGCACTTTCTAGGATTCTAGCCTCTTTGAAAGAAGCGTGCACCGGTAGCCTCTTTCGCCTGCAGGAGGCCTAGGCAAGCAGTATCAAGAAGTGCAAATCTTGTTGCCGTTTCACAATGTGATGTCATCTTCTCACACCTGTCCTGCGCCTTTCAGGCTCGTCACCAAGGCTCGGGCTTGCCGAGCTTGCCGCCCGGTCTCCCTGGCACAGCGCCAAGGCTTCGAACCCGGGGCCGGGAAACTCGAGATGGAACTTTGATTGGGATATTTGTTGAAAAGTATTTTCACCTGCCGTTTTTTCTGTGGGTTTCCCGCATCCACGGCACGTCCACGACGGATCCCTGGCGCATCCACACGACGTGCGCTCGAGGCCTCCACGTCCTCTGCATCCACGTCGATGAGCCAAGGGTTCCCTGTAAAAAGGGACTGCTCTGCATCAGTGCTCTCAATGTCTAAATTCGCACCTGGGCGATATGGGCCGAGATCTCTCCTCTCTAAGACTCTAAGGCAAGCCAAGGGGCGTCGGTGGAGGCGGGCTGAACCGTGCCCTCCAGCAGGAGAACTGGCACCTGTGCTGCTTCTTCGGGGAGACGTCCAAAAGCAGCAACTTCACAAATATGTCAAAACATATGTCAAAAGAGTGCTGAGAACTGTCAGCACATCTCAGCACATCTCAGCACATCTCAGCACCGGGCGAGGGCGTTCCAGGAGCGAGTCGGCCTCCGCAGAAGACCCCATAAGACCCCATAAGACCCACTAGAAGCCAGTCTCGAACAGCAATCAAAACAGTTCGAGGCAGTGCGACAACTGTGCGACAACTGTGCGACAACTGTGTGACAACTGTGCGACAACTGTGCGACAACTGTGCGACAAATGTGCGACAACGGTGCGATGCGACAACTCTGCCTCCTCGGCTGACTCTCGACCATGATGGAGATCCAGGTGGAGCGCCCTGGTGATCTTTTCCATGTCTTTTCGCGTCTCTTGCCTCAACACAACCACGAGCTGTCACAGTTCACAGGCAGTCAATGAACTTGAACATACTTGAACCATCTTCCTTTATCTCCACCAAAGTGCTCATCGTTGTGAAGATGGGCGAGGCTGTCCATGATGGCAGTCTGCGCAGGCTTCATGATGACAAAGTTTTGAGAGGATGGTGTACTAGGGATTCAGAAGATGTAGGTTTTAGGGCGGGAAAGTGCCTGACCGAAACCACGGATGGTATTGGCATCGAAGTCCTGAGCTCTCGCACTTCCATTTTCCACACCGTGGAAGTTCATCAAAGTCTGCAATCCGCAAGCTGCAAACTCCTTTCAAGTGAGCTCATCCTAATTCGAACAAGCCACAGGATGCAAGCTGCCTCCCTGCGTTGCCGGCTTCACAACCTTCTCGGAAAACCTGGCCGAACGTCACAAAGATCTTCAAGCAGCATCATGCGTCAGCATGGCCCTCCGTTCACGGCTTGCAGCAGCATGAGAAAAGCATGATGCAAGCCACGCGGTCGCGTCGCCCCTAGGAATGAGCTTAGGGTCATCTCCTCAGCAAACATTGAGCAAGAAGGCAAAAAAATGCGAGCCAGGCACAACTGCACTGACTAGTCTGCGTAGTCATTGCTCGTTCTGGTTGGCAGGTGTCGGCAGGCGTCGGCAGGCGTCTGGCAGGTGCTGGCAGGTGCTGGCAGGTGCTGGCAAGGTGCTGGCAGGTGCTGGCTGGTGCTGGCAGGTGCTGGCAGGTGTTGACTGTGTGTCGACCTTTCGGGCTTGCCTTTGAAATGCGGCTCGCACAAGATCACAAACAAAAGCACTCAAACGTATACCTTCAGCATCCTCCTGCCAGATTCCAGGCTGGCCGGACGGACAGATGTAGACAGAGCGACTCAGAGCAAAAGCGAGACGGAGAGAACAAGAGCAAGAGTGAGGTCCGAAACGAAGCACATGTGCAGCGAAGGCTCCGATCACGACATGGTTCTGGAAGAAAATGTCACCTTGCCGGGGGCGACAGGTGTCAGCAGTGTCACCTCACCACCATGTGCCTCTAGGTGCCAAGGTGCTACAGATCACATCCATCTCCCTTCGCCGCTCCTGCGCCAGGTCCTGAACAAAAATCTCCTGAACATGTCACGAACACTATGCCACCTTCAGAAAAACCCTCATCTCAGTCCCTGGAGCTAGCATCGATCTTTGTCTCGAAGACGCCTGCGGAGTTCGCTCTGCAGATGCAATGCAATAGAATCTGCACAGCTCGTGTCGTGGGATACCAGCAATCCCGCTGCAGCTTTGACACGTTGACACAGGCATCAACGCATCAAGGGCAATTGGGGCCGCGTGGTGGCTCATCAGCGTGTCTCCCCTGGCCTTTCTTGCCGTGGCCGAAGACATTGTCAGAGTCCGAGTCTGGAAGGTGTCGGTTCATCTCAGTCTTCAACTCTCTCGACTGACGAGAGAGTAGCAACGGAGAGATGAAGACACAGGAAGGAGGTATCAATGCTCCTCGCATCTGTCATTTGCATGCAAGTGTCAGCAGGGTCCCATTCTGCACCTCGCCCGACACCGACAGGCATTTTGTGAGTCTGATGTTGTCGTGTCAAAGCAACTCAAAGAAAGATGCCTGACAGCCCGTTCACCACCACGTCAAAGAGCTTGCACTCCCACACGGCCTGCCCAAGTCTGTGCACAGCAGCCCCAACACAGAACAAAAAGCAGCTTCTTCACACAACTCGGCTGGTCCTTCAGCGAGGTGCTGACGAAGGACTGCAGGGGTGTAGCATAGTGCAGCACAGGCGCAGCAGTGGATGGCAAAGGCTTTGAGACTCGGCACCACTGACATCCATGTGGCCTGGTCCCGACAGCGGTCATTGAAGAGCGAGAGCGTTGTGGACACATCCGCCACGTGCAGTAGCTCCTTTCACACTTGCGAAGGGTGCTGGAGCAGGATGCTGCTGAGGTGTACTATATGTACACATGAAATATCATCAAATATTTGGGCCCTCTGCTCCGAGACTTGCCGAAACATGCCACGACCCGAGAGCTGTCAACGCAAATTAAAAACGTCTCAGAGCAAAGCTTTTGCACCAAGGCAGGTCGTGGCGACCGAGAGCTTCGGATCTCAGCATTTTGTCACAACAACCCATAGACTTCTCGCGCTCCAAAGTGGAAGGCTTTGTAGTTGGACCACGGTAGACGGCCATGGTGTTTCATGTCAATTTCAGAGTTTTTTCAGGGTTCAGTTGGGGGTGTGGCTGGGGAGGGTGAGGGAGGGCGGGAGGAGGGGAGGGGGTGAAATAAGGTCCATTCCTTTGGCGACCTTGCTCAACACGTTATTTACAGCGTTTTTGCTTCTCTATACAACATACTGCATAAGAATCTTGATGCTTCTGGAACAAGACACACGGTCACAAGTGTCGCGAACAGGACCAAAATACGTTTTTTGCCTCTCTCCATCACATATTGCACAAGGATGTTTGATGTTTCTGGAACAAGACACGCAGGCACAAGCTCTCGTGCCTTGGCGAACATACCCAAAACACTGGTATTCACACCTTTTTTGCCTCTCTGTACAACGTAAGCACAAGGACGTACAAGGACAAAGATTTTGAACTCGCAAAGCTTCCTGCAGAAGTTGGCAACGCCGTGTTGAGAAAAAAGAAGCCGAAGCTCTCTTAACCGATTAGCTTTGCAAAAAATGTACAAACATATCCATCCGAATGTGCTTCGCGCTCTACGGCCGTCTGTCTGCCGTGGACCTTGTGGTTTTTCCGTTCTGCTTCTGTCTGAGTCTGACATGTTGTGATATCAGTTGGCAGCAGCATGAAAAAGCGTGGCGCTGGCACTCGCAATTCGCCTCAGCTTCCTGCCGAGACAAGCAGGCCCCCCCCCACCCCCACCCCCCCCCCCCCCCCCCCACCCCCACCCCCCACCACCCCCCCCCCCCCCCCACCCCCACCCCCCCACCCCCCCCCCCCCCCCCCCCCCACCCCACACCCCCCCACCCCCCCCCCCCTTTCTAACCTCCCATTTGCCAGTCAAGCCCGAGTCTAGCCACTAGCCCAGTGGCCGCTACATGTGTTAATGAGCACAGTTGCCAGGCATTCTCTGTTTTGATTTCCGCTGCTCACTTCGGATCACTTTCCCTAAGATAATTTCGACCTGCATACAAGGCAGCTCAGACTGAAGCGCGGCCACGAAGACGCCCTCAGGCGCCAGAAAGCAGTGGGCCACGCCCTCCAACCCCGCGAAAGAGCTGGATGAGAGACAGGACCATGTAGGCAGCGGGGACGAGCATCAAGATGTAGATCCAGTAGGAGAGGCCACCGCTCCATACAGCCCCAAGTCTCCCGACGTTTAAGCAGGCGTACAGCAGCGCCCAAGCCAAGTAGCCCACGCGGCCACAGAAACCAAGCCTTTTCACCACACAATACCAGGAGCTCCAGTTCAGGAGCACAAATAGAAGAATGTCCAGCAGAGTGAACATCACACTCAGTGCTATGGAGACTAACCTAAATGCCAGAAGCTGACCAAGGGCTTGCATCAACCAGAACAGCAGGGACACTGCAAACAGCGCCCAAACATAGAGGACGTTCCAGCGCGCAAAGGCTAGAGCCCAGTCGTCATGCTGGCATCCAAACATGTCGGACGTCAGAGTGGGCTTCATCAAGAGCCTCACATACTCGCGGGTGGTGCTTGAAAGTTCAATGGCGCCAACAGAGCCACCGGGCTGCGACATGGAGCTGCTTTGGGGCCAGGCGACAGGCTCGAAAAGTCTTGAGCCACGGTTGGACTAAAAGGCAGCCTGCTTTACGCATTCCAATGCACACTGAACCAAACAGTGCGGCATTGTACCACCTGCACTACAAGCGAACAAGGCTCCTTCAGCTCTGGAGTTTTCGCACCCTCCTTCATGCGCTCGGCGGCTTTGTTCCAGTCCTTGCGAGGCATCTTGTGGCATCTTGTGGCATCTTGTGGCACTCCACAACGAGAGAGATCCCCTGACTTCTGGCGAGCAGCCGGGAAGAGCTCTTCCACTGCCTCTTGTCGAAGAGCACTCGAAAGCTCCCTGGGGCACACAGGCATATCTGCCTAAACAGCGCGAGACTTTCTCAAAGGCTGCGACATGCAACTACGGAAATAGGCCTGTCCGTGCTGGACACAAGCAGCAACAAGGCATAGACAACCAACCTTAGTGACAGCTTCACTACCGGTTCAGGCATGAGGCATCACAAGAAGGCCGGCATACTTCAATGAGCTACTAGAGGCAAAGCCAAAAGGCAGCACATTCCACCAAAAGAGTCGGATCCAGCGCAAGCGCTGGCAAAGCTCGTCAGAAGGCCGTGTATCCTCTGGAAGAGCGGCCGTTAGTGCAAACCTCGCTTCAGCAATGACACCCAGGGAAAAAAGAGAGCGCAGTGCGACTTGCTCAAAGCCAAGGCACGGCGACAGCTCACTCCACTTCCACTTTGTCGAGCCAGTATCCTCCTCGTCCGTGCCTTCTGAATCCGATTGCGAGCCGGATGGGGCCGCCATAGCCTCGAGACGTGTCGAGAGGGGGACTGGTCAACACTTTCTCCACCTTTTTCCCCACAAACATCGTGAGGAGGCGCTGAGATGGGGTGCAAAGAAGTTCAGTCTTGGCTTCCGGCATCGGGTCACCGGGAACACCGACGGTCAGTCAGAGACTCGCCAGAGACTCATCGAGAAAACCTCATCGAAATTGAGCCTCAGTTGAACTCAATTGGAGGATTATGGAGAACCGGGCTGGGATCGGCTCCTTTTGAGCCCGTAGCAGTTAATCTAAGTCATGCTGACTCTAACCTTCCTCTTGTTTGGGGTCGAGGCGCTCCTCAAACGACGGGCAAGCTAAGGGAGGAGACACACGCAGAGCGAAGCGTCGGAAGTGTGAAAAGAACGCTCGCCCTTTGGCGTGTCTGCCGTGTTTTGAGCCAGCACAACAAGATGCGGAGAGGCACCCGTGTCGCAAAGGCTGGAGCACCAGTCATTGGTTTCGAAGCAATGCACATCACGTCACTTCACCATGTTCAATCATATTGGCCGTCATTGGCCCATCCACTGCGAGCTTGCAAGCTCTTCGCTTACTCGAGATAGGCCAGAATGCCCGCGCCTGCTTCATGCGCTGATGTGCCTTCAGCATTGCCTGCTGGGCTGGCAAGGCGGCTCCTTCGTCCTCCCAAGCTCAGTCTAGAACCACAGGACACAGACCGACATCCCCATTGCTGCACTCGCCTGCAAAGCCTGCGCCTTTCGCGCAATGGCCTGGAACAAGTGACTTCCCATGCTGTGCCCAACATCGTTGCGGATGACATACAGCTTTACTGTAACCAGACACAGCTGGAGCGATCCGCCCTCTCACCTGCGACTCTTCTGCAAGTCGGTCGACAGCGTTGGCAGCGGCCCTGTCAGTATCATAGGCTCACTGTGAGGGCCGCGTGGTCAAGCCATGGTCAAATGCTGAGCCAGACACTGGGATCGTGCCAGGGACAGCTGCACATTCTTTTGAGCACGGTCGACAGCTGACGAGGGCGCAGATGCATTATCACGTGAAAGTGCAGTTCCAGCGTGACTCATCCTGCCTTGCTGGTACGGTGCCTTGGCATGCGAAGCCGCTGCCCAACATTAACACAGAGCATACAGAGCACTTCCCCTCACATTGCCATGTTGCAGCTGCTTCTGCCCGCTCCGCGGCAAGTCTCTGCGCCTGCACCTGTCCGCTGACACAGAGCGGCGGAAGCCTTAAGGTGACTCAAGCGGCTGACCATTCTGAGCCTGCTCAGATTCGATCGGCTGCACTGCTCTCCCTCGGAGTGCAGAACAGCTGCGGCGGATGCGGATGTCCACAATGGGATAAGACAAATTCCTCACACTGGGAGCTGTGCTCTCTGCAGCCATGTAGGCCTCCTTTTGGACCTCGGCTTCTCCCACTTCTCCCACTGCACTCAAGCCATGTGACCTGCACTTGAGCTCTAGCACCCGGTACTTCCCCTCAAAATCAATCGCCTCCAATTCCACCGCCTTGCCAACGGAGGCAGCCGCTTCCTCTGGCAGCTTCCTGGGCCAGGGACTGCGGTGCTGATCGTGTCTCAGTGTCACGGCTGCTCAGTGCTTCTTTTAAGCCTGCTTTCAGACTGCGCTCCCTCCTGTCTGCATTACCATGCATTATACCTAATGCACACAGAAAGCCACAGTCTCTAGGCCTCAGCTGGGCCGCCGTCTGCTGCGCGTGCTCTGCGTAGGCTTGGGCCTCCGGTCTCCAGATTTCTTGGGCTGCGGCAAGATCGATTGGAAAATCTCGGGCAGGGGCCTGCGCAGCCCATTCTCTGGCCTTGTGGAGCTCCTGGCTCAGGACAATACTGCACGCTCCTGCTTCGGACATGTGCGAGCTCATCGTTGGTTCCATGCAGGCCTTCTTCCGACTTCCACAAGGAGACGTGTGTTTAAAGGTTCGGCCCAACCCTTTTTGTTGCGTTTCGGGCTAGGTGTTGCCCGTATTGTTCTGCGGTAAGCTATTGGGGAACTTCAGTAGTTTGCAAGGCCCAGTGTTGCGTGAAGCTATCGCGGCACGACGGGCTTGGAACGGATTCGTATGCTTAAAAGCACAAGTCTTTTCAGAGGGGTTGGAGAACGCAAAGGCTGACCCCAGACCTCACAGTCAATCCCCCCTCCAGGAGGCACGCCCTTTCCCAACCCGCCTAATACATCAACCCTCCAAAGCTACAATACACCAAGCACACCCAACAATCCAAACAATGGTCCAGAACACAACCCCGAAACAAAGCAACTCACCACAAACAACACAACACAAAGATCCAAAACACAAAGCACCTAAACAACCCTTAATCTCACCCATTCTACAACCAAAAGAGGTCTGGAGTCAGCGACCCTCGCAGGAAAACTTTAATCCTGAACGGGGAAATGACGCTCGCAAAAGAAACTAGTATAATGTTATTATCCGTTCATTATTGTACAAAGTGTTGCTAATCCTTTCGGCTCTTTGTTTTTCAAACGTGTTCTCCTCCCCTCGCCTCATATGTTTCACGTCCTCGCATCCGCAATCCCAACAGCATTTGTCCATCCCTTACATAAACCATACTCGTGCAGTTGTTTTCAACATATGTCACACCAGTTAAGACATCCATAACTTCATTCTTTATCAAGTCCAGGTCATTCTTAATTTTAGGCATCTCCTGTTTGCTTTTATAGCCAGAAGCTTTACTGCCATTAATATGTAAGTTCCCTGCTTTTTTTGTAAAACTTGGTTTGTTGTAGAATACAACATTTAAGATGCTCTCATTGTGTCATCGTCTTTATTCTCGTAGCACTTTCTAATGTCTCAAATTCGGAAACTGAAAATCTTTGCTGAAACATTGCACTATTTATCCATTGGTTTATTGACTGGTTTAGGTTTCGTTAATCATTCATGAATCTTTTTCTCAATGAGATCCTAACTTCTCTAACACATTTTGACTACTGATGCCTTTGATTGGTTTTACAACATCATCTACATCACTCATAGTACTATACAAACGTTTTAGACTAAAGTTGTTAAGCTAAAGTGCTTATGAACTTTGCGATTAAGACCATTATAAAGACTTGAAGTATCTTTGTAGCGTTTCATACTATCTAAGCATCTTCTACACATTTTCACATATTCTGTGCCTTGTGAAGACTGTTCAACATTAACTGACTTCTACATATCTGAAAATAAGGACAAGATCTTCTGTTATTCGCTTCACAACACTGCTGTTTGCCATCGTCAATGCGTTTACGTCCCTTATTGCCTGTTGTGATCATGCCATTATCTTAAGTGATTAACTCTATTTTTTCTCGTCGTCTAAATGTGTATTTTTTGGGTATGCATACCTCACAAATATTCATAACATCTTTTACTATCAACTTCGTGAATATTTCCTTTTAACGAAAACTCAGATGAATAACCGATAGTGCTACAATATAAGCCCCAAAGAGAAATATTATTCGCCTCCCTCGTCTGTATTTAAACAATGTATCTGGTCTACGGTGCTTCGCGGCTCGTGTGTTATTTCCGAATACTTTTTTGACTGCAATTGATCCTCCTGGCGTGCTACTTGCTAACCGCCTGCCGTGTCTCCATGTAGAACTGAAACTGTGTATCTAATACTTCTATAAACTCTGATGAATGTTGAAGCTTCATTTTTCCATAAGTTATTGGATCTGCTTCTGCTGTTAAATCACCAATACTATTACATGCTGGATAATTAACGACTGCTCTGCTTGATGTAATTCCGTTAGTGTCGCTGAATTGAAATGCTATTGTTCCGGTTGTAGGGTCACTTGTTTCACTTGTCTGTAATGAAAAAAAGTCGTTGGTTGATATTATACTCAATGATTTCTTAGCATCTACTCTTGGAAAAATGCGGGCCGCTGTGTTAACAAGTTGTTCCCCTAATGGTGCTCAATCATGTTCTATTCTTGCTTGATTAGAACTACTTGTTTCTTCCTACCGTTTAGCAATATGATGCATTATACTGTCTCCCTATTCCTACTGTCGCTGTGCTTCTGCTTCCTATTCTTAAGCGATAATCACCTCCTGTATCGTGCAACATCATTTCTGTTCCATTTCCTGGGTTAGACGGGTTCGTACATCTCAAAGTTTTGTTTTTAAACTCCCATCCTCCCTGCGTGTCTCTAATTTTTAGATTATGATTGGCATGCCAAATTAGGTAAATATCCAGTCCCGCTGTTGGCAGTAGAATATCTCCTGTTGAACTTGTTAAATCTGAAGTGCTTCTAACGTCTGTGTCCTTAAAAAAATTGTGTGCTGCCATTTGCTTTTTGGCATTTTACATGTGTGATAGTGTGTCGCGGTTCCTGTCATTCGTCTTCATTAGTCCTGCTACCCAATGATGTATTAACTTTCGTAGCATGTACATATCTGTCTAATGTTGTGTTCGCATCCGCAAATTGAATTAATCCATTCATTAACTCTTCAATAGAAAATTAGTAAAGAACTAGTAACAACATCTAATGATAACCACCCGTTCATGTTTCTGCAAATGTGATTTAACATATTGGTTCGCATTAGCGCTGAAATTAAGGAAATTTCAATAATGAAACTATTTACAATGAAATTCGAAGAATTTTAAGAAATTGTATTTAGTTTTGACTAATTTTCTTTGAAATTCTGCCCGTATCAGCGACAGAATGATGAAAATCAATCCTGTTTCTTGTTGAAAGTACAGTAATTGTCAGTGTTCCTAACAATGTAAAAAGGGCGTTCTGCTGTAATTTCTACTACTAAACCAACACATGTTTACCCATTGTCATTAGTTAAGTCGAACTGGTTTATTGCACCGTCGCTTGCATTACTACAAAAGATCTTGTCGCCTTGTAACAGCTTTCTAACTCGTAGCATTTCTAAATACTCCTAGTACGTTGTCTCCTCCTCCTGTCCTTACAAACAATCTTATAAGCACGTGTATTGCCATAATCTACTGGTTTTCTTGGCTTTGTACCATCTATCTCAAAATCAGTCAAAAACTTTCAAACCTAAATCCTGAATCTCGAATATCTGTTCCGACAGTAATGTTACATAGACCTCATCTGGCATATCAGTAGAACTAATTGTAGCCTTTGCAGGTTTAACATTTAGGAACATTTGTTGCCCTGCTCTTGTGTTAATTCAGTACAACTACTATCTGGCAATTTTGCAAAGGAGAAGGCGAAGATAAGTTGGCGGTCTTTCTAATGTTTAAACCCATTGATAAAGAATGTTGATGAAACATTGGTAGGGTCAATGCCTCTCTTGAATGACAAAAGGACTCGGTTAATGAAGCTCAGGCGTATTCAGGACACAATTTTTAACCGAGTTGAACTTGAATTTGAACATCATAACCTAAACTTGGACTTCCTGACTTGTAAAAGGTAATGAAAGATGCTACTAATTTAGATACTGAACGACTAACTTGAACCTGATGTCGGTTGATCCTGCTACTGTTTGGGATTGAGAACAGGGTTTATATGTAATAAGCAACCCTTTTGATTCGAGGAGATGCTTTTATAGTGTATTCATGTTCTTTAAGACACTCAAGGGAGGGGATGAAAGGAGGGCAAAGTCGGGGCACAGCCCCCAGGCCCATTTGCAAACGCAACTGCACGACGGGCTTGGGGATTCGTATTGCTTCGGGCTGAAGAGAATCAAGAAGCGGAGGTTAGTGCACCCATTTGCACAAGTGGATGACGAGCGGGGGGGTGGGTGAGGGGGAGGGGGGAGTGGGGGTGGGGTGGCGGGTGGGGCGAGTGGAGGGTTCGCAGAAGTGTAGGCTTGCAAATAAAGGTCCAGAGGAGCCGTGCTGAAAAACCACAAGTGCACCCAGCACTCGCCTTCTGGATGGCGGTCTCGGCATCCGGCTGCTTGGCTAAGAAGTCAGCGCTCTGTGCGGCAGCATCCTGCCAGGTCATTATTCAGCCCACTTCAGCCCTCCCCAACCCCCTTCCGACCCCTTTGAAATGGGTGGGAGCGGACGTGCATCCGGAACAGCATTTGGGGCCAACCGTGCGGGACGGACAGCAGATTCCTTGCCCACTCGCCTTCGGCTACCCCCTCCCCTACCCTCCAAACCACCAGACATTGGCCCCAACAAGAAGGCAGACGGGTGTTCAAGACCACCGGACATTGGCCCAATAAGAACACAGACAGATTCAAGACCGAAACACAACGAAAAGCCTCAACTCCACAAGGCTGAATGAATCTTCTGCATACCTGGCCGACCTGACCTCGGCCGCAAGCTGCTGCTGGGCCGCGAGCATGGCCTGTGCTTCATCCAATCCCAGTCTTCAGTCTTGCACTCATGCTCAAGAAGTTTCAAGATGCTTCCAATGACTACGCCGGGTCTTGGGGAGTGGTGTGGCACCACAGTCGCCACTTTGGCGGCCATGCTGTCAGGACTAAGCTGTACATCTGTTGAGCATCTGACGTGCACAGCCTTAGGGAGAAATGCAGAAGATAAGCCCGTGGCGTCATGGCTTGACTTAGAACTTTGTTCCGCCAGCCTGGCGACATTGACCTGCCACAGGGTCCACACCCCGGACCCAGCAACCCCCCCGACCGGTCTTCCTGACTTGCTGATTTTCATTGCCTGACCATCAGACTCCAGGCAGAAACGACCAGCAGAGCAAACCAAAGGTACCGAAACAAGCCGAAAAGGCATGCTGCTCAGCCGCTTTCAGCATTTGCTGGCCAATCCACGGCATGTCACCTTCAAGATTGTTGCGCTTCTCTGCTCGGCCCTCTTTCATTGCATCATCCTTTCGCTTCAAAGGGCTGCCTTGTGCTCGTGAAAGCGCTGGCTGTCGGAGAACACCAGCATAGCCTCCAGCAGTCATGCGTCATGCCCATCAAAATGGCCATGGGCTTCCGAATGCTGCGTAGGACCTTCATGAACATAAACTCGGCATGGGCTCGGACTACCAAGAAGCCCTCAAAGTCTTCTCGAAAATTGGAAACAAGCTTCGAAAAACTCTCAAATTCAAGAATCTGAGAAATCTCAGGCACATTAGCCAAACAGTGTAAGAGGATAGGCCTAACCGTTTCAACTTCTTTGAATTGTCTGCGATGCTAGCTTATACTCCTGGGGGGAGTGGGGGGGGGAATCCCCGGTACGTCCTCAACCTCAAGAACACAAGCTTGTTCACACAATCTTGGCCCTCTTCAACCCGAAAACGAAAGGTTTTCGGCAAACTCCTGGGTGCCTTCGACCTCAACAACGCAAGGTTGTTCGTAAACCCGTGTGGGTCCGCAGCCCCTCGATATCAGGCTGTCTAAACCGGGCGCACTTCGCCCCTCAATCTCAAAATCAAAGGCAAAAGCAAAAGGTCTTTCGATGTCTGTTGTTAACCCTTCGCCGTCCTCAAAACGAAAAGCTGTTCGTAAACTTCGTAAACCATTGGGCCCTTGAAAGACTTGAGCCTCAGAAACGAGAGTGCTGAACCGAAAGGCTAGCGCTTGGGAGCTACGTGGCACCTCAGGACTCCTGTGATGCTGTGGCAAGGTGTTGCAGCGTTGCACAGGAACCTGCAATATTTAAGGGGGAGATGGTCGCGCGAAACGCTCTCAAGCGTCGCGCAGATTGACGGCCAAAGTCGGACCGAAGGCAAGGACGAGGAGGACGAGCCTGCGGTTTTGCCCTTTCAGGCGTTGTGCAACAACGTCTCCCCCCTCGAGTCAGCGGTGGGCAGTCCGTCGAGCTCTCCGTTGGGTGATGCGCCCCCGTTTTATGGCTGGCTATTCTATTCTGGTCGCCGTCTTGCTGCTCCCACGCTTGCTGGCACGGGCGCTCATTCTTGGCCGGGAATTGTGGCACTGAACTTGCGCTGACCTCCAACTCACTGAGATCTGGTGTGAGACTACTACCCCAACCGAGCTATCCCGAGCTGAGCCTGAAGATGCTGGTAGCGCTGAACTATCACATGCGCCTTCGTTTGCCCAACCCTTCGGGGTGTTAGTTCCTCTTTGCGGTGCTCTTGTGAGGTTCCGACTGGGCAGCTTTGCGCTCGCATTGCCAAAGGCCCTGGGCTCACAAAAACTGACTCTTGCCAAGTCGCACCCGCGGCCAGAGAAGAGTGTGCTGACATGTATGCTCCGGGCCAGGAAGCAGGCGAGAAGTAGGGCCGTAGGCCGTTGGGTTTCGGCTTTAGGGCAATGGTCGTCGTAGTGGTCTGATAGCAGGACTGTACGAAAAATGTTCTTAGTCCTGTTGATGGTCGTGGTTCTTGAGGCAAAAGGCCCGTAAACACTTAATAGACGGTTCTAGGGGCTCGCTTGGCAAGCCAACAGCCGAGCATCATTCTTGTGAACCCTTCTTGAATTCGTTTGAGTTGCTTCACTTTGACGCGACCCCAAAAGAAGGGCACAGCGTGGCATCAGGCCTTGCTGCAGAGCGAGGAAGCAGCACACCCAGAACCTCAGCAATCAGCAAGGCTGCAAGATTGCCCTGCGCCGCCTGCCCCGCACGAGCCTAAGAGCCCTGAGAGCCTTAGGAGCCACGCTTCATAGCGCGTGACCCAAAGGCCACGCGAAGCAGAGGTTGGGCCTTGGGCCCTTGAACCAAGCAAGCGAAGGGTCTGGTACTTCTGAGGCAATGCCGCTAGTGGTAGCGCAGTCCTGCACTTGCACGGTTGGCAGGCTTCGGTCTTTCGACGCACTTCTTGCCGATCTCAGGAAGGGTCTTCAGAAGTGGACATTGAGGAAAGGCAAGGAAATGTTGCTGGCAGCAATCCGCCAAAGAGCCACGCCAAATCTAGAGCGAAACCACCTCCGGCACTCTGACGATACTTTACAAGCTTTTGGTTGCAGTCGTCTGAACCGGGGAGCTCCACTTGGGCTCTGTGCTATTGTATGACAACGTATGGCAGATGTAACATATGGTAACATGCTACAACAAATGACGACACGATCCGGTTACATCATGGTAGCGGCAAACGAGCGCCTTCACTAGTTCGGTAGTGAGGACGCATCTGGGTCGAAACTTACCGCGGCTGGGTGCACACATTCTTGTACACCAAGCACCAAGCACGTACAAGCCAGTGCGGTGATGCTTTTTCCGCGTGCACCAGTCGGATCCTTTCCGTCTCCTTGACTTGGCTTGAAAATTGACTTGCCAAAAGATGCCAAGACATGGCCTCGAAATCCATCAGGGCCATATGACACATGATGCTACATGTATCTACGTGTTGATGCCAAGCTTTTTGAAGGGATCTTAACGGCGGGGCCCCGAGCCTGGTCTGGGCAAGGGGCTCGCAACAACGCCTTAGGCGCCCTGATCGAGACCCCGAAGTGCGACTGACCGTGAGGGGATCTAGCGCTCTCCACAGAAGTTGAAAAGACTAGCAGCTGAATTTCAAGCCGGTTCCACCCCAATAAACCTGGCAGGAACTGCTGCGAACAGGGAAGAGGCCGAAACATTCGCAAGTGTGCGTACTACAGCTACTACAGCTACTACAGCTGTGCCAAGACTGTCTCCCAAGCTCCGCAAGGTGCCTCGGTCACTTATGCGAGGCCCACAGGGATCTCCGTAGCCGCCCTGGCAGCCTGAGCCGCCCTCATCCTTAGAGAACTCTCAGTGGAGCTTCAAGGCCCTACGCGGAAGTCTTCTCGGAAGTGTGCTTACGGAAGTCTTTTCGGATGCTCAAGGCTTAGACCCAACACATGCGCAGCAATGGCTTCCGGGGCTCTGCAGACGGGTATTCTTGGAGGGTCGAATCCTCTTGTTCTTCTGGCCTGGCAGCAAATCCGAGAGATACCTTCAGACATTGAGGATGCGAGTGTCGCACGTGAGCCTGGATGGCGGAAATGACAGAAATCGCACATGATGCCCTTGTTGCAGAAGGTCTGGCGATTCAACGGACATGATCAGAGCCAAGCAGCTACAGTCCAAGTCATGAGCAATGAGCACAACTCGCACATGAAGTTTCGTGCCTTGTCTTTGAACCAGAAAATGCAGGGGTTGCAGTTGTCTGGATGCAACCTGCTTCCAAGGGAAGCGCGTTCACCTGGAGGCAAATCATGACTCAGTGGAAACAGAGTGGAAACAGAGTGGAAACAGAGTGGAAACAGAGTGGAAACAGAGTGGAAACAGAGTGGAAACAGAGTGGAAACAGAGTGGAAACAGAAAAACAACAAGCTCAGAACTGTGGCCTTCATCATTGAAGGGGATTTGCGAAAGGAGCGCATCCTCGTCCG